AAATAATATTTTGCTGCTTTCGTGTCTGTTGTATTATTTTACTGAGACTGAAAAATCCTTATGCAACTTTAATACCTATGCCCTATGCCTATTAATTCTGGTTACTACTCATTATTTTTGTATTTGTTACTGCTCGAATAAACCGTTCCAAAATTAGTGACGTTAAAATTGGTCAACTTCGCACGCTTTTTCTTATTCTTTATTGTTAAAATAATTACCCTTATCCGATTTTTTTTTTGGTATTCTTTTTTATATTGAAACTTCCACCTAAGACTAATAATTATTGTTAACGTAAGATATTTTATTTTGAAATAAATGACGCGTTAGTAGCAGTATTAATAGTGTACTCTTTATAATTATAATTGCTAATAAATATGAATTGTATTTTAATGGTGTGCTCTGAGAATAGCACAAACTCTCACGTGGCAATAGAAACCAAAACGTCTGGCCTAAAAAGGTTAAAATAATGTATTTTTAATGTTGTTGCATTCTAAAACAAGAAAAATTAAAACGATAAAATTTAAAACAATTTTTATCAGTTTCATAAAATGTTTAATGAGTAAAATAATTTGTATTATTTTTTGGTTTCTTTCTAAAGAATAACGCGTTAAGTTGATAATAATGTTTCTAGATAACATTTAAATATTATTATATTTTTAATTTTATCAATTCTTTAATATTTCAATAAAACATATGGTTATTTTTTACAATCCTTTTTTAAATTAGGTAATAAAATATAGTATTTAAAGTATATAAATAAAAACCAAGAAACAAATTATGATTTTATTTCATTTGTAACACGTTTTTTGGTTAGCTTGATGTTTGATAACTAATATTAAATGTTTTATTATAAATACGATAAATACGACTTAGTAATCAAAATTATTGCAAATATTGTATATTTTTTTTAAACATTTATTACATTAAAATTTAATAACTCTAAACTTTTTAAGTTTAAATTTAAATTTATTGTAATAACAGCTCTACGCATTTCTTACTTTCAATATTTTTATAAGTAGCTACGCAATTCGCAAATTAAATTTTGTTTAAAATATCATTATAATTATTATTTATCACATTCGTAGCATAATAAACGGTTATAACTTATATACAAGTATTTAAAGTTATAATGTTATACCTACAATTGCTGATGTACCTGTAATAGTGTAATATGTTATCAAATAATAATAATTAGTATTATTATTTATGAATTTGAGTTAGATAAGTTATTAGAAATCTGCTATAATTTCACATGTTACATAGTTTCAGTTATCGATTAAACTTCAAGTGGCATTGTGAAAGGTTAGCAATTTTTTTAGTTCATTAGTACGGATGACGTCAGCAAATACTGAGAAATTTGCGTACTGATATAAAAATGGTGTTGTTTCTTGGTCTAATTATTTGTTTAACATTTTCTCATTCGCTTTGGAGTACAATTGAAATGGTAGTCAGGATGATCGGTATGAGGATGTGTATAGTCTATAGGAGATGCTTACTGAACACTTCTTATTCAAGTCATGTATATGGTTTTTATTCAGTTGATTGGGGGTCTATAATGTATATTATGAATGTTTTTAATACATAATTTACCTCTCATGACTGCAAAATAACTTAATCATCATACTTCATTAAATATTTAATTAATAATCTATAATAACAATTGACATGATGATGAATACATGTTAACAGATTAAAACAGTATATATATATTGTAAAATGTATCCTGTATTCGATAAAAATGATTCGGTTAAAACTTAACTGTAATTGATGTGGGATTATTCTAAATATTGTAGTATTAAGTTATATAGTATTAAGTTGGAAAGGTCGAATAAGTGATTCAGAATTACTATTTTTCGACTACTGAGTAAAAATAAGTCAATCAAGTAGTTCATTTTAAGTCAAATTTAACGCTACCGATTTTATTGTTATTTATTGAGCACTTGAGTTCACAGCAAAAAGCTTAGTGTCTTATTAAAAAAATATTTTAACATAAATCCACTTCAAAACGTTACAATTACAACCCAATTTAATTAAAAACTATATAATAACATTAAAAGGGGTTTCCACGAATACGGTATACTCCACTATATAATCTTGTTTTGAGAAAAAATGGTTCGACAAATCTTCAAAAATAATTTTCTTTGCCTTATATTTATATGGACCTTACAATATTACTTTACTTAAGTAAGTCGCCGACACTATAAAAGGGTCGAATTTAAGAACAAATAATAAAAAAAGCTGTTGTACGTTGAAGAATTTCTTTACATCAGTATTAGAAGAGTCTGCGTTTTCAGACCGATGATTCCCAGCAAAAGCAGGCGGCAATAAACGCCCTTTATTGGTTTTCTCGATCGTTAACGGATAAAACTAAAGGTTTTTTTTATGATTAAGAAAAAACACAACCGCAGAGCACATCATTTTTAGCTGACAGACAGAATGTATAGTATTTACATATTATTATTATTGCGAGTATCTTTTTTTAAATTACCAAGTTTACTGAAATGGAATTTTAGAACTGTACAAACTACCAAAAGCAAAGTATATGGCTTTTATTTGTTTGATTTTGCAACTAAAAAATATGGAGTAATTTAACGTATAGCTGTGATAAAATATTTAATAATATACCAAATCCGGTCGGCATCTGTGCTGCACATGTGTGTTGTGTGCAAATAAAATGTGTTTGAGCAAATTTTAATTTATCTTCTTAATTTGTGTTATCCATAAAACAGTGTACTACAAACACACTTATGTAGTTCTTATTTAATAGTACCTATAACTGTGTTTTGACGTATTTTGTTTTTCAAGTAATCATCAATATTAATATTGATACAAAAAAAATCGTCGAATTTCTATGACAAGGGTGGTTTAGCTTCTGAATAAAATAATTGTTATTGAACGGTTGTAGTAATTCATTCACTATTATTCAGCTCATACTCCGCAAAAGCGTTGGTCGTTTCTACTTCCTTCCATCTTAAAACTATAATACCACCCAAATTCTTGACATCTGATTTGATAATGTTTTCTTATTAATATTACCATTTGTCTACCATAGAATCTCTATATCGTAATTCAAGGTTAATCCAGACAACTCTAGGCCCAGTCAATTCATTTGCAAGCTTGATATATATAGTGGTTGTATTATATAGAATATAATTATTATTTTACATAAATAGTATAACCTTTCTTTTAAGCTGTAGAGCTGTATTTCATGTGACTTAATTGCCTTACAGTTGACACATTTTTGTATTCGCTTGTAAACTTTGTTGTATTAACAAGCAGTTTACAGTGTGAACTTCAGACATGTCACAAAATACACAACCCGCGATTGATGTAAATTGGATGGTTTCGCGCTATGTATGTTAATGCATGTGTAATGTATATTGAATAATAGTTATCTTATAATAGACTATTAATTTTATGTATTATACATTAAGGCAGCCGTGGACTCAATTATTATGCGTTTAATACGGTTCTATTAAAACGCCCAAATGTCTTTGAACCCTTCACGCACATTGCATAATGGTCGACGATTATTATAACACTGTTGTAATAACATAATATGATAATACGACAACGATATTTTCACCAAACGATCGAATATAACTGCATTGTTTTATTCGCTAGAATATCCTAGGGCCATATAGGGTGTCCTAATTCTATAATCTGAAGTATCATCGACAATAGCTTTCAACTTTAATTCAATAATTTTAGTTATACATATTTATTTATAAATATATATAATAGTTATATATAGTTGTTAAATTTTCCTTTAACATACAACGGTCATAGTGCAATTAACTAAACATTTTTTTATTTTGTCTTAGTACTAGAGTTCTTAGAAAACATTGATGTGAGCTATATTATAGAAATTAACTTTCTGTCGTTCTCAACACTCCCTATCATAAGAAAGCATGTTGCTAAAGGGATAAAAAACAGAAACAACGATGCAATGAAATTTTTTTTTTTAATGATAAAAGCGGAAAATATCATTAGTTTTAATAAAATATAATAATAACATGGATAACTGGGTCGGCTATAGCCTACTGTGCACGCCACTGTCCTACGAGTAATTCATTTAAAAAACTCGACTAAAATCTCTTATCGTGAGTATTACCTACTAGATGAATTTGGGTTGAATGTTTTGTTGTATGGTATACTAATTATAAAATCTAAAGTATTTTTTTTGAGTAGGTTACCTATTTATTATTATAACAATACAAAATATTAAATTAGTCCATTCGTATGTTTTCTTTAAACTACTCTTAATATTACGTTATTATATATTATTATGTTCAAAAATATATAGTAAAAATTATAGTAACTACTTTACCTTTTCATAATATTACTATGTATAATGAGTTTTTACATTGTTACATTTTTGTACATCCTAATCTATAAATATGTTAATTTCAGAATATTTTTATAACATAGTTAAAAGTTAATCCGTAAACCCTCATTTATATTAATAATGACAGTATTTTGTTAACTGTTAGTGTAATGAACGTACATTTTAAACGTGTGGGTTCGTTCACACGTTCAGAATGCATTTGAATATTAAATAACATGTACAATATTTATAAACAACTGGAATAACCTTTGCCACTGGGACATTAAATGACAAGAAGCTAAATATTATAGTGTTAATAATAATGGGATAAAATGCGATGTGTTACCGACTCATTTATACTAAAAGTGTATACCTTATATTCTAACTTCTACCTTTTATGGCTATTCGTCAACGCCCATGGCTTAAATTATATAAGAGATTACCTACACCAGCAATCATTATAATTTTACCAAATCGAGTGAACTACGAGTCCCATGAATTTTGAATGCTTTTTGTTTGAAACTAAATTTGTTTTGAATATCACGCTAAAGTTCTATCGTTATCTACATATTCCTTTGGCTTTTCATAGACACACATTTTTGAATACATTATTGTACTACTTATTTATGAAAATTATTTATAATTATTGAACACTACATTATTTTTGTTACAGGGAGTTGTGGAGTACCTGATATGACATCGATATCGGACATAGACGAAGATGTCATTAACCGGAACCTACAAGCGAGATACTCTAAAAACCACATATACGTATCCTTTTTAAAAAAATTAGTGATAAACTGTATCACCCATAAATCTAAATTCTAATGCATTATTGGGTATTTGGCGAGTACCATTCATCACTCACTTCAAACTTAATAAATAAAATAATAAAAAAACACCACAGTTTTTTTTATAAAAGTGAAATGATAGGTACATAATATATTTGTGTTGTGAATAGTTACGTGTATGAGTTGAATAGTACAAATGATATTGTTAAAGTACATAAATCAAATATTGATAAGTGTTTCATTCTTTTGAATTATGTGATAATTAACCATACATACAAGAGGAAAGGTACACTTTTTAAAGTACTTTTTAATTTTTATCGAATATGGTATTTTGCATTATTGCACAATCTAATAAAAGGGTAATCAATGGTCAATGCATATTATTTATGATCTTGAGTTTTATCGAGCAGGTTACATAGATGTAAGATACTTGATGTATAATGCTGTACATATAACAGATTAAAAATAAACCGTTTGAAGTTATTGGCAGTACATGATACACAAAACAGAGTATAGTGTAATTGTTTTAATATAATCACTTTATTAAGATTTAAGATTAAATCATACGTTTAACACAAACATGCTAATAGTATATAACTGATGAATAATATTGATGTTCGTTTTTAATAGTTGATAACTATACTTGGTTAATATTTTTGTTGTTTTTCTGATTAATTGTTATAATGGAGATGGGATGAAAAAAGGTAGTTAAGTGCCTAGGTAATTTAAATTAAAACTACCAAATTTTAGAAACGGTAAAATTGCGAATAACAATAATTTTTCTTTATACATGAGTTAACAGATTTTTTTAATATTATATTTACGTTTACTTGGTGAAATTTTAGAAAATACAATAATAATTTATTGTTATTTGGTACTTGCATTAGCAAAGCCAAACAAAATAATGTCCTGATTTTGTTTAGCAGGAAGTGAACGTTTATTAACATTGACACAATAACCTAAACTATGATGTCAGTTTAATTTACGTTGATAATAATTGAAACAAAACATTTTTTTTATAATAGTTCCTATGATCTCATGGTCTACTTCAATAAACTATTACCATGTATGAAGGTATGGTATTAAATAATAATACACATTTTCCTTGAATATTAAAGAGCTATGTAATTGAAGTATATAAACAGTTTTATTTTCTAGAATTTAAATATTTTTTACAATTTTTTACTATTTTAACATTGCATAACGATATTATGCGGCTTAACTTAAAGGGTAAAAATCATTTTTAAAAAAGTACATACATTTTGTGTTTATTTCAACTTTGTAGTTTTTTGTAACAAAATAATACAATTTTTTTGTTAAAGTTTATTATATTGGGTACAATAAAGAATAAATACGAAAAATTACAAAATTAACTTGTTACTAGACGCATTCTTATATTTAATTTAAACTAGAGTTCTTCGAAGAAGAAGATTCTTTATCATTCGTGATAAACCAAAATCTCGAGCAATTTATTAGGGTAATTTTAACACTATTTCTTCATATTACTTATTCATGTATTTAATAAAATCAATTTATAGCAAAATAAAAGTGTGTTAAATTTGATCCGTGAAACTTACAGCAGCGTTAGCTTCTGTATACATTTTTTTTTTAAGATAAGATTTAGTGAAAAATATATGATATTTGATTATAATACTGGGTTGTATATAAAAAAAGTACACTCTAACGGAATAGAAATCTATAATTTTGTAATCGTTGATACTATATTCAATATATATAATCATGAAGTGCTGCTTAAAATGGGTTTGCAGCTGTGTTAATGACATATTGTGTTCTGGGGAGTAAGACCTATACAGTGCCTTTTGATTATCGCTATAGAAACACAATCACATCATCATAAAAGTGCACATTTATACGATAATAAATTTATATGCGCTTGTATGTTTGTGCTTGGTTATTACGTTAGAATGATACGTTTCGCCAGTGTGATGCCCATAGATGTATTTTGATACTTCGATTGAATGGAACTAACATAGAATATTAAGCATTTATCATTCGTCATAGGCGAGACAATGATTTCTCTTCTGTTATTGCTAGGACATAACGCACAACAGGAAATAGCGCGACCATGTTTGACACTATATCGGTATGTTGGAAAAATTAGGTTTGGTTTAGGAGAAGGGTCAAACTTGATAGGCCTTACATTATTGCTTATGATAACTAAAGGTATTATTATTATTGTTTTTTTTTTGTATTTAACAGCTTATCCCTTTTGTATGGTTAAATAACCATTAAACCAATAATTATCAAGTATTAACATGCTAGCGTTCAGAGGTATTTGATCGGGTAGAACATATTATTAGTCTCTTGTTTTTGACTACCCATCGAATATGCTGAATAACGCATAGGATGGTTTATTTATTATGCGCAATTAGAATTTACACCCAAATTTAGATTTTAAAGACATACTTATATATCTTGATATATAAAGGTAAGCAAATACATTTTATTAATATTAATATTTTTTCGCAATTAATATACAACTGAAGAGTTGTAACTAATATAACATATTAGTTATATGTTCGTTAGTTTAGGTGTAGACGACAAGGCTTTCTAGCTTCTAGACTTAACCACTAATACATATTACACTTTAAGAAATGCGATTTACGCAGTTTTAATAAGTCACACACTTAACAGACAAAAACAAAATAACATGACTATCAAGATTACAAATTAGTTGTAAGTTTTCAAAAATTAAGTTTCAACTTAAAAAATGATAACTTTATTACAGGCAAAAGTCATTCTAAATACCAAATAAGTTGCACAGCTTACCATTATAATATTCATTTTAATAAGGTTTTTCGCACAAAATTGACTTAAAACATTATATTTTTCTTGCATAATAAATCAACCACCGGGAAGATACGGGGATATTAAAAAGTTCCCCGTTATATTTTTGGAATCCTACAGGAAGTCAAATAGACTATCCCACATAATAATATGACAAATGTTCTTAGTTGTTTATCTAGTTACATCAAGAAGTAGTAATTTAAAATCTTTATTAGGTAGCACCAAAAGTAAGATAGGAAGAGGAAAAATCCGGGATTTATAAAATACAATGTGAAGAATGTGATAAATGCTATGTAGGTCGGAAAACGAAATTTTGGGGTTAGTTTTAAAGAACAAATAAGGAACATAAAAAACTAAGAAGTACGCAAATCTCTTGTTGCGGGACATTTATTAGATATTAATCACGCATAACTTTTGTTAAATTACTTAAAAAATGTAAATAATTCTAAAGAACTTAATACAAGGGAAGTAATAGAAATATTAAAAATAAGAACTTTTTTTTAAACTGGGACTTAATAGAATACTTCAATTTGTACTATAGGTATATTATTATTTATATTCATACCTATAACAGCTATCGTTAACGTTTTTGGGGTAGAATAAATCGCAGTAATAAATATTTTTCCGGCAGGGGTTGACAGCAGTCGTTCGATCAATTTCTTTTTTCGATGCATCCCTCGAGGGGCAAGCTAAGAGGTCATATCGGTCTATTATTGTTATTATTTTCATTTGGTCGCCGCCGTCGCTCCGTGTACAGACATTATATATTATAATACAGGAAAGTTAAAAGGGTGGAACGTTCGGCGGCGCGTCACAGGACATCACGATGACTCACGCAGAGCCTAAATGTGCGACCGACAACCCTCGACAGCACACACACACCAACGCAGTGGTTCCGGCGTTAATCGACGTCTTCTAAAACCGTTGTGGCCATCAATCTACAAAGCAAATGAAAGTAATTTTTAACGGAACATTTGTCTTCCTCCACTCGCTGCCCCTTCTTTTTTCAGATAGAATCAATAATATCCAAAATCATCAGGTTGTTTTGTTGCAACGATAGAACGCGTTTTACCGAAATCGTTCGTCTAGGTAATATTGAAATTTCATCGTTTGCAGTTACAATCCGGCGGTTAGTTGATTTAATAAAAAAAAAAAAATTAGCTTCTTGGTTGGTTGGTTTGATTATTTTGGTTTGTGTAAACCCATACTGTAGAAACATGGAACAGACAACCGTTAAAATTCCCTTGTCATCACAGCTTAATCTTAGGTGCAAAGTGATAACGAGGTAACCTCTGCGCCACATTATGCCCATATATAGACGTTTATTACGACATACAGAATTCAAATTTAAAAAATAAAAAATATATACAATTTCTTCCTCTTTCAAAAAAAAAAAAATTCAAATAGGACTTCTTCAAAAAGCTTGAAATTTTTTCCCGTAAGGCGTTTGGACTAAAAAAAATAAAGAGTCGTAAGTTAAGTAATTAATTTTATTATTATTGTTTATATTTACGTGCTAAAAGAACGTTTGACAAAACCAAAATACAATTCAAACTACGTACAACACAAATACTTCTAAAGATAACGTTTTGATCGCAACTATCTCCTTTACTGGCCTAACCCAGATAATACTAGTAATCCAGAATGAGTTCCAATGATATTCCCTTTTTTAAATCTATCTCACGGGCTTTAAAAATGTGTGATGAACATTGGACAATATGCTGTTGTTACTTCTACAATCCTTAAGCCTAAAATTGTATTATTTATTCCTTTGATTTGAAATAATTCAATTCTTAATTAAAATGGCAACTTTTAAAACAGTTTTCTTCTTTTATCACTTTTTTTTATTATTATTATTAATTTTAAGGTCAAGTGAGAATATTATTAAGTTTTTATTAACAGCTCATATTTGCCTGTAAAAATCGTTTACAGTTAATATGTAAAAGATATAGTACTTGTCTTAAAAAATCTATTCTCATAACCATAATATAAAACAACAGATCAGTTTAATCCCTTTAAAAAGCTTTTTAGGATTGGGTTTGGAATAAAAAATGAGGTTATTTTGTTGTGTTTGTGTAAAATTAAGAATTGTTGATTTTGTTACATACATACCCTTCTGCCCGATTTGAAATCATATCTAAAACGTGATTTTGCTTTCTAGGGCGAAATATGAACTTCGATAAGTATAAATCCCAAAAGATTGCATCCTTATACTTCTTTTATCGAGTTTACGCAAATCATATTCACCTAAAAGGATTCTTTTTGAAATATGTAGAAGTCCTTGGGGATTTAACTTTCTTATTTTTATTACACATGATTAGGGACTCTATAACATCATAACATTTGTGATCATTCATTTTCTTTAAAGTATATTGAAAATATACACGGGGAAAAAGATTTAAGACTTTGTGTATCAAGATTTATTTTTATTAAGCCAAATTTCGAACCAGCTAGTTTTTTATATATCTTTTTAAATTTATTATATACATTTTTACTATTAAGCTTATATCCTTGTCTTATCCAATGAATGTATATTTTTTTTGATTTTTCTTGTTTCTTTTCTACTTTATAAAAACTGATCTCGTCTAAGGAAAAAGGCTAATTGCAAATATGGTCTCAATAGTTCTTTTAACTGTGTCATTTTGATATTTGATGTGCCGAACAATTTTCGTGGATTTCACGAAAACATAATACTAATATTTAAAAAAAAATCAAAAACATCATTACACAATACTACACATACTATATTTTGATAAAATATTATATTTTGTATTAAAAGTAAAATTTTATTTTATTAAGGATAAACATTAATTGAATTAAGAATAAACATTAAATAAGTACAAATAATAATTTTAAATGTAGGTAGGTAAACTAATTGTAAAATTATAAACTTTAAAATTTTTTTTTTTTAAATTAAAATAAATATAATTTTAAGTTGATAATTTTTTAAAATAAATTAAAATTAATTTTTTTTAATATATGAAAAATTTACAAAAAGTAGTTAGAAACAAAGAAAGGAAAAAGATGAAATATTGATTATTTGCAGAAAAAATGAGTGGGTCCTATCATTAATGAAACATCTTGTATACGGCATCACATGTGTTATTATTTCACAAGTGTTACACAATAAGGACAAAGGTATCGAGTGTTGCACTTGTAGTAGATTTTTTTTTCTTCAAGCACTGTGCTGGACTGTACTACTAGCTATACAAAAAATGTATTCTGCACAGTACAGTAATCGACCTAGTTTTTCGCATCCTTACTTCTGTAAACATAAGAGCATCTCGTCAACAAGTCCTGTCGGCTTATAAGTTTAACGACCCTTCTCAAGTGACTCGTTGACTAAAATCAATATTTATGTCAAATTAATTTTTCATCTCGTTCTCCCAACCTTTAACCCATGCTGCACTTTCAGCGCTGTGCCTTTAATACAGTGGACAGCTACACTATATAGAGTCCCTTATGTAAATATAAATATATATAAGTCATCTATTATTATTTGTGTCGATACAATAACATTATTAACGACTTAAACAAGTAGTCTATTGCGGAACTGAAACAAAAAACCTTTGGTCGCGTGTGTGATCATGTTTCTGAAAACGAGACCGCAACATTATAATAAATCATACATATATATGCAAGGGTTTTCTGCTGTTGCAGTGGACCGTAACGTTGACCCCTTAGGAACCGCCCTTCCTTTTATACATGACACATGTCGTACCAGCGAGGGGATGAATACGCTGCGACAACGTTATTGTTTCTAATTAAAATAATTGTAAATTGCGATCATATTATTTTTGTATTACTTGCCTACAGAGATGGGATTGTCTGCGAATAACCCACATCATTATTTATGTATGTATGTATACCCAATCCGGTTTTGGCGTACGGCCGATGATTGAATTAAAAATGCTGGGTCTGACTTAACAGCTGTTGTAAGTGTGTTACAGCACCGGAAGTTAAGCTCACAAATGAGTTAAGCAAAGACTGATAATAGAAAATATAGATTATTTCATATTAGCCTGGAAACGGCACATATATATGGTGTAGGTAAATTAATTAAAGGTATTCAATTGGTACAATCGAATTTCAAGAGAATAATAATTATCATCTGAATATTCTATTTGTATGCCATTCAACTCATATAGTGCGCTTACCTCGCTTACTAACGGTTTTGCTTATCTATTTTATTGTAATTTATATTTAATATAATAAATTATATAATATATACATAAAATGTACCGTTAGTGTGTAGATTGTATACGATTACCTAAATTATTAAATAAACAGCTATACTGTATGGTAGGTATATTTGCTCATATTTTGTGTTCTTATGTTATAATAAAATACCTATTTTATCCTTTAAAATTATACAGTGTAGTCATAGTCTTACAAACTTCACAATCTCGAGTAGGTTAGGTTCTGCGGTAATATTAACCAAAAAATGCGAGGTTAGGCCAGTTTATTTAATACTTGTTATTGGTTCTGCCGATAATCATTAATATCAGATAAAATGGGCACAAGTTGAAAATAGGTTCCAACTTGTAGGGCGCATAATATTACCTAAGTTAATCTACAGATATCTGTTAATCAAATATTTAACACTAGTTAATGATACTGTGGAACTAATGTAAGACTTAGAATGGATCAACATTAATGTTTACTAAAGATGAATTTCCTTAACATATTTTTTTAATCAGACTTACACTGGAACGATATTAGTTGCTGTGAATCCTTATAAAGAGTTGGGCATATATTCAAATGTAAGTATACTAGTAATTATACTTTATATCTCCAACCTATTACAATAATATTAAATAAATAAGTTAAACTAAAATTTTCTTTTTTTTAGTTGCTAAATAGGCACAATAGTTATAAATTTGCATATATTAGTAAATGTGGTTATAAAAAAAAAATTCGGTCTTAAAAGCGTTCAGGAGGGTACATTTTTTTACAATATATGACTATAAAGACAATTTTTTTTTAGTGAATTGGTTGATAGTTAATGATGAACGTTCGGTTTTGTATTCAGAAAATAACACCGTGTCAGTAGTGTTGTGACTTGTGAGATTACCTTTATAGCGGTTTAATCGTTTCTTCGATATAATTTGTCACGTTCGTCGCGTTATATGCTGTAGTAAACTACTATATCCAATGTAAAAAAATATACAGAACAGTTGATTTTGAAATTAGACATATGTTTTGAAAGTACTTTTTTTACGCAATGTCAATGTTATTTTTGAATTGGACATTTTTTGTAATACTTAACATGAAACCAGCATTATTTTTCCTTCGTCTCGCACTTTCTACATTTTGATATATTGTATTTATAAAACCGGTTTCCTTTTACGCTTCGCATAGGTATAATACTTAAAACAAACAGAAACTATCCCTCTAACTAGGGGTGTGACTCAGCCGGCGGAGGAGTTGGCAATTGCAAACGCAACGCACGTTTTTCTCCGTGTACCTACACCCACCAAGTATTGATCTGTTGTGGCCAGTGCCGAGGTAGAATAACAGCCAAATTTTACATTCATTGCCCCTCGGTATATCCCTTGTACGCGTTTTCTGACCCCGAAACGCCTTGGGACACACTACACACTCGAGTTGGTCTAGAATCGTTCTTTCTAGAATACGATTAAAAGATGTTTAAGATGTATTAACTTCGAGAATTGTCAACGAGCCGCGCCCCCATTTATAAAATCTTGTTTGTGAAGAACAAAATATGCATAAGATTCCACCTCTCTCTCTCCTAATAACTAAATATATATATATAAACGATAATAATATTATGTTAATATTGTCGCGTTTTTGTAAGCTACCGTATCATGTTTTTCTTCCATTGTGTATCAGGTTAAGTCGAAACTGCTGAGAAATGCGCCGTTTAAAATATAATAATAAAAGTTGAAATTCATTTTAGTTGTTAAATAAAAGCTATCCGGTGTATTCGCTGTTTTTACTTAAAATTATGCACCGGTTAAAGTTAATAATTAGTAAATGTCAATGACAATGTATAATTAAAACTTACGTCAATAGTCAGACTTGACGCTCTAATTAGATCATGCATGTTTGCCAGAAACTCGAGTTCTTAGAACCAATTTGTTTTTTGTCATAATTGACAAAACTGAATTATCGTTAGTAAATTCATGCTTATTGCGTTATGGTTGTTTGATCAATACATTAACTAAGTCACATTTTAATTGACATTCATAATTAAATTTAAATAAAGTGAAGAAACATATAAAGAAATAGTCAGTTTTTAACAAATGCGACGGAAAAGTCATATTATTACTATATTATATTATATGTATGTATATTTCCTTATTATTAATATTATAATGGCATTTCGTTAAAGGTTAAAAATATTGTAATAAAACCTTTAGGCCTCAGAAAAAGACCTTAGAGTGACAAACATTTCTTAAGTCTCAACGATGACCTTTTGTGTAAAAAAAATACAATTTAATCTAGGCTTAAATAAAAAGGATTTATATTCATCGTTTCGACAATGTTAATTAATTTTAGCTACAACACAGAGCTGAGAACTTATTGGTTTGTAACAATAATGTGTTTGTAATTTTTTTTCTGGGTCTATAACTTTTTATCCACTTTACTGATTTTATCATTATATACAGTAAATTTCAGGTCCTTCGACCAAAAGTTGAAAAAGTTTACTTCTTTTCCTTCAAATTTAGAAAAAAATACCTCAAAACTAATATTTTTATATTGTTTTGATTTATTATATAGGATTATGTATTTCAATACCATGGATTTAAAATTGGTGTTTTGGAGCCACATGTGTTTGCTGTGGCTGAAGCCGCATACAACAGTCTCCAAACTGGCGATATCGATCAATCGTGTGTCATATCGGGGGAAAGTGGAGCAGGCAAGACAGAAACCACCAAATTCATCTTGCAATACTTATGCTCAGTTACTAGTAACATCAGCACGTGGGTTGAACAACAAATACTTGAGGCTAATACGATATTAGAATCATTTGGTGTGTACCGCACTTCTATATTTTTAAATTACTTAAAAAGAAATCATTGCCACTATTTTCCATATCTTGCTTTTAAATAATTGGCATTTATTACAATTCTTTATATTTTTGAAAATAAAAGAAATAAGTTGATTAAGTTATAATTGTAATTTTGAATGTATTTAGGAAATGCTAAGACTGCGCGGAACGATAATTCTAGTAGATTTGGGAAATTCATGCAAGTGTGTTTTGACAACAAATGGATGATAAAGGGTTGTATAATTCAGGACTACTTGCTAGAACAGTCGAGAATAACTTTTCAAAGTGCGGGAGAGCGAAATTATCATGTGTTCTATCAGCTCGCGGAGGGCGCAAGGGTAAGTCAAAGTTAAAAACATATAATCTAGATCGTACATTAATATTTTTGGTTCAGTAAATTATTGATAAATACTTATTGTGTATACGTATATATATATATATATATCGTCAACAGCATAACAAAGACTTGGTGGAACTGTACAAATTGAAACCACCTGAGTTTTACAACTATTTGAACCAGTCTGGATGTATCAAAATTGACGGAGTTTCAGATGTACACAAGTTCGACGCTTTGCGCTTAGCTTTTAATGTGTTACGCATACCATTGAACATGGTGGATGGCATTTTCTGCGTTCTGTCTGCCATACTTTGGCTGGGAAACACAGTATTTCGGGTGAGTTAAACAATATAGAGCATATTACATATTATGCTACACTCAATACAATAATGCTCTGTACACATATGTACAGAGCATTATTTTAAATGATTTTCTATTTTTAAATATTATTGTACTCGGATTTTAGGATATTGACGGCGAAAAATGCCAACTGACAGAAAATGATCATGAGATATTGTCGGTTGTCTCTCATTTGCTCGGATTACAAACCGAAGACGTTGTTCATGTCGCCCTACTCAGACAGATCAACGTCCGAGGTAATATTACGGAAATACCGTTGAAATTACAAGAGGTACGATGATGAAAACACATTTTACTGACTGGTGTAAATATTTTCCATAACTGTATTTCGTGCGATTTTAGGCTATCGAAAATCGACACGCAATGGCTAAAGCGTTGTACTCGAGAACGTTTGCATGGCTGGTAAATCATATAAATACTTGTACAAATCCGGGTCAAGACTCGTCTAGGCTCCTGGGTGTGTTGGACATATTCGGATTCGAAAATTTTGCAGTAAACTCTTTTGAACAGTTATGCATTAACTACACAAACGAAAAACTTCACAAATTTTTTAACCATTATGTTTTCGCTCTAGAACAGGAGATCGTAAGTGTGCTTTTCAATTAATAACTTTATAAAATATACACGTGCATGTGAATTGTGTATATAATTCTGAAATGTACGTTTGACGTCGTTTGATTGTTGTTTGATAGTACCGCCAAGAAGAAATTCAATTTTTCCACATTCAATTCACAGACAACACGACATGCTTGGAACTCATTGAAAAACCACCTCGTTGTATCCTGAAACTGTTAACCGAGCAATGCCATATGCCGAAAGTAATTGCCTTTCACAATATAGTGTAAACCTAGTCTAATTTAAAATTGTTTTATTATAGGGGTCTGACACTACTTACCTAATGAATTTGCACACGGAATTTGAGAGTCATCCAAACTTTGTGAAGGGAGGCGACCGTCGAAAATGGGAGTCTGAATTCGGCATTGTGCATTATGCCGGATCGGTGACGTATGCGGCCAGTGGGTTTGTTGACAAAAATCGCGATGTACAGCAAGACGTGTTCTTTGATTTTATGACCCGCTCGACCAATGTCTTTGTCCGTGAGCTCATCAAGTACCAGGTATAAACGCATACTTTAATGTGCAATTCGTTCACAACTCTACTAACATAGCAAATTACTAATATGAAGGATTTGCTGGGAGCCACTGTATCTCGAATGGGTAATAACAACTCAACGACGACCAGAGGCACGACCAAAGGGCGACCTACTGTAAGTGATACGTTTAGACATCAACTGCAAGCTCTAGTCGATGTTCTTCAGTCCACAAACCCGTGGTAAGTAGGATTTATATAATCTAAGAATTATTTTTTAATTGCTATAAAATATGTACCATAAATTATGTTTTATTTACAAAGGCATCTAATTGGATAAAAATAAGTTTTAATGCTTGTAAGTGTTGTTAGTATGTACTTAAATTATCTAGTTTAGCCACACAATTACGTTTTCTTCTTATAATGCGGGTAAGACTGTTCAATAATTGAATAATAGGTATAAAAAAGTGGTTACATTGCGTTATATAATACAGCTATTAGAAATATTAAAAACTGAAACAATAAAGGGCATGACGATAAAGTCATGAAACTAGATTATCAAATATATTTATCGTATTATCATTGTATTGTAAATTTAACACTTGGTAATTTCAAAATAGAAAAAATTTTCTATTGAAATTATGTTAAATGTCCAAGACGTATAATATGTTAATGAAATACTTTAGGTACGTGAGGTGTATTAAACCAAATATGATCAAAGCTCCAGACCATTACAACGAAAAACTTGTTTTGGATCAGCTGAAATACTTAGGAATGCTGGACATTATCAGGATTCGTAAAGAAGGTTATCCCATACATTTATCATTTAATGAGTTTCTAAGCCGTTATAGATGTTTAGTTAGGAAAAAGTTACCGGATGATGAACGTTCGGCTGTTAAGTATGTATTGCGTTGTGTTTAGATTTTTGTAATTATACCTAACTCCTTTCTTGTATTTTATAGCGCGTTCTTGACTTTACAAAATATTCCCACCGAAGAATGCCAAATAGGTAAATCCAAAGTTTTTTTACGAAATAAAGCTCACGAACCTCTCGAAGACAAACGAAAAGTTATGCTCAACCAAATGGCTATAGTTATTCAACAAACTTGGAAAGGTTATTTTGTCAGGAAAGGTAATTTTTTAGCGAATCACTATTACGTTAACTATAATTTGTATATAGCTTCGGTATTATTAATCAATCCTTAAATTTTAAGTATAGGTAATAACCGACTTAAAATAACTAACTAATAACCTAACTTATGTAAAAATCGAATACAAAATATCTCAATTTTTTGTTTTCTTTGTGTAACAGATTATTTAAAAGTACGATCTGCTATAATAATCATTCAAAATGCGTTCAAAAGCTGGAAACAACGATTAGAATTTTTGAAAAAGCGAAGAGCAGCTATCATAATTCAATCCCATTTAAGAGGAGTGTTCGCGCGTGAGGTATTGCAAATTGTTATATTGAGTCTTAGCGAACAAAAACTTAAACGATTTCCACGTGTGTAATATTTCATTCAGGTCGCGGCTGCATTAAGGGAAATGAGAAGAGTTGAAGAAGAAATGCGTAAGCGTGAACGAATGGAGGAAGAAAAACGTAAAGCCGAAGTTGCCAGAGAACAAGAAGAGCAGTCGAAAGAGGTGCAAGCTCAAAAAGAAGAAGAAGAAAAGTACGTACAGGATAGACGGCAAACAAAAACATAGTTTATGGAATATTGCACAATTTTGAATTTTTTAGAATATCTGAAATTGAGTTTGCCAAGTTAACAGAACAATTGAACACGAGGTTAAACGTTGATCCAGTACACGAATCTGTAGATCTTGACAATTTGTTTGCGTTCCTATCGGACGTACAATCTGGTCAATCAACGACTAACTCCATTGGAGACCGTATGAAGGACATAGTAAGCGATTTAGATGAGGTAAATTGCACATGTAAAACTCTAATTGATTTCACGTGGTTTATGCTTACATTGAAAGTTTATTTTTTTATTTTTTTTTAAATATATATCTAGAAGATGCATAGAAAAAAAATTATATGACATTATAAATAAATAATTAAAAAAAAGATATAACGTGAAAACTTGGAACTATTATTGAAGAAACCTTTAAAATATTTGAACAAGTTTTGATTTGGTGAAAAATGTTGTTTTACCTAATTTTTTTTATAATGTAGCTTAAATATAATTGTTTTTAAAGAAATTTTCTTTGTTTTATTTTAAAAAGCAATTTGAAATATTATAGGCTGTATTTATATACTTAACTTTATTCACTAAACCTAAACTACGGAATCAATAGTATCTATTGCACTCATATTTTATACAATCATTCAACTTGTGTGTAAATGTGGATTAATTTTGTGTGTTTAGTTGGAAAGTGTTATTCAACAGGAAATAGACAGTGTTGAAATGGAACATAATAAAAGAGAGAAGGCAATGTCTCCCTCAAATCAACCTATTTTGCCGGAACCATCACATCCACCACCTCCTCCACCTCCGTTTAATCAAGAACCTGTAAAACCTAAAGACGAACCTATCTACGAGGCCGTCCTTCCGAGGGACGAAGAAACTGAATCTCCGCCACCTTTGCCCACACCTCCTCATAAGTTAACTCGGCCTATGAGTCCTGCTATCGTAGATAGTGTGCACAGACCTTTAAGTCCTGCTACGGTTTTGTCTTCACCACGACAGAGTAGGCCGAGCTCAAGGACGTCCGGAACTGGGGTAAAATATATTTTATCGTCCTTAAGTCAAATCCACTTATTTGTTATACCTATTATGTAATATGATGTGTCTTATATCAATTGCATTTGTAAAAAAAACTGTGCAAGATTGAAAGGTAATAAAAATCCGCTAGGTACTTTTGCTTGAACGGTTTTTACCTAATACAGCCTATGATATATATTATATAGTTAAATATTTTGTCTAAATACTTGAATGATTTGTATACGATAGGGTGCAAATACCAATTGGAAATACAACAACGGGTGTACCGAGGACACTGAGAGAGACCAAAGACGAAAGTTTAGAGTTGAAAAGAAACTAATGGAAATGGAGAATATCCAAGAGAAATCTGTCGCCGATCCTTTACAAGACAATTACCATGACATCCTAGAGTTTGCTGAAAATTATTTCAATGCACATGAGCGGTCACCTGAAGGTTTTTTAAAAAAAAACCTATTACCTCTGTTTTATTATGTTAGTTGATTTATGTAAAATCGAGCGTTTTAAATCCTAGGTACAATAATTGCTACGTTAAAGAGGAAGAGCAAATCCATTGAAAAAATACCAATGTATGAAATGGTTTCATTTCACCGCGGCTCAACTATACCGACTTCGCACATCCACATGTACGATCCAGATAACATAACAATAGCCATATCATTATTTAGGGTTAGTCAATTGTTAAATGCTATATTTGTGAAAAACAGTGGTTGTTAGCTATATTACTACGATATTCTATTTCCACAGGATCTCTCCAAGTATACGCGTGGCGACGTCAAACCGGACAACGAAGTGCAAATAATTCAGACTATTATTGGCGCCGGTATTAACCGAGAAGAATTGAGAGACGAAATTTTTGTGCAATGCATGCGACAGGCGACTAACAATCCCAGTATGGAATCGACAGAGAGAGTGTGGCTCCTTATATGCTTAGCCATCGTTGCGTTTCAACCGAGCAAGATATTGTACAAGGTAAAGCTGTGACCGTTTTCCCGATCGTCGTCTAGGTTTTTAATTGTTGTGTTTTAGTATTTTGTTAGCTTTTTGCGAAAAAATCTTCAGTGTGACGGGAAGCTCAAACAATACGTCCAATGGTGCCTGGAGAACTGTAAAAACATCAAAGTGTCTTGCAGGCAATATCCGCCTTCCACCGTCGAAATAGCTGTAAGTATTTTCTCTAGGAAGTTATTCGATTGAATTTCCCGAAACCGGATATAATTCTTAATTTTATTTGTCTGTTTAGGCTATGAGGAGACTCGGCACGATCGTGTGTAGGTTCTTTTTCTTAGACGGCCGAACCAAAGCTATAGACATTCATCCGACCGACACGGCAAGCGACGCTGTCTGTAAACTCGCCGATAAGTTGTGCTTACGGTCTATCGACGGTTGGTCGATTTACCAAAGTCGTTCGGATGGTGAGGAACATGTTCGAGCTCATTACTATCTCTACGACATTATCGCTGCTTGGCAATCGTGAGTTTTATAATTATACTATTATATTTTGTATACGTCATTCATTTTGGCTATTTTGTTCGTGTGAGCGCAGGAAACAGCAAACCAAACAAGCCACCCCCAGTAACTTCCCTTCGATAAGCCGGAGGGCGAGTAACACGTCGTTGAGTAGTGGTGAAAACCGTTTCATATTCAAACGTAGACTGTTTCGGCACTCACGTGAAATATCTCAGGATCCCATTGAAGTAAATCTTTTGTATGCTCAAGCTGTTTACAGCGTCGTAAAAGTGAGTACAACAAATTCCAGACGCCTGACATGAAACACAAATATGCATTCATTATTTGATTTTTTTACAGTGCGACGATTTCCCGGTCAGTGAAAAAGTAGCCTTGCAGTTGGCAGGACTACAGTGTCAAGTATCACTCGGTGACCCTAAAGAGTCGACGTTGGAGTTTTACGCGGACGTTGAAAACTATTTGCCTTTCCGAATAAGTCAAACGAGGAGTTCTGACAGTTGGGTAAATAATAATTACTCATTTGTGGATAAAACAATAGAACACAAAAGTTCGGTATAAAAGTCTAAAGTAAAACGCTTTTAATTCTAGGTGCCTATATTAGCTCAAGCCCATCAACAGTACGGTGCCGGCAGGTCAGAACTCATGGCTAAGGTCTTGTACTTGTCGTGTGTAATGCAATATCCACTGTACGGTACCACGATGTTCCACGTCACTTACAGGGGATATTGGTCCTACGGTTAGTGTCTAGAATTACAAATTACTATTCAATATTCATCAAATATATTGTTGCTAATGTGTGACATGTTGACCACGACAGGTAATAGTTTGATACTCGGTGTAAACTGCGAAGGCCTAATGTTGATCAAACCCGAAGACAAATTCGTCATGTACGAATTCCGCTATTCCGACGTTGAATCAATATTTTTAGATCCTAGCGACTGTTTTCTCACAATAAACCTAATGAGACACCAAAACGACAGCGCTTCGGCACATAGGTGTTTCGTCTTTGAAACCCAACAGAAATCTGAAATCGGATCGCTCATTGTTAGCTATTGTCCTGGACTAGCCAGTTGGATTAGCGAAAGCGAGGCACCAGTAAGCGGATCATTTTTTATTTGTACGGTGTATTTTATTTGATTCACACTGTTAATAATAAACGTTTAGGTCAAAGCCATCACAAACGACGATCGCATCCGGTTATATCACAACGTGATAAATTGCCGACGGACTTTAATTGACTCCGACATGCTTAACAAACCCCAAGATACGTCGGGAAATTTTTTGAAAAACACCCTGAGACGGTAAGTGTTTACTTGTAGTTTCGATGTGAAGCTCAGAAGGTACTGTTTTTACAGTGATATGTTATTATTATTATATATTTTTTGTATTGTGTCTGAAACTACGATATCTTTTAAACCACTGAACCGATTTTTTTTCATGTATTAAATCTATAGATCAGAAATCATACCTGAAGGGTACTTTGTAGAAACAAACATTTAAAAAGTTCACTCCTTCCAAATCGAGACAAACACCCAAACAGTTTATGTATTGTTCAAATTACGGGTCTATATAACTTTTTTTTAAATAGTCTGATTAATTCCAAATGTGTAAGAACTATTTTTTAGACCTAGTAGTACCAATAAACTTGGATAAAACCAAAACATATCATAAGCACTTCACCCCGGACACTTTTTCTTTATTTTGCTTTTTTAGGGCTCAAAGTCTTAAAATTAGACTTCAGGTACATAGATATAGAATGAGACTATAACGTATACAATTTTCGACAATTTGTTGTTAAACAAAATTTTTTATTATGAGAAAGCACGAAAAATAGGGAAAATTACACTTGACCGTGGTCAATTTCTAGATTGTTATGTGCCAAGGAAAAAACATTAAACAGTGAACAAGTATTTTAAAAACTTTTTATTGTGTTGTTGATTACGAAACATGAGTAACAATAGGAACACATTATTATAGAAAAAACGATCAACCCTAATTGTAACCTTCCTTATACTCAAAATATAATTTTAAGCACATATTAGCTTTTAAAAAGCTTTTATATATTTTCTGTCCCCACTATGGCCCGACTCCACTGTAATGTTTAATATATTTCTTATATATGTTCACGGTGTGTATATTATAGACTAAGCAAACACAAATTGGAGAAATTATGGGCCGAACACATTGGGTCGGAACACGGTGAGACGTATAAAGGGTTTTCAGGTTCATACTGGTCGTTCAGTAGGCAACCCATCCCGCAGAGTCTCAGTCGCTTGTCCGAACAAGACGAACAAACGGCCATTCAGATGTTCCAAATCATGTTGAAATACGCTGGTTTAGGTCAAAACGGTAACGATTATAACAACGCTTTTACCAATTTTATTTTATTGAAATACCATTGTATCTCAGGAGAAGTGGTCCGAAGAGCCGAAGATGAACACATTACCCTAATACAAACGGTCATGGAACGGTCGATGAGAAAAGAGTCACTGTTGTGCGAGCTGTACTTACAACTGATCAAACAGACCACAGAGCATCCCGACCCCAACTCTCGAGTAAACCTAAGGCATTGGGCATTGTTGTCGCTCACTTGTTCTGTGATCTTGCCACCGCAACGCAATATCCGAAAATATTTAATAGCTCATTTACGGAAGTGTGCAGGAGACTGCGTTACCGAGGAAGGAAAATACGCTCGTTTCGCCGAAAAAGTATAAGCGCATGATTGAACTGCATGTCAATAAACTTTCCAACAGGTTATTAACATATTATATTACTCGTTTCAGTGCGTGTCGAAAACCCAGGGTACTAGGAGGAGACAGTGGCCGCCATCTAGAGAAGAAATACTGTGTACCATTAACAGAAGGTTGATATATGCACGGTTCCATTTCATGGACGGCCAGTACCACGCAATTGAGTTTCATCCTTCGTCGACGGCTAAAGATGTAGTGGAAATCGTCAAAATGAAAATTGGTCTTCGAAAAACCGCTATGGGTACTATTCGTTAGAAATTACCAATTTTGCTTTTTTTGAATTTTTTACCTTTTATGACCAACCACTCTACTCTTTTCCTCTACTTCTCTACTCTTTTTACTTTTCTATCTGCTATCATCTCTCAATCCACCCCGAAAAACTCTACGTTTTCCATAATACCAGTAATTTCTTCTTTCCCCTGACTTTGTAATTACACACGTACGTTGAGACAACATTCTATTGCAATACACTTCATACACTGATTATAAGTATTGCTCAAGGTACATTAGTAATAATAATGGTTATTTATTGGTTGTGTAGGTTACGCCATTTACGAGGTTCTAGGAAATTCGGAGCGTAGTCTAGTGGCTGAAGAAAAATTAGCCGACGTCATGTCAAAATGGGAAAGATATAGAAATGCCAACACCGGTGGAGCCAGTACGACCAAACCCATCCGGAAACACAGTCACATATTCTTGTTCAAGAAACATCTGTTTCTCGACCAATACATGGATTTGGATGATCCCGTAGAAAAAGAATTGTTATATTATCAAGTGCTCCACGGTCTCCGGTGCGATCGTTTCCCAGTGACCGACAATGAAGCGGTAAGTAGTTTAGTTGATAGCTTGCAAAACTATGTCGTTCTAATCTCATTGTGATCAAATGTCATCAGGTTATGTTGACTGCGCTACAAGCTCAAGTAGAATTAGGAGACTGCGACGATGTAGTTATGGAATACCGGCAAGTCTCGTGTCATTGTCTTCCAACGAGACTTGTGACCAACGTGCCAAATGAAGACGTAGCTATGCATCACCAAAGCCTTAGAGGCATGACTTCGGCAGAAGCTAAAAAGGCATTCCTAAACCTTATCAAAAGCTGGCCTCTTCATAGGGCTACTATATTCGACGTTATGGTAAACATTTAGAGCGAGATTCATTTAAGGTTACAATTTCGTAATTAGATACCTCATAATTTCATTGATTTGTTATTCGTTATAGCAATCGTTTACATCCAATTGGCCTCGAGTCCTTTGGCTGGCCGTCGATCAAACTGGCTTACACTTACTGGAGCATCGTTCCCGTAACACGTTATGCTCCTACGAATACGACAGCATTCTGAGCTACAGCCCAGCTGTTAATTGTCTCATGATCATAACGGGTAGTGATAAGAAACAAAGCAAGATCATCTTAACTACATCACAGGTATTATACACTAACCGATGCCAAACTACCAAGTTCGAGGTCTCGCTAATAACGTTTATTAAAGAGCAAAGTATAGCAAAAGTTTTAAAAATTATTACAAAGATGAGTGTCCTACAAGAATTATATTACTGTTTTTTTTTAAATATTAATCTTTTTCTTAAAAATGTTCAAATGTTCAGACCTTTAATGTACTCAAGAGTTTCCTCGTGATTTTTGTTGTATTTTATTAGCATAGGGAATTAAAAAATTTTATTTAAACATTTTAACTAGGAAAGTAATTAAAGTGTTTTCAATTAAGAAAGATACTTTAAGCGTAAATATGACACTTCAAAATACTTTTTTTTTGATTTCGTGATACATTTTTTTCAAAAACTTTTTAGTTTTATCAGTTCAATGGGCTGTAACTTGATAAAATCAAAATGAAATATCATGAGAGTGATTTTGAATACTTAAAATTTCAGCTTTAAAAATCTTTTTTTAAATTGTAAAAATGTTAATTGGTTTTTAAGTAAAAATGTTTTAAGTGAAAAACTAAAATTTTCCATGCTAATAAAATGCAAACAAATATATCACGAAAACATACTTAGGAAAACTAGGGATACACAATTTGATGGATTTCTTGTTTTAATAGGCTAATATCGATTGGTTAAAAAACGTATTTTTAGACAGTAGTTTACACATTATATATAGATTACAAAGTTCAACCTTAATACCAAAAACACATTAAGCACATTATTGCCTTTTGAATGATTTTTGTCGATGGATATTTAATATCTACAAATTTACATTGAAGCGTGAAAGTGATTGTTTTACTACGAACCGGGATCCTCGCCCAAACCGGCAATAAAAAACAGTTTCATCAGAACCTTTATATAATATTAGATACTTTTTTATTTTATTACTTATACTGGCTTAATCTGAAAATGCTATAATGAGTTTTTTTAATTTTAGGCGTTTCAAGTAGCCAACTTAATACGAGAATACACGGAAGTATTACAATCGCCACAAGGACTCAAGAAAAGAGATGGAGGAGGTAGAAAAAGCGGCATCAACGGCTCAAGCTCCCGACCTGTTAGTATTCTTCATAAACCAGTGCCCGCGATTGAAATGCAAACATAAATTATCTTCGCCCTTGAAAATAAACAGTTATATTATTATTAATTTTTTTTTATCTACATTGTTCGTAATGCTTTAAAAGCGTTGTCGCCTTTAAATAGTATGTTTTGTATTCTTAACAACCCTATACCAATTTTTTTATTTCTTTATTTAATAATTTGACAATTTGTTAGCTGTAGGTTAGGTATGTTTGTGTTAACTAATATTTTTTTATTTATTTTAATTTTATTGAGCTCAGGTTAATATTTATAATTATTTATTATCTATATTGATATGTGTTAAGTCAACAATAAATATGCTTTATTGTGCTCATTAGTAAACCCATTTTATTATTATGTGTAACTGCTAATTGATTTGTTTAGTCATAACATATTTGTAATTTTTAATTTATTAACCGGTTGTAATATTTTTCAAGGCATTTATCGAAAATACCAGCTAGTATTGAGTTATATTTTATTTTTAGTGTAATTGTCAATATCGTTATTTATTTTTTACATTATTTAGTTAATATAGAAATTTAAAATTAAATAAATATATATTATTATTTACAAGTATTAAATTATATGAATCAACTATAATCAAACATACTATAATTATAGTTATAATAATATTAAATATATACATTTTAAGTATGGATTTATAATTACAAAATATTATATATATGCACATAATATATGAAAAACATGTACAATTATTTAACAAAGTTTTCCATACAATAATATTTAATTTTTACTTTGCTACTTAACTGTTACAATGGTTTCTTTACGAACAAACAAAACATTATTATTGTTATAATATTTTTTTTTTTTGTAAATATTTTATTTTGTATGCATTATTATTATTATTATTACCATATATGTTATGGAAAAATACGCCAAATATTGTTATAAACTAATGATGTTATATAATTTTATAATTTATAGTACCCATGAAGTACTATTATATCAACGAAGAGATATTTTTTGTCTACAACAAAAATAGATGTAGGTAGGCCTACTATTGTATGCTATTATTGATGTGCCACTAAAATTTTCCTGAATATATATAATATATACATTTAAAAGTCACTATAAAGTTTTGGTTTTTTTTTTAACTATGTTATTGTAGAAGTTTAATAGAAAATTGTTTACATTCATGTCACAGCTTGTCTCACCACAACCCTAGTTAAACCCTAATTATTTAGGATCTCTTTTAGAGTCAAATACAATTTAGGTTTGTAAATCGTGTTAATCAGTGTTGTATGTAACTAAGGACTACAACCGAGCTTTTGTCCACCAAGCAACTCCAAGTTAACTTTTTATTTTTTATAGGTTCTATAATATGTTCAGTGTTCACATTATAATCTATATAGCTAGTTAATGCTTATGCCACTTTTTTATTAACAAGAAGTCGATAATTAACTATTTGGTTCTAATGGTTTAACCATTGATGTTACCAGGAAAATGTACAAAAAGGGCCAAAAGTTATTAATAAGAACCTACACAAGACAGACTCATCGATACCTTAAAAATGTTTTGAAGAAACCTAATGAATTTTCAAAATTTAAATAGAATTATTTGTAAGACTATATCTAATATCTACTCAAAGTATAAACATATTTTGTTATACAAAAGTAAAGCTTGTATACGTTATAGAATTAAAAAAAAAAATTATTATCAAAATAGATCCTCTTTCCTGTGTTAATATAAATATCTAAAAATGCAAGCTAAACATAATTGCATATACAATGCGCCTTAATAAAATATAGTTTAGAGGCCCCTTAAGGCGTAAATAATAATAATAATTCAATGACAGTCCAATAACCACAGCTGTCGCGGACTATATTTAATAAAAAAAAAAAAAAAATAATAATTCATAGATTACTGTATCTATTGTTATTTTTTAGATTTTTTTTATCATTTTATTAATTAGAAGTAATATTTAAAATTATTATTTATTAGTAGGTACTACAATTGGTTGGGACCTTGTGTATTTTTCATGGGTTGAGTAGCGAACACTGAACAGCAGTAAATATAGAAAAAACCTAACGAGATAAGATGGATTGACTTGGTCAACATACGTTACCTAAAATTGCTATTAAGTATCTAGGTGCTTACATTTAAATGCTATAAAACCCCTATTTTTTTAATAGTTAATACATTTGAAAACATATAAAAAAAAATGAAAAGCCTTTAAAACAGTGTCACTTTCCGGGGTCTATACAAATCTACCTTGGTATCCACCTTGACACTTATCCTGATAAATGTCAACATACAACTATTGTTGATAACGTTATTCTTATCACTAATTATCATGTTTCCATTCCCGCCAATTCAGTTTCTCTTTGTATCGCCCGTAAGGCTAGAGAGTAGAGTAATACTACAGGTTACTCCACGATAATATTAACCGCATATTAGTTAATTAGTAACTTAAAATTTTAAAGTTTGAATTCTGAGTCTCGACTCTCGTGAAATATGTAAATAGTAAATATTCATGTGGAACTGAGTTAAATTAAAATTGTGAATTGTTTTTTTTTGTGTTCATTATACTTAGTGGTTTATATCGATCAATAATTTTCTGTATTCTATACTTTAAAGCAAATATTATAATATTTTGTTAAATAATATTAAACATGAGTAACTCTAAAATTACAACACTTGTTGATTTGGCCAACAAAAGACTAAACAGCAGTGAAGATTTTGATGAATTTCAGTCATTCGTTAGTCAAGAACTGGATGTTGATACAGTAAGATTAAGTTATTTATAACTAATGTTGCTTATTTCTTGTTAAAATTAATTATCTTTTATGTACTTGATTTGTAAGCTGTCCCGTTATTTCCTTTATGCTACTGTAATTTTAGAAGTATTTTATTGAATAGCTTATATTAATGATGTCTCAAATGACTAATGACATAATCATTAGTCAAATGTCAATACTACTAAATTTTGTAGTCTAAAAATATATTTCAAAATATAAAATAAGCAGTTGGCAAGGCTTAAGAAGGTCCTAACTACCTGTATTATACACTTAGTTGATAGTTATAGCCAATGATAAATTCTACTAGAGTTCTATTTGATATTATAAAAATAGTTTATTACATTAACTTTTGTTTTGAATTGTTTATAGATTTATCCATTAATAGATGAAAAAATTGACCGGGAAGATGGACCAAAAATTTTGGAATATATTTTAGTAGGGTTATCAGTAAAACCGGATGCCCAACAACTTATTGAAAAGGTAAGAAATATAATACATTATCTATTATCTAATACCTAATATAAATGGTACAAATTATTTTTAATATTGTATCATTCATACTTCTGAATAGGAGACTGTAGCTGTGGTTTCAGTTTACTCTCGATCACTATTATTTTTAAATCTACTGTGTAACTTAAAAATTATAATTTAATAATGTATTTAAATTAATATTTTGTTTAGGTTTATGAGTACGTGCTAAATGCCATAAACAAAGCAGAAATATCTGGAAAAATGAAAGTCTGTTTAATTAGTCGTCTATCACTAGAACTAAATAAACTCTCCACTGAACAACTAATTAAATTTGTTAATATGTGTAAAAAAGATATTGAATCATCAAATGAAAATAGCATACAGAGGTATTTTTAAAAGAAACATATTTATTAGAAAAAATTGTTAATAAACTTCCAAATCAGCACTTGTTTAAATTGTTTTATATAATTGCAAGTTGGAAGGAGTTGATACCACAAATATTAAAAATTTTATCTGAAGTGAAGACATTAAGAACCGAAGGTTTAGAACTAACCGGTGCTGAGTATAAAGAAATGATTATCAAGGATATATGCCGTTACAGAGTGGAATTAAATTCTATAGTGCCACTAGCACTCATGTTCAGGTAACTGATTTCTGTTGTAGAATACTGATCAGTATTAATATTTATTTAGATGTGGTACCAGTTAATTTTTTTTGTTTTAAATGTAATTGTTATTAGGAGAACACAACTAAGCGAAAAAGAGCACGAGTTAGTAATAAATATGTTATGCTCGTATTTTGATCAAATGGAACCACAAGAAATACCACCATTATTACAACAAATGCTACACTTTTGTACAAGTGGTGATTTTTTAAATCTGTTTTGTACGCTGCAAAAGTATTTTGATAACAAGTATTTGGGTGTTCAAAATGTTGATGACAACGATCCATTTGAAATAGGCTCCATGCAAAGTAAAATATATAAATACATATGACATATAAACATGTACATTTTGTTATTCTCTTTTAATGTTATGATTTGGATATTCTTAGAAGTCGGAGAAAAGAAAAATATGATGGAAGCAGAAAGTACAGTACTCTTTCTCTTAGAAGATTTTGCTAAAGTACATGCTTCATTTGTAAGCGATATAACAAAATACATTAAAAACTGTATAGGAGCACCAAATGAAGTCCTTGGTCCATTTATGTTAGCATTTCTACTAACTATGTCTTGTTGTGGACCTTATGAAACTCTTGTAAGTGTAATATCTGAATTTAATAACTATCTAGTTTTTAACATTGGTATGTTATTTTTTAGGTAATTTCTTTAGTTAAAAAATTAGTAATACAGTCATTGGAAGAAGAAGAAAATGTTCAACGTTCCTGTTGGTTAAGAATTAACTATACAAATATTTATGATGCCTATGAACAGTTTCAGTTATTCATAAAAAGCGAGTAAGTATTCAAAATATAGATAGACAAACTGCAGATTTAAATATCAATTTTTCGTTTTGATAAATTCAGAATATCAAGTTATGAAAAAGTGTTCAAAGGACTCGTCAACTTGGGTTTATCATTTCTTGGAACAACATCGTCTGTGTTTAAAAGTGTGTGACTTGATTTTTATTTGTATTGTTATTAACATACCATAATATTATCTTATTTTAGAAAATGTGGATACCATAAGTAAAGTCCATCGATTAGGATTGTTTATCATTGTATCGTTGGTCAACAAAAGACCATTTATTACAGGAAGTGTTTTGCGAAGTTTGACTAATTTTATAGCTTCCAATCCTACGTCTAAACAATACTTAGGTAATTTTATTACATGATAATGTAGAATTTTGATTAATATAATACTATAGTATTGTATAAGTGTTTAAGGAGGTAACTAACAAATTTTGCTTAAACCTTATAAGCGCTTTTTTTTTCTTGAACGAGTATTCTTTGCCATTTAGAGTGTTTACATAAACTTTGTAAAAATCAAAGAGCAACCATTGTGGAAAATAATGCAGAATTGTTAAGACTGTTTAAAGAAATGCCTGTCGGCTTGACAGATAAAGTAACCTATGCTGTAATGCCTGTTTTAAAAGTGTCTACTTATTTACGTGACAATGTAATTATGATTTTACGAAAAGAACTTATGTCTAAGTAAGTTACAGTCAGGTTGACCTGGCATAGAAATCAAAAATTAAATTAACTTTATTTTTAGAGATTTTCAACTAAGGCATAGTGCAGTAATGGGATTCATTGAAATATTATGCAGTGTTCGTTTGGATAGTTTCACTTCATTGAGTCAAAATACCAACAGTCAAGACTCATGGCCTGGGCTTTTTACACAGGTTATAGATTTTTAATATACTTGGTGTTTACATAAGTTTAAACTTATAATATGAATTAAAGTTTTATTTTTTGAATAGATGGTCTTGGATCGTAATTCTGTAGATGTATATTCTTCAAAAAATTATAATACTGAAGATTCTTCGGAGAACAACAAAACAATTTGCTTAGAAATTTTGGATATTCTCAAAACCTGTTTTTTCCAAAAAGCCGAAATTAAGTGTACATTGTATAGAGGTTTATTAAAAGTCACTTCACATAATGACGAATTGTGTATGTGTGTCACTAGTCTAATAGTGGATCATATGGGTTCATGGTGTACTAAACGCGGTACAAAAAAATCACTGAAATTCAACAAAGCAATAGTTTTGGGCAAAGATGGAAGATTCATAATTCACGTGAGTTCAAAAGGAGTGTAAAGAGAGAAAACTTTTATTACCATATATTTTTAACAGGAACCGCTAGAAGAGTTAATCATTATAGCTCAACACTTGTTGGTTAAACACTTTTCATGTGAAAGTCAAGATGCTGAGAGTGATAGCGAGTCGCTGAAAAATCTACTTTGCCAGTTGGTAGACTTTTACAGTGAATGCAACACTGATGAAATCAAAGTGGTAATTATTGAAATGAAAATCTATATTTCAAATACATTGTACCTAATTGCATTGTTTTTTTACTTTTTAAGAACGATAATGACAGTCTGTTAGATGTAATATGCAATGTTGTAGAGTATGCTGATATTATAAAACAAATTCTTAGTGCTTATCAAGCTCTGATTATATATGTTATTAACTCATGGTCCAGCCCTGATCAAGACCAGAAGTGCTGTGAAAAGTTGCAAAAATTATTTTCCAAGTATAATCACATTATAGATGCTGTTAAGGTATATTATATTTTCTACATTATTTGTTAAAACATTATAAACCATTTTAACTATTATTTTTATCCTTCTAGGCTGCTGACAAAACCAGTAAGAAAAAAGATAACAAGGGAAATAAAAAAACTAAAGGTGAAACAACTAGTGATTTAAAATCTTCTAAATTTGTTGAGCCCATTATACATTTGGACTTTGATGTGTTGTACAAATTTGTGTCTTTACTTACGTAAGTATTATATTGTTGTTGCAAATAAATGCAATTAATTATTAATTAAAATGTTAAATTGTGTTGTTTTTTACAGTTCAGATAACAATTGTAGTTCGAAACAAATGATTGATGTGTTAAATCAAAATACAAGACTTTGGGAATTCGTTTTGAAATTGATATTAAACCATATAGCCGAATTAAAGTTACAACTTTCGCATGATTTAAAACCACGCAATTTATATGAAAATCTGTGTAAATTAACTAAGTATGAAATAATTTTGTGTGATTCATAATTTTTTGTGAATTTAATATTTTATTAATGTGTATATTTTTAGAGTATTGTATAATCATTTTTTGTTCGACATACGGGAAAAAATTCGATTTGATCAGTACACAACAGAGCTTGGATTGGAATGTTATTTACAAATTATTACTCTAGTCAGTTCTTATTATAAAAAGTTAGATAAGTTTTTAACGGATTCAAGTAAGTCAAAACAATAGTTTTAAATTGTTACACTTCTACGTAATTCTAATTATTACTTTGGTACTATACATAGATAGCAATGATGCAATTGATTCAAGTGATGAACAAGCAGAACTTTTCAATGTACTGCGTAACATTCGTTCACATTTGGACACTGTGTTAGAATCAAATAACCAGATAGATGCTTCTATTAGCCAAGATGTCGACAAAGATTCCAGTGATTTGTTAGATAAAATTGAAAGCCATTTGATTGGATGTATTTCAGTAATCTGTCACGCCATCAACAATAATAATCCTCGAGTTAAAAATGTATTAATCTATAACTATGAACATTAAATCCTTGTTTTCTGTTTTTTTAATGTCTATACATTTTGTATACACAGATTTTAGCATGGTTATCTACTGTGATAGAGAAATATTCATTTTCAAACACACCAAATGCAAAAGAATTTTTAACGCTAACATTGGGTTTATATTCTGCAAATCAAGAAGATCCCATAATGTTGGCAGATACTATTAAAATACTATGCAAATCATTTGGCCGAATTAGCAAAGTAAGTTTGTAGAAAACAATTTCAAAATAGATATAATTTTGCAATTTTATGTTTAAAACAGTCGAATAAACACAACGAATCGCAGATGAAATTGTTAAGAATTATAACCGACTATAATAAATCAACCCTGTGTCCGGTGTTGTGTCAATGTCTATGCAACGAGTTAAACCACGTATTGACTTGTTTGTCCCGGATAAAAGCTGAATTAAACGCATCACAAAAAACCATCAAAGCTGTGTGCCAAGATCGGCTGAAGGCTAGAGAAAAAGCCATCTGTCATCGAACCATACTTGTTATTCTAGCTACCAACACATTTACAAAATCTGTTATACCCTTAGGTCAGTGTACAGAATCAGTGTTTGTATTATTAAATCAAGTATTCAAGACAGTTAACACAGTTACCAAACACTTTCTTATTCGATCGTCATACCATGAACCAGTTTACAAACAAGCTTTGTTGAGTATTTTCTGTTATTAATACATTGCTGCATTAACTATTATTATAATGTCTAATAATTTTCATGGTTTTAGGCTGGGAAAATTAACTCAAATTATCAATGAGCTGCTGTCTCCAAATGTTTCAAAGTTCATTATGTTTGTTGAAGTATGTCATTGTCATCTATTTAGGTTGTCCGTTTATCATTTGTTTAAGTTAACTTTCTTGTTACAGCACGACAGGCCATTAACAGAAAAGGAAAAAAAATCTAATCAGCTAAAACAACAAACTAAGCGGCAAGCAAGTTACATTCCCAAAGTGGTTACTGAATTGGAAACTTTTACGAATCTGATTACCAAATTAGGAAAGAAGTGCAAAGTATGTATAGTATATTATTATGTGTTTTCTTTGTAGGATATGTGAATATTAGTTACATTCACTTAAATGTATTTTGTTGTTTAGGACAAAGATTTGATGAATATAAAGTTGACGTCGAGTAGAGATTTTAGACTCAATTTGCAAAAACTTGAAGAAGTACTCAGTAGACAAGATAATTCAGAGGTATAAATAACAATGTATTATCAATTATAATTAAAATTTGGATCTCTTATAGTGAATGTAGCGACGATATGTTGTAAATATAACTTCCCACTTTTTACTAATTTTCCTTAGAATATTTTAGTAACACATTTTTATTGTACATGCCCTAAAACCATTGGCCATATGTTTTAAGTATGCGCATTTGCGCTCTGTTACCTATAACTTGTCAATGGTGGGAGATTGTATTGGTCACAGTTTATACAGGCATAACACCTCTCTTAAGAATAAGAATAACGCCTAGTTCAAAATATATAATAAGTTAAAATTGTAGATTACAAAACGTCTAATTCTTTAAAATATATTTTTTTTTTTGTAGGATAGCGATGGAGATTTAGAAACCAATAACCAGAATACTGCTCAAAATACATCTTATCAAATAAATGCAAGTGAACAGCCACCACAAAAAAAACGCAAATCTAATATTTCGATAACTACTGGCTCACCTGTATATTAAATTTGTATTTTTATTATGCTTTATCGGCATACACACAAAATTTGTTTTAGAATTTTTTTTTTGTTTTGATTTATTATTTTTTATGTTAAAGTGTCAGTTAAATAAAACTTTCTTTTATTTTAGAAACTATATCATGGTAATGACTTAATAGTGTAAATTTGTGTTTGTATGTGTAACATTCTGGTTTCATTACAAAAAGTAAGACAGTAATACTAAATCCTCTAGTACATTTTTTAATAGGTTGTTTTTTTCAACCTATTAACAATCAATAACTTTTTGTAAATGCAGACAGCCAGTAGGACCAAATGATTATTGTAGAGGTTCGACAAAACAAATTGTCGCACACATACCAGTTCATTATTTTTTTTTTTTAGATATTAAACAAAATAAAATAAAAATTATATAATTACATCAATAATACATATTGTTTAATATTTATTTAAATAATAGTATTGCAATAAATAAAATGTAAAACATATTTAAACATTTAATAATCCCTTTTCTAAGTAACTCCCATTAAAAATCATATATATAAAATTAATTGCACTAATGTGAAAATGAATTTGCACAAGGTAATTAAAACTAGCCTAATACTAAAAAAATATTTGATCATTGCCAAAAGTGGATATGGAAAACAATACAATATGTGTACACAATAATAATAATAATACAAACTATATAAGTTGTTCATATTAGTTTACTGTTTAACTACTTGGACGGAAACGATACAACTGATGGATAGTGCTATAAAAATATCCATTACTTATTTATCACTACATTTAAACAGTGAGGCACATAAATATTAAAATACTCTTATAAACTATATAAATAATTTTTTTTTACATTTTTAACACTAGATTTATGTGATGAATCTGTGACTAAAAATAAATAATAGATATAACAATAATAGCTTTAAAAAAACTTCGGTGTAAAAGAGCTTTGGTTTAACTTGTTTACTTTATTGTTCGCTGTTTATTCATGTTAGATAACATCAATGATATATACGATGTTAGCAAGTCATCCATTTTATAGCCAAGTGATGTTTCACACAACAACTTGGATCCACGTACCAAGTTGCCGATTGTCATATGGAAGTAAGTATTTCCAGATGACCAATTTGATATTCTTGTGAACGGATGAGTCACTAAGATTTCCTAAAAATAAAACGATCCATGTAATATTAAAAAAAAACAACAGTTGTTTTAATAATACACTAATTTGTCATGCGTCATACTTTAGTTTGTGGATGTATAAGACTGATACCATGCTTGTTAATCGCTATTAGCAACAGTTCAGGATAATTGGGTTCAGTAGTTTGTTTAACTTCAAAAAAGGCCGAACCAAAAGTTGGCCAACGATAAATAATCTTAAGAAACGTTATTTTAGCATCTTCAGGATTCATGCCAGCGTCTTGATTGTATGCAGCAACAATCAATCTTTTCCATTCAGTTGGGTTTTGTGTTTTAAACAAGTCACCAGGAATAAGTTCTCGTAACATTTGACTGTAGAAATAGTAATAAATATTAATAGTTATAATTAAAAATGAGTATTTTAATTCATATAAATGTATAATTACGGTATAGCTGCAAGCTCTTGTTTGCTTTCACCGAATCGAACTCTATAAATTAATGCAGCTAACCTAGCAGCCTCTTCTTTTGAACACTTATGGTATCCTGAAATTTAATATTGAAATTTAGTACCAACTTAAAATTATTCATTTTTTATATTACCGCGTAGAAGTTTGGGTAGTTCTTGGTGAAAATGAAATATTAAATCTGCATTTTTGTCTTTTCCTGGCACAGTATTGGTCCACAGTTTTTTCATAAAGAAAACTTGATAGGTGAATTGTGGCGTTGCTCCTGAAACAAAAATACGAATATTAAAGCTTTTTTTATTTTAATTCAACACACACAATATAATATATTTTAAAACTTACCATCCCTAGTGGGTCTAGCTTTTTTTATCCAATCGGTAAGATGACGAACAAAGTCAAAGAAAAAGTCACCTTCAGGAACAGATATTACTTTATCAGCGATTTTCACAAATAGACTGAAACCTTCACTTGATCGTAATGTTAATCTTTGTGAAATGCTAGTACAAAAGTCTTTCGCTCTGGTTGATGAATCAACCTCAAATGCTTCATCGGTATCATCAGGGAAGAACACTTTATGGAATATCTGTGTTGTTTTATGTTGTATGGCTTCAACTTCTACTTGATGTGGTGGATATTTTCTTTGCCCATTGCGTATTGTCTTTTGCAACCGCTGTAGGGAATCTTGTGATATAGGATGACGTCTTGTACGTAAAAACAAGTTAAGCTCCTATAAAATATTTTTTATTAAAAGTAAAGTAATAACATTGATTAATATAAAATCTGATAATAATTACTTTTAACAAGTTTTGACTGCAAGCAAATAAACCTGTTGCTAACCACATTAGTTCCCATGCTCTTTCTTCACTCAACCTATTCCTGTTATCTGTAAGTTGTCTCATCAGTTGACAGTAAATTTCATCTCTTAAGATTTCCTGTACAATATGTAAATTGATTAGGTCAATGGAATAAACTAAACCAATTTACTGAAATATTTTACTAACGTGTTTCAAAGGTCCATCAAATATTTGATCTGTATATTCATTAGGCATTCGCCTCTTAGATGGCAAATCACCAGTGTACTTTAACATAGCTGCAAATGCAAAACACGCTTCTTCCGCTAACTCTTCTTTACCTGCAAGTTTTCTCAATAATGGCTGTTTCATTGGTTCTCTGGTGTGCCGCCATAAATCATCATTATTAGCACGTCTTGCCGAACTTAATGTCAATGTCTTTGACACAGTTCGTTTAGCAGGTGCCCTGAAAAATTATTTACATACAAATTAAGTTTAATTGCTTATTAAATATGCAAATTGAGTCACCGCTGAAATTATTTACCGAAAATGATCTATTGCATACTCCATTAAATTGTAGGGCTTTTCTCTAGGTTCAGTGCCATTCAACTGCTGTGAATATAATTTACGGCTATGATCTGCAGCCTCTAAACTAAATAATGCCTGCAAAATTGGTTAAACATTAATTTTTAAACATAAATATTAGAAACGTTTGTCAATATCTACTTAAATTATACTTCGTTTACTTAATCTTTTTTTTGTTTTTAATAGAAAAAATATACAATCTGTACACTACAATATTTGTAAAATAGGCATGTGGTATGGTTAATATATACAATAGCAATGTATCACTTGTTTGAAGAAACCATCCAGTGATAGAACTCCAATGGCTGGAAGAGTTTAGGTTAGCTGGTTTCTCACCATTTACTTTTTAGTCGACGGGGTGGGTTGTCAGGAAGATTATTGGAGGTCAGGTCGGCAATTAAATGATTAGAAAGTCCCTGGAGTCTATTTAGGAACCTTTTGTAGTGAGTTTTGGCTATTTTAACTACAGTAGCGAGGAAAGTGTCTCTGTGGAGCATTTCGTTAGAAACATAAGGAGGTGCGGCAATGATAGTTCGAAGGACTCTGGATTGGAACACTTGAATTCTGTTTGTATTGGAGATTTTCGCTGAACCCTTAAGTTCTATACCATAAGAGTTTTCATGGATGGAAATAGTTACTTTGTTGTATGCATATTCGGCTATTTTAGTGTAGGGGTGGTTGGTTCATCTGAGGTGAATTAATTGAAAAGGAGTCGGGAGGAGATAGCTCCTTGGGGTTACTTATATCTAATTAAAATATACTATTTTAAAAACTCACCAGAATATCTACAGGAGGTTTAGATAACGTGGGTAGTACGTAAACAGTTTCTGCAGGAAAGTCACCCCGCTCATTAGTTCTTTCGCAGCAACCAACACACCAACCAGATGTCATAACTGTTTCACCAGTACTTTCTTCTTCTAGTATAATTAAATCTCCTTTTTGGAAATTTAAAAATGACGAACCTTCTCCTAATATAGTTAATATAAAACAGTTAGTGGTGCAAGACAACATTTTTAAGTAAATTATTTAGAACATACCAGGAGCCTTGTAATCCTGAACAGCAATAACAAATGTAGAACGTTTTTTTAAACCTTCTAAAAAGTAAACAACTAAATCTCTAATATCTTCTGCATTTGGACTCTGAAAAGTAAATTCTTCCCCACGGACAGTTGACAATGTAAAAGTCTGGGTAAACACTTTGGTTGTTCTAAAACAAATTATTTGTTGTAAAATATAGATAATAGTAACAAACATAGGCAAAACTTTTACTTTTGACTGGACACTGTGGTAATTTCTGGAAAAGACAACTCCAATAAAACTTGCTCTTGATCATCAACAACATATACTCCAGTCCAATTGACTGCTATGATTACATCATTTTTCGGAAGATTTGGACCTAACCATCGTCATATAAAATAATTAATTAATTAATTAAATATTGAAATATCACTTTCTTATGTTTTTGTTTTATTGATATTTTTTTTACAATTTCAGAAAATGAATACAAACTTGTGGTGTGAAGTGGCTTAAAAATATAATTTATGCAGTGTCTATATTTGTTTATTATACTCAGGCCCTTAAGAGAAGGAACTTGCACAGAAACTAAAATGCGTTTTCTTGTATGCGTCTGCGCAACAAGGAGTAATGCGTTTTGGATTCTGAGCGGGCTCCTTCTCTTACAGCAATAATGATTTCATAGAAGAAATTCCATTGTGTAAATTAGAGAGGGGTCAAAATATATGAGCTAGGTAATGTCTAATATTTTTTTTTTAAATAACTGATATTGCTAAGGCTACACAGGTCGAGTACATCCAAGTTCAAAGCTATAATATAATGACACGGTTTATAAATTATTAGTAAATTGTATGTAATGACAAATATATTGGTAATCTATTAGGTATATATTATATTTCTGACAATCCCAACAACTAATGCCACCATACATAAATACAAAAAGCATTAATCTCTTGAATAATATTATACAGTGAAACCTCTTTTATAAGATTAGTTGAAGTTTGTGTAGGGATTATTTGAAATATTTATATGGTTTATACTTTATACGGTTACACCACTACTACACAGTAAATATAGATGTAACCATAAATTATATAAATATCTATTTTAAAGAAGTTAATTGATTGAAATCGATAGTGAGATAATATATCTCATATTTAAAAGTTTTGGTAAATAGAGGTTTTACTATATTTTAATTAAGAACCCAATTATTCATTTAACTTTAAACTTAAAACAACATTTCAACAAATAATGTTTAATATTTACCTGAGTTTCTGTATGCTTCGTAAAATCTGGAGAAAAGCAGGGGCCACTTAAATTTTGCATAGCTCACAACATCCTCTTTTACTCTTAGTTGAGCAACATTTTCTTTCAAATAATAACTCTACAATTTATTAACATGCAATACACACAAAAATTACAACCAAAACAAAATATATATATAAAATACAAAAATAGTATATTAAAATAAAAAAACCTATTTCTAAGTATATTAGTGACAAATCTTTGGATTATGACAGAAATAAATATGTCTGTTTATTCAGTTTTCTGATTATCGTTTTAAAAATTACAAAATAACATTTTTAGTACTGTAATGCAAAAGCTTCCCAAAATTGGAAAAATATATACTAATACTTGTCATAAGGCTAGTGATGCAATGTTTTATGATACAAATAAATTACAAAAATCGTATTTGATTATTATTGATATTATTTTTGTATAGTTTTATTGATACAATATTTCAAGTTATTTATCATACAATTAAAATTTACAAGCTCGAAACTTAATTATGCACATAAAATTGAATAGCAGTGTGAATTTATTGTAAATAACGTAATGTGGATTAGTAGAACAATTTTTGAAAATTTGAAATCAGTTGCCTTTTTAATATTAAAAAAAACTGCATGCAATTTTGGACAAAAATATTGGTTATGTACAATATAAAGAAACACTATCTCAAGTTCTAATGTACTTATAGTGCATTGTTTTAGTGAATAACACCAACCATGCAGTTAATAACTCATGCATTTAACACTATGAAAAAACCTTTTTTGAAGTACACACATACCTACCTTAAATCGCCCCCAAAGCAAAGATGTCCTTCGACCTTAATGTGCATAGTAATAAATCATTTAATTAATTGTTCGTATTCATGACCACCCCACACCAGTAGTAAGTCTATAAAAACCCATATTGAAAACCATAACCATACATTATTTACTTCTACTTATGTAATGTATAGGTAAACCTAATGGCTTACAACATGTATGCATTAATAATATCATGATATTGAAGTATAAAATAGAAATTCAAAATCTGTACCTTTTTATATGCTTGTATAATCAATGTGTTCCATCTTTCTATAGATTTTTCAGCATTAGTTAAACAATAATCGGGTATATAGTTTGGCAAAAGATTAAGTAATCTCTCATTGTTAAGGTCTGTGTTATGTTCTATATAGTATTGCTGAGCGGCAATCATAGCCAAGTCTTCTTCCTACAATAGATATTCATTTTTTAAGGAACTATAAAATATAGACAAATAAAATTTCTATCACACAAGTACCTTATCACATCTATATTCTCCAAATTTAACACCTCTCACGACTTGCTGGTATATAAGGTTTGTCGCAACATGATCTTCAGTAGGCTCATGCCATGGTGCAAAAATTTCTTTTCTAAAAAAAAGTCTCCAAGGAGCATTACGCTCTTGTGCACCTTGTTCTTTGGCGTATTGTTCACACTGAGATATAGCATCCATAACATGATCGCCACCACTTCCTAATGATGATACCTAAATTAAAAATTTAAAAAGATTAAGTAGGTATGTGCTACCAAATGAATTCTAATGCAATTACAATAATAAATTAATTTATAACCTTATCAAATAGCGCAATATAAAGCGAAAATCCAAATTGGTCTTTTAATCCTATTTTATCAGAAAGTTGATTGCAAAGTTCCCGAGCAGTAGTTGCTGAATCGGCCAACAAGGTTTTAGTGTTTCCATCCATAAATGTTATGGGAAGCATTATTGGCTTTTTCGATTTTGTCGCCTGTAATTCCAACCAGCTCGGAGGTTGATTTCGTGTACCATTATTAAATGTACGTTTTAAACGGTCTTCACAGTAAGGTGCATATCCGGGAGGACCCTCTCTAATAAACGCCCTTAGGTAGTTCACAAATCTCTCAGAAGGAGCAAAGCATCCAACACAAAGAGACAGCAAAATCCATCCTCTTGCATGAGAAGACTTTGATGGATTTGCAGATAGTTGCTTGCATATTTGACAGTAAATTTCATCCCTGGAACATAAAAATTAAATATAAATTTGATTTTGTAACAAACTTTCAGCGTAACATATAAATGATGATAATAATGTTTCATACCTAAGTTCAGCTCGTAGAATACCGTGACCAATAATAAAGTGCAATTTCTCTAGATTTGATGTTGGTCGTGTATCTAACCAAGACTGATAGCTGTCAGCTGCATATTCATCGTCTTGTAATCTTTTGCGTACATCTTCTCCTAGTTTGTTTTTTCGTTTTAATGTGAGTGAAACTAGTTTATGACGTATGGAACGAGGTTTAGACTTGAGGAAACTCTCCTGTTCATGAAAAAATTTATTAAATGAATATTATTCACAAAACTTTAAGTTAACCCTTATGTGCAAAATTGAGGGGAAATTTGGTATGCAATGTCACATAGCGTGCACTTTAGGGTAAATTAAATATAACATACAGGGTCCATGCCAATCATTTGAGCTTCATAGAATTCTTTACTACGAATGAAATTTCGACCCAACGTTGCAGTTACTTTAGACATTACAGAAGTGTTGTCTCTTTCCATGGTGTGGTAACGTGGCTCTGACAAATCTCCACAAAATCTTAGAATTGTTACCCAAAGTGCTTGAGCAGCCTATAGAGATAAGAAAAATAAATAAATTAAATTAACAGTAATAACAACAAATTCATTGTTTTTTCTTTTTAAATCAAATTAACTTTAAAAAATATAATATAATTATATATAATATTGTAAAGGGTGAACCCAGAATAAGTCAAAGAATAATTGTAACAAAAATATATGTACAACTACAAAAACAGTAAGTAGCACACCTACCTACTGATAGTAGACATTAACACATAAAAAATAAATGTAAATGTTAGAAAGAGTGAGTAAATATTAATTATCAACCTATAAAAAATAGGTCTTCATTATCAATACACATTAACCTATTTAGTGGATCATTACAAAAATAATTAGTGGTTCCAAGAAGTCAAGAAAGAAGTACTGTAAAGTGTAGAATGGGGAGTTATTACAACTCAATGGAGAATAACAGTTTATCTTACCCAAGATAACATTAATTAGAAACATTGTAAAGATTACTCTGTTGACTTTTAAATGCTAATATTTAATTATTAATATGTACATTAGATATGTGTAAATATATTAGGTCTAAAAATTTTTTTTTAAGTTTTGCTCTTACTCTCCCTAATTGTGTTCTTTGTACATAAGCATATTCTTTGTATATAAATAAGAAGAAGAAAAATGGTGAAATGGTAAAAAATGATAAAATCTATATATTTAAATTATAACTATACAATTATAAATATACCAATTGATCTCCTTGAGTATGAAGGGGTAACAGAGAATGTTTTAGTGGCTTTCTAGAACACTGATGAGTTATGTTTCCTTGGAAATAAGTCGCAGCAAATTTCTGGAATTTAAATTCTGACAAATCTTCTTCATCTTCTACAATTGGTTGCATATCACTAATTATATCTTGCTGGTCATCAGTTTTCGATGTTGGTAAATCCTATGGGGGAAAAAAGTAATTCTTATATACTACTATAATAAAATACAAATTATTTAACTAGGCGAAAATGTATACATTCTTACTATAATTTATGTTTAAAAATAAACTTACCATAAAAACTGATGTCCCTCTTGTAGGCATTGGCGCTTCACTACTTGAATCTGGTAAGAAATCAAACATTGCCTCAACAAGTTTACTGTCGTCAACTGGTTCATCTTGTTTTCTAGCTGCATTGCTAATTAAATTTTTCTTGATTTCCATTTGTCTTTTTTCTTCTTCTTCAATTTCATGTTCTTTTCTTTCTAATTCTTCCATACGTTCCTATAGAAATAAAATTATGAATCAGTCAGTTTTAATATATTATTTAAATTTATTTATTATACTCGACAATGTAATATTATAGTTTACCCTGTAGTTTTGTTCAGCAATTTCTTTAGCTCTTTTGTTTCCAGCTTCTTTTAATTCTCTTTCTTCTTTTTTCTTGAGTTTTAAGGCTTCAATTTGTGTTCTATATTCAAACTAAACACAAACATAGTAAAATTAAAATATTTAAATTTTATTTAATTTTTAAATAGCTGATCAGTTTTATACTTGTTTTACAAAACTATTGAAAGCAATTTCAAATTCAACCAACCTTAATTTTGTTAAATCGTCTTTGAGCAATTATTCGTCTAACATGCGCCTGAATTTTTATTATTGCCCACATTTTTTGGGCAACCATTCTTCTGACTAGATACCCTCGTGATTGTGCTTGCAATCCAACAATATGTCCACGTAAATGTTTGAATCGGTGGGACAAAACTCGTGATCTAATAACTGCTTGCAATCTTAAGTAGCCAACAAGCATATGGTGATATCTTTTCTTTTGAGCGAACCCTCTCCAGTATTTCTGAATTAATATAGCGGCCGATCGCATTTGTAGATATCTATGAGCCAAAAATAATCATTCAATTTAACAGTAATTTACAATCGAAAATGTATTCAAACCTTCTTCTGTAAACCCATCCTTTGATAGATTTTTGTATTATGATGATTTTTCTGGTCAAAACACGATCTCGTTCTTGTTCCAAAAATAAGTCATGAGCGTCTTTAAGAAATATTTTTGAATTACCTAGCTGATAATCAGACTTTCCTAAAACGGCTTGACAAATGTGTTCAGTCATTTTTTTACAATCAGTCTAAATAAGAAAATTAAAAATATGTTTAAATATAAGTCATGGTGAGTTTTACTAAAGTAGTATTTAAAAAAATTAACCTTGTGAGCTGGTGGTATTCCAGAAATCAAAAATCGATATCTTTCAATAAACTCCCTAAAACCATGTCGTATTGGATATCCAGCACGCCTGATTCGAATAGTTTCCATCATACCTGAATATCGGAGTTGTCTGCAGCACAATCCTCTATCGAACATCTAAAATAACCAAATAATTATATTTGGTCCCAAAATTTTCAATATTAACCTATTTTTGTAGCCATTTTAAATCATACCATAGGTTTCTTTAATTCGTTTGGCTTAATACATCGAATAAAGAATGGTTGGCAAGTGCAGAGAGTTTTCATTAATAAATCCAATGACTTTTTAAACTGTGTTGATAATGTTGGAGCTCTTTTTCTAGTCTCAGAACCCATTCCAATGTCTTCAGCAAACAATACTTTTAAAAACTTATTAGTAGATATATGAATAAGTTGTAAAAGATCAGCACTAAACGTATCACGATTTTTCTCAAGAAAACCTAAACAGACAACAGTAAGCAATTTAATTCTAAGCCACTGAGTCTTTACTTTTTTTTGTTTAATTATTACCTCTAGTATCATAGAAAACAACACCTGCAAAGTGATTCAACCCAAACGATGCATTCATGTCAGATTTTGGTTTTAAATAATTTCGATGACTTCCGTGTGTTTTATGCATTTTTGCCAACATTGTTTGATCAGTACCCTGAATATGGATAGCAAATAATACAGTTAGTAAAAATGTGTAATTTATTTGTTTTATATGTTTACTTTAGGAAATTTAGACTCTTCATCAATAAGAGCCATTATATTAAGTTGTTTAGTTGCAATAAGATCCAAAGCATCCTGATTGTCCACAAATTCAATATGTTGCCAACTAATATGCTCATAGTTGTACTCTTGCTGTTCCAATTTAAAAATATGTTGGACGAAAAATTGTTGAAGATTTTCATTAGCAAAGTTAATACAAAATTGTTCAAAACTGTATAAAAAAATTACTGTTAACATTCATATAATAAAAAAAAATGATTGAATTTAAATATACCTGTTGTTTTTGAAGTTTTCAAAACCAAAAATATCTAGAACCCCTATTGCGCTCCTTGTAGTACTTTTTGGTTTATAAATAGCATTATTAATTTTACTAACAATATGTACAAATAAACGTCCATAAATGCCCTTTACAAAGGCATCTCTAACATCTACAGATTGTTCTCTTGATAAAGTTGAAATCTAAATTTTATAAAAGGCTTAGCAAATTATCTATAGAGGGTATCTCAAAAAGAATGGTGGAGTTTCAAATGGCTATAGGCTGTGAAGTATTGGACCTACAGTGCTCTGGTAGGGCTTGAATGAAAGAGAGAGTTGTCAAGTTTCGAAAAACTGTCACTAGATGTTTCAGTCGTAACTGAATTACGCTTCGCGAACTCAATCACTTCTGTTGTGCGGACGCCATCTTAACAAACTGAAAAATGAAGGCTGGCAACACAAACAGGAACGCAGAGAGACATCTAATGGCAGTCATTTGGAACTTGACAACTCTCTCTTTCATTCAAGCCCTACCAGAGCACTGTAGGTCCAATACTTCACAACCTACAGCCGTTTGAACCCCCACCATTCTTTTTAAGACACCCTGTACTTAAACATTTTCATTTTAACTTAATACATACTACTGTTTCACCATGAGCAAAAATTGTCTTTCTAGTCAACGCGTCAATTAATGATTGAACAGGTACCCCAACTAAATTGGCAACTCTAGTAACAGTTGTACGGTCAGGAATTTCAGTAGCATCCAAATTATCTAAGCAGCAAAAGTTGTTACATAATAATAATAATTACAATGCAACTAAAAATATAAAACAAAATGAAACTTATTTTAATACCAATAATCGCAGCTTTATATTTAATGTTTCCAATGTGTAATAAAGCAGCCAAAAGTTTTAGTATTTCCCAAATTTCTTGATCAGAAAATAATAATACTTTCATTGCTGATCTTATATCGGAAAATTCAGCTGCATCATCGCGACCCTCACAAGTTATACTTCCACCCTAAAGATTTATATAAATGTTAAATTAAGTTATTTTAACCAGTTAAGGTGAAACTAAACTGGAACCAAATTTCAAATTACCCCAGTAAGATATTTATATTGTGATGCATCAGTGAGTTCTAATTTGACTTTATCTTCAGCCGATAAACCAGCGAGTAAACAGTAAAATATATGATAGTTTCGTTCATCTTGGGATTGAGAAACTATACGAGACTTCTCGAGTAAATATTGTTCAATTTTTGCTCCTTCAATAACACCCGAATGATTGAAATGAATATCAATATATTTTCCAAACCTTGAAGAATTGTCATTTCTTATAGTTTTAGCATTACCAAAAGCTGAAAATAAGAATATTTAGATTATAAGTGTGAATAAACAAAAAAAACTACCGTAAAAATAGAATAGCAAACCTTCAAGTATAGGATTAGCTTCCAATATTTGTTGTTCAATCCAAGAATGTTTTCCACTGATAGCAGCTAAATATTGTAAGATTAATTTTGTACTTTCTGTTTTACCTGCTCCACTTTCGCCACTACCAAAAATACAGTTTGAATTGTATTATACAATTTAATAATTATTTGAATTAAGTGATTTGGTATAATACCACTTTATACAAACGTATTTATTTCCCATTACAATATATTATATGATGTAATTTCATCATTGACATAGGAAATATATTGAAAAATTAGCATGTGGTAAGCATACCTGATGACTATACATTGATCTTGACCAAATCTTTTCATATGTGTATAGCTGTTATCGCCAATAGCAAAAATGTGAGGAGGTAGCTCGCCGATTTTTCTGTCTTTGTACAACTTAACTTGTTCAGCAGTATAAATTGGTAAAATTTGATATGGGTTGACAGCAACCAAAATTGATCCCGTGTAAGTCTAAATGAAATTACAATCAGTACAAATGATTAATGGGTTCCTATTTAATAATTTAGATGATCAATACTTACATATATAAGATTTTCATTGTAGCGAATAAGTAAATTTCTTAATATCCCTGCCTCATGCAAATCACCCAACGAAATCATGTCTTCCACCCCGTGAATTGATGTAGGGTGCATTGCTTTAATTCTCCTTTCTGGCGTAAGCCACAGCTCCTACATAATAAAAAAATTATAATATTAGATTTTTTTTATAACACAATTTAAATTTATGTGCTTTAATTTCAATACATGACGTAATACCACTTATTGTAACTAAAGTTGAATACAAGTAAAACACATAAAACAGTTTTTATTATAATTTTTATCTATATACTATAAATAAAAAAAATGGTATTACAAATTAACTTTTACAAAAGTAAACCACAAATTTTTATTAAAAAAATTATGTTATTTTGTTTAACGCATAATTATAATGTGATTAACTTTTAAATGTACATATTAAATATTTTTTGATTTATTGAATTTTAAAATACAGACCCGCCCGTCATCATCTTTAACTTGAATTCGTTTGCCTTCTGCAGAAGTAACTTTAGCCCCAATTGCAACATCGAATTCTCTTCCGGAGATTGGTTCAATCCAAATATAATCTCCCTAAATTGATTATAAATTAAGAAAATCCATAATAATATACTTATTACACTATATACTTACTCTAGTTACAATAACCATAGTGGTGTGTTGAGTAGAAATTTGTTATATAGTGTCATACCAAAAAAATATTCATCTGAAATGTAATTTAATTATAAATAAATAAACAACAAAACAAACAAAAAAGGTATATTATAAAATAAAAAATAACATCTATTAAAGGCTATTAAAACTAATTGAATAATTTGGGTTTCTAAAGTTATGTTTACACCAGTATATTTTATAACATTTCATTAACTGTATTTTTTATTTATAAATATTTTCAATTGTTTACAGAGTAGGGACAATGGTAAATCAAATAAACAATTATTTTTTTCTATTACCCATAATAACTTGCAAATAGCAAGTTTAAGTCAAATTACAATTTTAAATAACGATGTGCATACTTGTCTATAACTTTTTATCATAATATATCCAATTTTCAATAATGTAAAATAAAAAATATATAATATATTAACAAATTGTATTATTTATTTTGAATACAATTTTAAACATAAGAGAGGACATAATATTATAGTAGAAAAAGACATAATAGAAAATTCACCCAACCAGAACAATAATTAAAAATGTGTCATTTTAAAACCAATTAAATTTTTTAATGAATCTAGATAAACCAAAAATGGTTATTGTTTATTTAAAAAAAAAATAATTAAAATATGATATCGTATAATGATATACAAAATGTAAATAAAGTTATAAGCAAAATAGAATAAACTTATGTAACTGAATAATCTCGGAATGAGATTAGCTGATACCAATAAACAGTATATGTCACATTCTTAAGAACTAATTAATTTTTTTGGATGAGATTTTTCATTTGAAAAGTTTATATCTGTATAAATAGTTATTCTGGATAAGGTGGAAAACCTATTAAAAATTCAAAAACAAATTGATAGACCTGAGAGGTCATGGGTTACTGAACAATTGTTTGATTGGATTACACACACGTAAAAAAACAAATAAACCACGACTGAAGTGACTAATTAAATATTACAAATATAGTAAAGTACTCACTATTCACTGTGTTTAAGAATTTTCGAGGAATTTTTAGCAAGAAAACGATTCTGTTGTCATCACCGCACGTCTTTTGATCGCGAGAAGCGGTTCACCTACGAAGTATCAAGTACCCCAAAACAGCCACAAGTCATACATATACCTGAGCCGATAAACCTGTAGTTTGTACGGTGTCGGTATATACCTGGTATACAAATAATACATACATATTGTACTTGTATATAATATGTGATATCTCGTTAACGTGCTGTACATACAAAATGTGTTGGGAGGAAGATCACTGGTAAGCACACGCACACATTGGTCGCGTGTTATCTCCAATTCGAATTTATTAGGCAGCCAACAGCACACACTTGCGGACCGGAGGCCAGTGTGTTCACCGTACCGAGAATTTATAATTATTCGTATTACCCCCTATTTACTGTAGTGTGACGTTCAAACAACAACTTCAGTCGGCACTCGGCAGCCGTGAATCGTGGTAGGCTCATGTTCACGGTCTGGTATTATTATTTCTGACATTTTGATAAATGTACCTGTGCAGTTATTGGCGGCATAAGGAATTGTACGGTCGTAGGTAATGCGACCTGGTGGCTGAATATTTAACTACATTTCTATGTTGTTGATATTGAACTATTCGTGTATACCTACCACAAATAATACAATATAGGTGATGCGCTAGATGGCAGTAACTTCCATCCTAAATGCCAGATCTGGCTTGGGCTTTGGAGCACGCTTTTTTTGTGATACTATCACGGTTATACTATACGCCTATATAATAACTAATGGTTAATTAACCTATGGTATATTATCTATGTTCCATGGTATCTTATACCAATGGCATTCAATGTACCGCACTCGCGGTATATGGCCAGTCGTACGATCATAGCTGAAATTGCTGATAACGTGACCGGGTAGGGGGAGCGATAGTCGTTTGTTCGATAAGTGATAAACGAAAATCTTACCACGGGGCACAAGTCTGGAGTCACGGGTGACGGGTTGGCCGCCGTAAGTAGTACATCTATACATGTGATTATGTGAATTCGTTTCTGTAGCGTTTCCACGTTTTCACATTACGTTTTCTCGAAGCATTGACATCTCCGCTTTGGTGGTCGGCAATTCGTTCGTAACATTGTCGTTCTTACCACACAAGATTCCTACAACTATTCGTTATGCGATAGTGTTCTTCAACACATCTGTCGTCAACAATTAAACGCACAATTTTTACGGAGAGGTTAAGAAACCTGTTCTTACACGCTTATCAAATTGTTTTTTTTGTTTTTAGACAATATTATATAGTTTTTTCTAGTTTATTCCTGCCGTCAGCCGTGTTTTGAGTTCTAGTATACATCGAAATTAGGTTGTTTTTAGTAAATCGGTAATACCCATAGAAAGTTGTTCTCCTGTCTTTCGGTTAGATTCATCGAAGGATCATGTCCGATTTAGATAGTTTTTTCGCAAAGAAAGACCGCAAGAAACCTAAAGGCAAAAAATTCACCACTTCCGAAAATCTGGTGGCCAGTCTGTTAGAAGAGCCCCAGAAGAAACAAGATAAATTAAAAAAAGAACGATCCAACTTTGCACAACTGCTCAATTCAGGAGATAAGGACAACACGTCTTCTTCGCAGGTATTCAATTTAATACCAACATTGTTGTATTTACAATATTTTAAATGCGTATTTTATTCTATTTGGTTAATATGATACAAAATGCATGCTAGCTTATAGTGAAATAAATTCTCAAGATATCAGATTAGAATAGGTAAATGTGACAAAACTAGTCAAAACTGGTGTCTAAATACATGAATTTTCACTTTTAGTGCTTTTTAAATGTAAATTGAAGTATGAAACTATTTTATTAGTTTATTACACGAATCACATAACACCATACATACCTTATTAAAGACATAACAGACATACCAATTATGGGGTGTTTAAATATCATTTAAGTGTATGCAACAGACTAAAATCTACAATAACATGTAGATGAATGTTTGGGTTTTTAAGATTAAGTTTTAGTTATTGGGAAATTGTGCCTATGTAGTTTAGTGAGCAAGTGTCATCTGTGCATTATTATAATTCTATTACAAGGCTTAAAAAAGTAGGTATAAAGTTATCTTTTCTGTGTAGTAATTTTTTTTATACTATCTTGTATTTTTACACTAAATACAAATCATAATACATAATGACTTATAAATTTAATAGAAAATATAAGGTTTTATAAACAACAAACTGAAAAATAAAAAAGTAACAAAATTATATAATTTTAATTTTTAGTGCTACTATTAGTTAACAGTAAAACAAGTTCTAAAAATGGTTTTGGGTAAATATGGAAAGAATGAGCTGGTAGAAAGAAAGCCTGCTGTTTGTTTTTTTGTTAATTATGGCTATGTTGCCGACTTGATAAGATATTAGTCTAGTAATGATGGGTTCTTATTTATTTTTTGTGTTTCGACCCAAAATAATTTTTAATTACTGGACTGATTTCTTCATACTGCAAGTCTGAAATCAGAAATTGTAACAGAAAGATTCTTTTTATTGAATTGAAAGTTTATAAAGTAAAAAATACTCTTTTCCTTTTAAAAAAATCAACCTAAAAATGTATACTTACATTTTTTAATTTCAAAATATGAAATTCTTTAAAAAAAAAAAAAAGTAGTACAAAATTAGTTCCACAAATGTGGATATGTTTTAGGTATAAAACATTATTATTACTTGTTGATGTTTATTGTGAAATTTGTTCATGTTTATTTTTAAAATTGTGACATATTCTGTGTATATGAATGCATCATAGTAGCAGTGACTCCAAACTAGATGAAAATATCTTGTAAAGGTCCAGAAAGGCGTACTATTAGATATGATGCATGAGAAAGAGAGGTGGAAGAGTATTATGATGTAAGTGTTGGGCCTTGAAGGTCTGTTAAGCGGTATGATGACAATGGTGATGATACTACGTATAGGAAGACCTACGACTTAATTAGTTTTCTAGAGGAAACAAAAATTAAACAATTAAAATGTTTATAATAATTGCATAGTATTTTAAAACAATAAATAAATCCTTTCATATAATATATACCAGGTGATTCTTTTAACACCTTACACCATATTTATCTTAAAATAATTGATATATATATATATATATATGTATATATATTTTTTTTTTTTTTAAAGAAAAAAAAATGTATTGTAATAAAAAAAGCTTCGAGGTCATTACTGAGGAAGTACTGAGGTCATTGTCCAATAGTTTTTAACATTTTGGTTTTATCGTATTATTTATGATAAAATAGAATTAACTCAAAAAAAGCAAGAAAAAAAGATAACAAATTAATAAGAAATAATTTTAAAATATTTTTGTTTATTTTAATATTACAATATTCAATTTTTTTCCCTTATTTAGTGTTTTTTAGAGATATCAACTTTTGAAATTTAAATGATAATGTGTATATATATATACATATTATACATGTATGTATAGATATATATATATTTTAACTTTCTAAATTAAGAATAATTTGCTGAAATTTTGATTGGAGATAAGTGATAATCATTGAAATTAAGAGTTTTAGTTATTACAGTTTAAAATTTAGGATGGATAGAAGGGTAGAGTGTAGTTTTATTTTTATCTGCGCTCTCCACGTCTCATCCTAAATTTTAAACTTCAATAACTTTAAAATAATTTACCATAACTGGTCAAAATATTCAGCTTTAAAATGTTAATTTTATATATACGTTACCATTTAAGTTTAAAAAGTTGATAGAGGTATGGAAAATATTAAAAAAAGGTAAATACTTGATAATTTTATAATGTTGTAGATTATACTTGCTACTTGCAGCTATTTTGAGTATTTCATCAAAATTTCTGTTACATCATAAAATATTAATGGCCCTGTATGTTACAATTTAAGTTTAAAAAGTTAATAAAGCTCTTGCAAATACTAAAAAAGATAACTACTAGAACATAAATAAAAATGTTTTCAAAGGAAACCCAACAAAATTGCAGTAATATTAAGAGTAAACTATAGTCTATTCAAAATGAGATTGGTACGCGGAACAAAGAGACGCCTATGCGTAGTAGGTGGCTGCCTGTACCAATCTCATTTTGAACAGAGTAGGGTGTAGGGTGTTAAAAGAATAACTCGGTATATACTCCGTTGCAATTGGGTTAGCATTTTTTAGTTGAAAATAAACCTAGTTATTGAATGTGGTGTTTTCATTTATGATATGTTAATAATTATCAGGGTATCAATTAATTAAGATTTTAACAAATTAATATTTAAAATACGTAACCATAAGATAACACACTTTTTGTGTGTACGTATTTCGGCAACAATGTTGCTATCTACAGTGCTAACGACATACGTGTCTAAATTAAATGACATGTAAATTTAAAAATGTGTAATTCTTGTTATAGCAAATATCACCTGCTGTAAAGTTTAAAAAATGAAATATCTTACCTACTTGATCATATTTCATAAATATTATCTATTCATTTTATTTTATTTTATAGACTGAAGAAGAATGGAAAGAGTACCGTGAAGAAATAAAAGACTATACGACATTGAAGATTCAAAATTTGACTGCTGATGTGTCATCAAATTGTTCAGACAACAATGAAAAAGATGATGCTATAGAATTTGAAGAAAACGAGGCTGGAGAAATGGTGCCTAAGCGAAAACAAGCAGGACCTTGGAAAGTTCATGAACCTGAGCCAGTGGCTCCGCCTAAAGGTAAAACAATATTAATTTAACATAATTCTATGCAACAGTTAAAAGCTTATTATTAGTGTATCCTTCTATACAAACAAATAAATGTAGGTGAATAAATAATTTTATTAATATTACAGCTGAACCAGTTGTAGTAGAAAAACCTTTGGAACCTAAAAAATCTGCTTATGTTCCTCCAGCACATCGAAACAATTTCCAAGGTAAGTGATTTGTAATTAATAATTATCCAATAATTTATTTGTTTAAATTATTAAAATTAAAACATATTAAATAACATATGCTATTAAAAACATCCTTTATAACAAATATTAAGTTATTTTTATTTTTTCATACAATCAATTTTTAAGTTTTATTCAAATTTTACCTAATAATTAAATTTTATTGAACATTTTTTTTTACCAGGAGCGCGACTTATCCTTGGCCTGGCCCTAAGTGTGATACTTTAAAAATACTATAAAATTGTATTTTTTACAGCATTGAAAGTGATTTAAAATGTTAAGACATCCTCAAAAATATTAATCATTTAAATAAACAAAATTAAAATACCACATTAAACAAGTTAATAATACCAAAACGACATATTGATAGCTCTGGGTAATAGTCCGGTTATTTTTTCCGTTTACCAATTTTTTGATGTAGTGTTTTTATCTAAATTCATTATGATGCAAATAAAATGCTTTTTGTGAATACATAGTAGAATAACATAAAAAAATGTTCATCTAATAATCTGAAAAAAATGAGTGGAAAAAAAATATGCATTACTTTTTTTAACAGAGGAGGACCCAAGTTTTTTGTTGCTTAAGGCCCCGAACGACTTTACAACCCATATTTTACTACAGATTTAAAAGCCTATAATACAGTAAAATTTTATTTTTCGTAACCTGTATTTGTATAATTGTTTATAAACTGGTAACCCTAGTTTTTTGGGTTTATTAAAGTTAAATAAATTTCACATTATAGAACTGAAAAAATAATATAATTGACTGTAATATTTTATGGCCTATTTTATATATCTTTAAAAACGAAAATTTAAATCCAAATTCTAAAATCTCTATAAAATTATTAAGGTATAAAATATAGTATGATATATATTCACATTGGTGTAAACACAAGGCATATAAATCCAATTACAACTCAAAATAAAATTAAGTTTATACTTATTTAGTCACGGGTTAGACTTCTTAACTAGGTGCTACATTTTTACTTATTATACACTAAGTATAATTTTAAACTTAATTCAACTAAATTTTTCAGGTGGACCAAGAAGTGCGCCTAGAAGTAAAACTAGCTTAGATGTTAAGAATGAAGACATGTTTCCAACTCTACAAGGCAATACTGCAGCAAAAAAAGTAATGGCTCCTGTCAAAAAGGCTGAAACACCAGCTTGGTCCAAGTATCAATAAGAATTTACTTGTAATTTTTGTCATATCGAAACGTTAAAAAATATAATTGTTTAAATCATTAATCATTAAATAGTTAATTTACAAGCATTCTAAATTAAAAAAAAAAATACAACTATTAATGGTATACCTTATTATTTTACTTGGAAATATTTTTTATTAGTCTTATTATTTTTTTTGATTGAAATTAAACTGTGATCAAATTTCTAAAAAAAAATACCTATTTAACAAAGATTTATTATTATTCATAATTTTTATTAAATATTGTTTTAATTTTACAGTTTTCCATTGGCCCTGGAACATATTGTTAGCTAACCCACTTTGTTATAATGGTAGACTATTCCAATTCCTTCACTCAATAGCTTTATTTGTTAAATTTATGTGATAAAATTTAATAGTATTGAGTGAATATTTGTGTTTGGCTATTTAGAAATATATCATATTTAGTGTAGTTGCATCATATTCTTCAAAAATAATCTAGCTCCTATTGTTTTTTAATTTGTTTTTTTTTCACAATATCTACATATATACAATCAGCATGCATACAAAGTTCCTTCTGAATTTTGATATTGTAGTCTATAACATCAAAACTTATGACCTGTATTAACATTATTGCTGTAATTTTGGTTCCATCGAAAACCGTGCAGTTTTATTAACAATACTATTAATTTCATTACATTATTTATAAAATTTGAGGACCTTTTAAAAAAACTGTTTTTAAAAATGCAATAGCACTTGGAACACATATATATATATATGCTAAATATTAAAATACCAAAGCAACATCTGATAAATGTGTATCTACTATAAAATAAATACCAAAATATGAGTTTTCGCTCCATCCTAATATATAATCTTTTAGGAAAGTGATAATAATTTATTTCATTGTTTCAAAGTATAATATTTTTAAATTACAGTTTTAGTTTTACACCCGTAAAAGTAATACTTCACTAATATTATAGTAAAAATGTTATTTTCTCAAAAAAAAAAAAAAATATATATATATACAGAAAAAATGTATCAACAAATAAAACATTAAATATGCATTGTATCTGAAGGTTCATAAGTTGAACTTATGGATTGTAAATGTTTATACAATTTGAATAATTTAATAGAATTAGCTTTGTTGCAGTATTGCTGTTGGAAAAACATTTTTGATGAACATGTATAGTCTAAAACTCATTTGTCATTCTAAAACCAAAATCAGTTTTAAGTTCTGTGCCTGAACTACAAATTGTTTTAAAAATTAATGTAATTTAACAGCAATAATAGGCTAATTTAAAATCATTTTGTTTTGATATGTAAAAATTATTTTTGATAGATTTGCGTTTGTTCTTTATGTTTAATTTTTCCAATGATTGCTGCATAAAATATACATGCTTTTATATATACATAAGCTCTTAAGTCATAGTAAGTAAAGTATGTAGTTATACTTAAAAAAAACATTTGTAAAACAATTAGCAATCTTCTGGTCCCTTGATACACTTAACAAATTAATGTTCTTTTATGTGCCAAATAGTATTCAAAGTACAATATGGGAAGTATTAAGATATTAATATCCACATTATAGTTGAAACCATTGAATGTTATATATTATGTCTGTTAAAATGTACTCTATTAGTCATTAAACTTTTATTTTATGTTAAAAGTAATAATGTATAAATATAAGTTCAACAAGAGCATGGTACAAGTACAAAATATGCTTACGTCAGCTACCAAGTAATGTTAACCATTGATTATAATTACTTAATTTGTGTGTGAACTATTATGTTAGTAACTTAAAACTTTATAAATTTATCAACAATTTTATACGGCTACCATTGCTAACACGGTCTAAGATTTACATCAATAAGATGTTAAATTATTTTTATATAATAATATGCATTTATATTGAATGTAAATATTGTAACTTGGTTATATCAATTATTTTATGTGAAGAAAAATAATGTTAATAGTTTTTTTCACTTCTACATTTGTTTTGTCTTCTTCATGTTACACGACTTGTGTAACATAAAGTTATCAAATGCTAGTCAATGATAATAAGAATTTATTGTAGCAGACATCGTCTGCAGTTTACACTTAAATGATATTGTCGTTACTTGTTTCCTCAAATAATTATTTGAGGAAACTCAAATACATACTTGAGTAATGATGAATCTCAAAGCCAACAGAAATAATTTCCACAGGAAAAAAGTTTCATTAGTTCATTTTAACGCTTTATTGCGTCCATTTTCTTTTCTTTGTAAACCAATTTTTAATTTATTTTGCCTCTTTATACATTTTACAAAAAAAATTATAATTATAGTGGTTTTTTTTTTTACTGTGGGCCCAAAATTACGAGTTGTCCTTAAAAAGTCAAAATTCTTTACATTTGATATATGCATATTATAAATGTAATATTAATTTAAATAATTCCATCAATCAACAATATTAATATAATGTATATCAAGGCGTGCATGGGAGCTTGGTTTTACCACTGAACTCGATAAGGAACGCGTATTGCCTGTAGTCGGCTACTTATGAAAATATCCTCTGGTAAGAAGCTACCATTTTGTGTACCGTTATTGTTTTGACCATGATTTTTATTGTTTTTTCTATGATTTATCATTCATATATGACAGTGTTATCATCACCTAACCTAAATTTTTAAAACAAATAAAAGTGACGTAGAATTCATACTTTCTAAAAAATTGAACACAAAATAGCTGCCTCCCAAGTGGAGACATTTTTCAATCTGAATACGCGTTCCATATTATATTGAGTTCAGTAGGTGTTACACTGATTCGACTGATACGAGATTTGCTTTTAGTCGCTGGTATACTATCTTTTTTAATATATAAATGAGAGTTGATGAAGTGTAAGAAGTTCACTAAATAGGCATATGAATAGTAGCCATTTTTAAGAACCAAACTATTTTGCCAGCCGTTAGCTATATGTATATACTTACTATCAAAATGCTTAACTGTCTTTGCATATAAAGTTTCCTTTAAACTATGTGCATAGTTTTTATTTTGATTAACCACTTGATTTAAAAAAAATTATTTCAATAAATACACAAATAAATTTGTACAAAAAAATAAGCCAAAAACTAATTTTTTAGAAAATGTATTTAATTCTAAAATATTATGTTAGAAATAATCCTTAGGAAAATTTTAAAAAAATTAGTGTTTTTTTTTAGTATGTTTTAGTATATAAAGATTAATATTTTTTTAATGATGCAATAAATTATCCTTTCAATGATGACATTCCAGCTCTCATTATTTCATCCACAAGCAAAAGGTTGCTAGCAATAATAGTACTAGAAAAAAAAAATTGAGCTATAATAAGAAATAATTTAATAAAAGTTATGAATTACACTTACCATGAGTTAAGTATCTGTTTCTTGACACAATAGTTATCAAATATACCAGCATCTACAGGCTGAAGGACTTCACCGCTGTCAACATTTACTCCAACAGGACCAGTGCTATCTCTAGATTCTTCTTGAAGTTTGACTATCATGTCTTGTGCATCAAATCCACTATTAATAGCTATGATAAACAAACATATATTATATATGCTATGTTCATGCTTCAACTATATTAATTTAAAGAATATTATACAAAAAACAATGGCAGAACGTTTTTAAAAAAATCAGACATTAAACCAAATTTTTAACAAAATATTATTTTAGTTATTTATATTTTAAAACTAACAAAAACTTACTAATAGTTTTAGGTATGACTAATAGAGCCTCAGCATAAGCTTGCACTCCTAAACGGCTTTTTCCTTTGATCTCGTCCTTATATTTTTGTAATTCTTGCCATGCATATATTTCAAAAGCACCGGCACCTGGGACTACAGCACCTAAAATAAAATACGTTTTCAGTGGTGTTTCTATGAGTGTTCCACCACTGAACTCAATATATTATGGAATGTGTATTGTCTATAGTCGGCTGCTTACAAAAATGTCTACTAGTAGAAAGCTGCCATTTTGTGAAGTTAATGATTTTTCTACGATTTATCATATTATATATGACAAAAGTTATCATCACCTAATCTAACATTTTTAAAATGTATCATGGAAAAGTAACATAGCATTTTCACTTTTATGAAATTGGAACACAAAATGTGGCTGCCTCACAGGGTTGGACATTTTTCAATCTAAATACGGGTTCCATATATTGAGTTCAGTTGGACGTTTAAGTTTTTGTAGCGTATTAACACTACATAATTTATGTATGCAATTCTGTAATGTATATTACATAGTTTTATTTACAAAATCTGTAAATAGTTGTAAAAAAAAAAAAAGGAATAATAGCGAGCCTGCGAAACAAATAAATTAGTTTTAACTTAAAAAGAGCCGGTTGATATGATGGAAGAAATGTCATATAGGACGTTAACTAAATGATTCAATTTTATATTTAACAACCTACCATCATCAATTGCGTTCTTGATTGCCCGAAGACCATCATGTATAGCATCTTTAATCTGAGTTAATGTGTACTTATTTGGTCCTTTCATCAAAATTGTAACACTAAGTGGATTTTTGCAGTCTTCCACAAATGTATACTTGTTCTCACCCTAAAAAAAAATTATTGGAATACATAAAAAATATAATTTAATTTTTATTGTATTTAATGGAGAAATCTATGTCATAAATTATTTATGTTATTATAAAAATATAGCTTTGATTTTAATTAAATTCTGTTTTGCTTTACAGACACTTGTCAAAATACTCAATTCAGTAAAAGTATATTTACATTGCTTGAAAAAAGAAATGAAATGAATTGATGATTAGATAGATCACAACAATAAATCACATATCATAAGAAGATTTATGGCATTGTTTTTATTTGTTTTCTTCAAAATTGGTTGGAGAGAAGGGATTATGTAAAATTGTAATTTTTTAAAAAGAAAAGAAGTTATTAATTGAAGAGCAAAGGGGAAAAACAGTAGTTGTCACATTATGAAAATTTTAGAGTAGAGCTAAAACACAGTTTGTGAATTTTTTTACCTCTTACATCAAAACAAAAAAAATCACATTAAATGCTACTCTAACAATAAATGTATTTATTTAAACAATCTATTGACATAAATTAAAAAAATTATTGGCATAAATTGAAAACAACTATTTTCATTATGTGACAACTACCAATTTTCCCCCGTGCCCTTCAATTATTAATAATATTAATAATTGTTGTATTTAATCTTCTTACCAAAACATACTCGTACACTGAACCAGCATAACCTAAAACATCTTCAGTTAAATCGTCTACACTATTAACAGCAGATCCTCCGCATGCTAAGGATAAGCGCTCCATGTTACGCCGTTTTGCACGTCTCAAACCAATAATGCCTTCTTTAGCCAACATGTCTAATGAAAATGGATCAATGCCCTTCAAAAAATGTTTACATTAACTTTCTTTAAAAAATTAATATGCAAACTTCATCTTATCTTTACCTTTTGGTTTATAACAACAAATGATTTCCCTGAACCAGGGGGGCAAACTTTTCTTTTCAACTCTATTACTTTTTTAACTCTTTGTTCAATGAAATCACGTTCAGCTACAGCTAATTTTTCCCTTTCTTCTGCAGTTTTGTAAAAGAATCCAGAATTTACTTCACTAAACATTTAACAGTCAAATAACTTATAAAGTAGATGTTAATTAATGCATTTAAATAATTACCTCTTCTCATACTCCATACTAACATTGCAAGTTAATATATAAGCATTATCAACTTTTCTTGGCATATCTGGATGTCTTGAACCATGGTCAAGAACAAGTCCTATAAAGATATATTATATCATTTAGTGAAAATTGTGTGTTGACCTGTGTAGAATAGTCAGGATATTGTATTGAGGTTCAAGACAGTAACAACTTTATGGGAACAATAGGAAATAATATGTACAGGCATATGTATACGTCTATGTGTGCTATAATACACTGACTTATGAATATGTAAATACATTTTTTTTTGTTACTAAAAAATATTATTTACCTTTAACAAGAGTTGTTTCAGTAGCTGTTTTATGTTGCATTTCCATTAATTCAACCATATGTAAATCAATACCGTCTTCCCGTTGGATACTTAACACAGCATCAACACACATATCAGCCATTTGATCAGCAAGTTTTCTATCTACTTTAGTACGTAAAGATGTAGAAGCTACATCATACAGACGTTGGCGATCTGGTTTTTCAGTAATTTTAATTTTTTCTAACAGCTCCAGTGCCTTATCTCTGGCTTTAATCATACCTTCAGTTAATACTCTTGGATGTACACCCTTAAAAAAAAATTACACGTTACAATATAATGTACATACTGTATAATAATATGTAATTGAAACAAAAATTTTATAATTATAATGTACTTCAGAAATTAAATTTTCAGCTTGCTTTAGTAGTTCACCAATTATGAGAACTGTAGATGTAGTGCCATCTCCAGTAGCATCATCCATAGCAGTAGAAGCTCTTGCAATAAGACTTGCAGTTGGATGTTGAATTTGCTTTAATCAATAATCACATTACATAGACAAAAAACTAATATTTATTTAGACAAATTTAAATATTTTTTAGTTCTTACCATTTCATGTAAAAGTACATTACCATCCTTTGTTATTTTGATATCACCTGCTCCAGATACCAACCTAAAAGGACAAGACAATTGTACATATAATTGTTTATATTTATACTTTTGCACAGGACAAGCTACTGTTAATTATTGTCCTCTCCAAGAATATCATGTTGGTCTTGACTTATTATCTACTAGAGTAATGAGATCAAGCCTTAATATAACTGAATAACAGCCATACAGAGAACAATACTTATACAAATCGCATAATTAGAAAGCCATAGAACCATCATTAAATAAGAGCAGTGTGCAACCATTAATGAATCTTATTGAAAATAAAATTAAAATGCATTTTTTTACTTATATTGACTTAATAAAAATAATAAATATGAATTTAGAGCTGTTTTTCAGCTAAAATCGAAAAGAATGATAACACTTTCCGTTTAGTTTTTCGAAATTATAACAATAAATTAACTAACCTATAAACATGCCGTCATTATTCATCGTTACAGGTGGGAAGTGAAACATAAATAATGGTCATAGAAGACTTTTAAATCACGTGATGAACTATCTACATTATAATATACTAGTGAACTTACATTTTCATTGTTCCTTTCGGACCTAGATTTGTCTTCATAACGTCTTGTATACCTTTTGCTGCAGAAATATTCACTGCCAAGGCCTGCGCTGCTCTAGCGAATTCGGCTTTAGGATTTAACAAACTTATCGCTGCCATTACAATATTTGTATATTATATTTACGAAACGAAAAACTGAGTTTAATTAATAATACTATAGTTGCGTATAAAAGGTTTTTGTAAAATAAAATTTAGTACCTAACCTCGATTAGACGATAGAATTCGGCTCAGACAAAATTGCATTACAAATAAAACACGACTGACGGCAGCGTGCTAACGGAGCATGCGCATAACGAAAAACAAGGCAATAAGTAAAATGTTTAAAGGGAAATGGAAACGTGATTTGTGATAACCATAGACCTTGAAAAAGTATAACCACGGTTGTTGATACCATACTCCTATAGACCGAATAACTCATGTTAATAATTAATATAATATTGTCTATACTCTATAGTTGATAACATGGAAGAAACTAGAAATAGAAAATTCAAATCATGACAAAATAGATTTGTTTTGTCATGATTCGAAGTAGAAAACAGAACAATAACAATTTAGTTTTTACTATTGACTTTTAAGTTGTAATGCCGAGCTGAGAAGGTAGTAGGTACTACTTGATTTTATAACCTGTTTGTTGTGTTGGGGTCCAATTTCTTCATACATTATTTTTATAATATAGTATTTAGTCTTTACTGTTTCTATAGATCAGATATTGTTCACCGAAAATATTTCATAAGTGAATACGTCCATAAGTTAAAAAAGTTCATCCTTTCATTATTAAAATTCAAAACCGACAATTATAGCATAATATTATATTAGAACATACGTAGACTACCCATATCCTTTTTTGGCAATCTAATTTTAGATACAAATCTACATATTATAATATTAATCCCGCATAAATTCATAAATTTTAATATCATAATGGTTTCCGTGTTTCTTATGTTCGTGGACTATCTAGTATTTATGTAATTTAATCTGGAGTTAGTTAAAACAATTAAAACATTTTTAAATCCATAACTATTTACTATTTAACAATTTCTCATTATTTATCTTATGTTCAGCTTACTAAAGGTAGCAAGTGTAACCTTGAAATCAAACATTTTTACTTTTAATTTCAGAATTAAGAGCTAGTGCCGTGTCTAGCAACAATATATGACTCACTAGAGACTTAAAAATACAGTGAAATCCTTCATTATTTTTCTACCAAATTACGTACAGACATAGGCGTAGAATAGGGGGCCATAGTCTTAATAATTTCCTTTAGTGCTCCCATAAAAATACATCAATTTTCTATGTTCATAATACACAGGTGTGGGAATTCTCCGCGCAAGTCTGTATATTCACAATTTGTGTTAAGGCTATAGCGGATAGCCCTCCTCAAAAATGCATCATTCTACGCCAGTACAGCGAATGTTGGTCTTGGTCCGTGTACGGCACACCCATAGACCCAACTTTATTCAAAATCAGGTAGGTAGTTTACCAAATCAATTGATATTTAAATCAAAATTTTTTTAGCATTGACCAGTTCAATTTTTTTTTTTGATAAGAAAGTTGTGTACAAGATAAGGTCTATGGGTATAACTGAAAATTTGTTATCAATCATAATAATTAAATTGTTGTCGCTGGCGAGCTGTTGTCGTCGGGCGCCACAATATGAACCCCGCTCGGTGTCAGCGCTTGGAATGATTTCTATTTCCCAATTCCCACTCACTTCTCACTTGCCGCTAAAGTGCGTTTACTGACTAAACACGTGTTCGCCATCGTTTACCGGTGTTTTCCATTTTCGTTCATTTGTTAGCAACCATTCGCGAAATGCCACCCATAAGAGAAAATATTGTACAAGACGGTCTGTCAGCCGAAGAACTATTTCGATCCGGAGAAGGGCTCACCTACAAGTATGTTAGAAAATGTATTTCCGTCTTTTAAAAATACTTTTATGTGTAGTCTTTGTATGTGACTAGTTATTTTCGCACTTTCGTTATAATTTCTCCCGGGTGAAATATACTTTCGACTAGTAATTTATTAAAAACCCTGGGTATTTACATTATTTAAGATTTGTTTTGAAATATAATTAAAAGTTGATTACCTACCATAGGACAATCTATTACTTATTTATTTAGTCACAAGATCAAAACGAGAATATAACAAAACAAATTCCATGTTTCCTACTAGTTAGTAATATCTCTAAATAGGTAGCCAAATTGTATTTAGTATATTATCTATTTATCAGTAATTAATAGTATTTTTTACGTTTATTGAGCTGTAACAATGTAACTTTTCTACAGCATATAATTGTGTATAAACTAATCTATTGTCTCTCCTTGTAGGGCATCTTTTTTAGGTTGATTTATTTTAAAACAACCTTTAACTTAGCGGTTTTTAAAAATGTTTTTAGATAGCAAATACGTTGATTTTCAGCAGTATAGATGATTTTTTGACAATAAATTTAAATACCCATCAAAATTGATATAATAGGTTAGGTACTCTTTTTTTTCTAATGCGATCTTTTGTTTTAATATAATAACTACAATTTCAACTACAACATTCCTTTTTTTAGCATTGGCCCACACCTAATTATGATTAATTTCATTTTTGTTTAATATTTAAATTATTTTATTATATAAGAAACTTTTAATTGTGAATTCTCTTCCAAATAATGTATATACTAATATATATCAATAATAATAATTCATGAACTTTTGTTTTTATTTTATGTTGCAGTGATTTCATTTTATTGCCAGGATTTATTGATTTTGTAGCACAAGATGTTGTAAGTCTTCTTTAAGTTTTAGTAATGTAATTGTATACCTCTTAATGTCTACACAGAAATGTAATATAATATGTTACCAGAAGCAGTTTATAATTAAGGAGAGAAATAATGTTTAAGTTAAATAAAAATAATACTTTACATTTAGGTATTTTTTATTTTACTATAACAATTTTCCCACCATTTAGTGTTAATTGTACATTTTTTTTTACAGCTGAATTCAATACAAATTTTTGCAAAAGAAACAAAGTGTTAACTATTAAAGTGCATTATTGTACATAGTATATTTTTACACATAACAATTATTTCAACTATTTTGATTAGTGTGTTAATTTAATTTTTTTGACTTTTTTTTCTTATATTTGTTTTTCTTAGCATTTTTATGGAGAACCCAGTTTGAAATTTACAAATTATGTGTAAAATTATATCAGCTTTCTGAACAAATATTAGAAAAATTATTACATTTTGAGCAACACAAAAAACCAACTTTTTCGATTATAAATTTAATTTTAATCACTTTCTATTACTAAAAAAAAAAGTTCATAATTTATTTAGAAAGCTGAAATTATTTTACATAGGAAGCTGATTTTTAATCACTTTTTTATGGCCGAAGATACTATAAAAAACGATTAAAAAGAGTAAAGAAAAAACTAAAAATACTTTATACAACCATGGTCAAAATAATCAAAAAAAATTTGAGAATTTTTTTTTCATTGTAACAGACATGTAGGGTAAGTTTCAAAAAGTTCCGGGGGGGGGGAAGGAGGTGCTTCAAATGTTTGTTTGTATTTGGCCCATATATATGTACAGAGTTTATATTACATTTTATATTATGTTAACAATTAGATCCAAAATGATCCTTGGATTTTTATTTGACATGTATTTTGCTATTTATGACTTATTGAAAAACCCCTTAAAATGATAGATTGAAAAGTTAAATGGTAGATAGCATACCATTATTAAATTATACCATCTAAAGCTTGGGCTCACAATATAAATGAACGAATAAAAGGCATTAACAGAAAAAAAAATGAATATACTTATTATGTGATATTTTAAATAATTGAATTAATTATCTCTCACAAAGAACAGTTGTGTTTCTTTCTTATAAATAATACCTTTATTAGCCAGCAAACATATTTTCATTACGTCTACAAATAGAACCAACAAAAATTAATTATTAATATCTTAGAATAGCTAAATATTATTTATTATAAGTTCTTTTTCTAAATTTAAATACTGAAACAATTACACCTTTTTTTATTTTTTCTGAGTTTTACAATAAAATAGAATAGAACCTAATCTACCTAATCTCGTAAACCCAGTATCATTTAAAATACAAATTTTGTGTTCCCAAGTGTAATAAATCTTTAATTTAATAATTATTACAACTTTCTATTGATTTAATTTGATGTTTATTTTTTCAAGGATTTATCTTCTCCATTGACTAAGACTATAACACTACAAGCACCATTAGTTTCATCTCCTATGGATACTGTTACAGAATCTGAAATGGCAATAGCAATGGCTGTAAGGATAATAAATAAAATACTAAGCTACTCTTCTACAATTTTAATTTGTTCTTCAATACCTATATATATACATACATATATATATATATATATATATATATATATATATATATATATATATATATATGTGTGTGTGTGTGTGTATGTATACAAAATTATAATTTTCTACATTTTTAATTAAAATTAATGTCTAGTGCAGTGGTATTCAAATTTTTTCATCCTGCGGTTCCTTTGTATCTTTAAAATATTTTGACGGCTCCTAAATTATTGATCCCCTGGTTATGGATTTACATATACTGTATTCATAACCTCCACAACTCCCATGACCAACTCACGCGACGCCCCTGAGAGCCGCAAAACACAGTTTGAATACCTCTGGTCAGGTGCTCAAGAACATAAGTGATTTTTGTTTGATATTTTTTATTTATAGCTCTGCGGAGGAATTGGTATAATTCACCACAATTGTCTTCCAAGTTATCAAGCTAATGAAGTATCTAAAGTGAAAAAATATAAACACGGTTTTATTCGTAATCCAGTAGTCATTTCGCCAGATCTCCTGGTAAAATTTAGTGCTGACAAATTATCTAGAACTATTTTACAGAAATTATTTTATTTAGGTATCTGATGTTTTTCGACTTAAAGAAGAACATGGATTTTGTGGTTTTCCTGTGACTGAAAATGGAAAATTGGGTGGTAAATTAGTTGGAATAGTAACATCTAGAGACATAGATTTTCTTGAAGGTTCTGAACAATTAAAACAACAAGTTAATATAGTAAGTATTTTATTGCTAAATTTTATTGGACATATCAATACAGTTAATTTAATTATTTTTTTTAATTTTAAATTGTTGTAGATAATGACAAGAATAGATAATATTATTTCAGCACAATCTGGAGTGACTCTTGAACAAGCTAATAGCTTATTAGAGAATTCCAAAAAAGGTAAATTACCAATTGTAAATGAAAATGGTGAACTAGTTGCATTGATTGCCAGAACAGATTTAAAAAAATCTCGCAACTTCCCTAATGCATCTAAGGATGAAAATAAACAACTTTTGGTTGGAGCAGCTATTGGAACACGAGAAGAAGACAAAGAACGATTACACTCGCTACATAAAGCTGGAGCTGATGTGATTGTCTTGGTATGATGAAGCCATTTATGAACATATAATTAATTTGAGTATATAGGAGGTAATACTTTATTTTTAGGATTCATCTCAAGGAAATTCAATTTACCAAATAGAAATGATAAAATACATTAAAACAAATTTCCCCACATTACAAGTTATCGCAGGAAATGGTCAGTGTAAATTGAAAATAATAATTATTGTGGTTATTTATACGATCTAATTTTTTATAGTTGTTACCATGTCACAAGCAAAAACACTAATAGATGCTGGTGCTGATGGATTAAGGGTTGGCATGGGTTGTGGATCAATATGCACTACACAAGAGGTAATGGCTGTAGGCAGAGCTCAAGGTACTGCAGTGTACAGAGTTTCACAATATGCTTCACAGTTTGGTGTGCCAGTTATTGGTGATGGTGGAATACAATCAATTGGTCATGTAATTAAATCTCTGGCTCTAGGAGCATCAACTGGTAATTTAAAGAACCCTAACTTTGATGGTTTATTATTAGTATATAATTTAAAGTATTCTAACTGAATTGCTTCATGCAAAAAAGGCCTTAGTTCTTAACTTTAAACTGTTGGAAAAATGAAAAAAACCTTTGATATGTTAAATAAGATATGTTATTTGATATTTAAGATGCTTGTTTACAATGGGTTCTAGTAATGGGACTAAAGCCGTTTTAACAAGAATCGATGCGTCTAAGTAAAGTGATAACAAATCTGTAATAATCTTGTTTTTGACTTAGGCCCTTTTTGCATGAAGAAATTCAACTACAAAACTCTGTATTTTATTATTATTACTTTTTTTTAAGACAAATTCGTTTTTGAGTACACGGTCAAATTATTTTAGTGAAGGACCAACTCCTTAGTTCAAGTTCAGGCCCTGGGCATTGACAAAAATTAACATGGGGAAGATATTTATCACACAAAAACGTGGCAGCCATTTTCTTAAATCTAAACCACTATAACGTTATATCTATACATTAGTATTATTAGTTGTAGATATAACATATTAACTAAATAGATTTTACAAAATGGTAGTCACTTTTTTGTTTATAGTGAAAGTGGACCTTCAACTTTCATATATTCTTTGGTTCTATCCTATTTCAGAATTGATCTGTAACCACCAATAAATTATATTATATATATAATATATGTATATTTATATTTAATTTTAGTTATGATGGGATCTATGTTGGCTGGAACTTCAGAAGCACCTGGTGAATATTTCTTTTCCGATGGTGTAAGGTTGAAAAAATATAGAGGAATGGGTAGTCTAGAGGCTATGAACCGGAAAGATGCTAAGGGATCGGCATTAAATAGATATTTCCATAGGTACAACTAAAATTATTATTTTTGTTTTAAATATGTATTGTAATGCACAATTTTTATTTATTAGTGAAAAAGATTCGTTGAAAGTGGCCCAAGGTGTTAGTGGTGCGATTGTAGACAAAGGATCTGTCCTCAGATTTTTACCATATATTCAATGTGGTTTACGACATAGTTGTCAAGACCTAGGAACTAAATCAATAAAAAATCTTAAGAATATGATGTCAACAGGAGAACTCAGATTCGAAAAACGTACGCATTCTGCACAACTTGAAGGCAAAGTACATAGTTTATTTTCATATGAAAAACGATTGTTTTAATTAAATCAAAATGTTCTGTTACACATAAATATAATGATGTGTATGTATATATATATATGCGTGTAATACATCACTAACAAACAAAAATGTATTTTAACATTTGTTGAGCTGATATTTCTTGGCTGATATTTAGTTTTACAATGTATGTTAAGAAAAAAATTGTAATTTATCTTTAATAAAGTTTTACATAACTTATTTGAATAATTTTATTTAAACATGACTACACTTCATTTCCAGTCAATCCAGCGAGTTTATTGTTAAATTCCTGAATTTGTGTTTGGAGAGTCATTAGCTTGTTACATTCATCTCTAGTGTAATGGTATTTACTTTTCCATTTCTGTATATCTTTTAATACTCTCTTCATGCCATTGCTTCAAAAAAAAAAAAAAGGTTACAAATACTAAACTAAATAACTTATTTTTTTAAATTTAAGTCTGAAATGCTTACATTTCTTTGTAAGTATTAAAATAAGGTTAGTAATCATCAAACTTAATATCCTGATGAAAGACTATTTCTATAGTTGTCAATATTATCTTTCATTGTGTTCAAAAACAATTTTGCGAAATTTCAACGAAATAAAATAATTGATATTGGTCCAACTATGAATATTAATAGAATTTGATATAAATGTATACAAAGATTAAATAACTCTAAATATCTTAATAGATACACTGGATATAGTTATTAATTATTTTTAATAAACGATAATAAGTACGTTTTTTATTAATATAACAATAATTAATATCGCCAGTTATCATCCGAGGTGAAAAAACTATCGAAAACCCATAGTGCTAACCTAATATGACAATAATGTACCTATTGAAAAATGAGCTAACAAGTCCAAACGAGTCTAGGTTTTCAAGGGTTAGTCGTTCTTATTTTTAATATGATACTTTAAAAAACAAATCAACATGTTTTTATCAGAAAGCTGAGATTATTTTACATGGGAAACTGATTTTTTATAAACATTTTTGATGGCCAAAAATACTTTTAAAAATAATAAAAAAGGTGTCTAGAAAAAAACTGAAAATACTTTTTACTACCATGGCTATAAAAATGTTAGAACTTTTTTTTCATCGTAATATACATGCAGTGTCATTTTCAAAAAAAATTGAGGGGGTCGCTCGTTCGTTCGTGTTTGGCGTTTGATCCATATATTTATTAAGCAAAAAACACCGAACACATAAAAAATCTAATATTATTATAGTTCCTTACAAAAGTCGGCCTCCAAGAGAATAGTAACGCTATCTACGTGACATAATAACCACTGTTTTGGTTTTAGTGGATTATCACAATACATTACAACCGTGGTATAGGGTAACAATAATGAATGGTCGCTGTCAACGGTTTTTCATAATGTTTAGTTAGATAACAAAATTGTGATAAGAGCAACGAATGAGTAAGAAGTACGGACGAAAGTGTAGTGATCTGTAATACTCGGTACACTCCACACTTCGTACGTTTGATAAAGTCTATAATATACAGTCATTTACTACTATGTTTTCGTTTTTAAACCTTTTTAATAACTCAAAACCTGCTGCTGACAAGAAAATAACATTGGATCCTCTAAGTGGAAAAACATTAAATCTCAACAGTTCAGAAGCGAGGGCTCTTAACATTTTTAACCACAAGCCGCCTGTTTCCCGTAGGCTAAATGGAAGCAATACCTCTTTCAAGTAAACTTACACTACTTATTGATGCTATTTTTTATATTGTTGTTATTATATTTATATACCATAATATGTGTGTGTTTTTTGGAACAAAATACATTTTGTAGTGTTTTTCCGGTAATTTTGAATCTGAAATATACTCTTCTAGTTTAAAAGTTACAGCTACTTGAACTTACAGAGTTAAATCAAATTATTGGAATAGTATTGTTCATGGAGCTAAATAAAGAATAAAATCACATTTAAAAACTATATTTTTTTTTTAAATAAATATTGATGAATTTGGTCTTTAATGACAACCATACAAACATGTAGTATGCAACTTAAAAAGCTTACTATTTTCCTTCGAATTACCCGCTTACATATTCAGCAAACCCTTTATCACAACTTGAAAATTCATTTAAAATATAAAAATTTAAAGAAGCACAAAAACCATTTAAAGCATAACTTTTTGACCAAAATCAATATAACGGACACCCTAATATATACACATATATATAGAGGAAGATAGGGTAGATTTGAATGTAAATCATATTATTATTTTTCATAATTGTATTTTATGGCAATTTTCAAGTTTGAGAGTTCCAGCTTAAATGGTTTAAATCAAGTAATTTATAATATATCAATTTTTAATAAATCTTTGTTTTTATTAAAATCTACCCCGGTAATGGAGTGCATTTGAACTTAAAGGGGGCAGATTTGAATATATCTTATTAATATATAAAAAAATATATTATTTACAATTTATTTATTTTATATCAAACTGTTTTTCTGTATTAAAGCAAATTTTGAACTATGAATATTCTATAAGGAGAATATTAAAATCTACCTCGTGATCACAAATTCAAATCCACCTTACTTCATATTTGTTAATATTTAGTATTATATTAGAAAAAATAATTACAACAAATCAACGATAGGTAGATAACATTGATAAAAACAAAACTTTTTGTTAATAAGATTTTAATACATTATTTAGGACTTAAAATTAAGTTGTAAGTAAAAAAATTCATGCAAAAATAAAAAAATCACATGTATAACATTTTTGTTTTTGTTTATGACATAATCAGTCAGAATCTGCTGATAACACAACACAATACTTCAAACAGTGTGGCTATTTATTATATTTATTCTCAATACTTTTAGCACAGTTAAAATAATTCTATTTGCATTATTTAAATGTACCTCACATTTAAATCTACTTTATCTTCCCCTAAATATTATACAATATGTATAATATTATAGGCATAATGAGTATTTATTTTTTATAATTTATTTAAATAAATTTAAAAAAATTGTTAAGGTTAGTACAGTTAATAATACTATATTAAATGTTAACTACAAATCAAACTATGATTATTTTTAGTAGGTAGATTTTAACACTTCTAAATAAAAATCAAATATTGCACATTTTAAAAATGATTTGTTTTTTTTTAAGTTTTGTTTATTTTCCTTAGAAACAGCAATAATAATAGTAGTCATCACTCTTTTAGAGATGTCTATGATAAAAAACGTAAACTGATGGAATCGTTGGACAATTTTGGTATAAGGAAAAGAACTCGCCAAGAGGTATAAATATAAACTATTTAGTATTTTTTTTATTATTTGTTATTTCATTAAAAAAAAAAAATGCTGATTATCTTGTAATTATTCTGATTAAAGTGTGGAGTTGATACATTTGTAAATCAACAGCAAAAAACTATAGCAGAAGCCACTGATTGGGTACCTTCATTTAACCGAATTGATAAAGGGAATAACAGCGTAGTGCCTCAAACAGTAATTAATGCAAAAACTGTTTATGGTAATAAAGAAAAAAAACTGTGAGTACATATTAATATTTTGTTTTTAATATAATACAAATTTGCTTAGGAGCGTAGATGAGAAAGTATGAACACTGATGTAATTTTTTTAATTAAATTTCTTTATTTTTGTGTCTATATTTACTATTTTGAATCAAACAGTTTCTTTGTATAATGCAAAGCTACAGATCACAAATATTGTATTTTATAAAATTGTAATATAAGAAATTTGTTCAAAAATGAATAATGTTTTTAATTTTTAAGAATTAAAAGACACGGGGATACGTTTAATGATGATCATTTACAAAAGCGGCCTAGGACTCGAAACAATGAAATTTTAAGTTCTTACAGCTCTAGCAAGTTTCTACTTACACCCGGACAGAAAAGAACTTATCCTACTGGTAATATTTTTTTTGGAATAACTTGCATTATTTATTGTAAGAATTTAGCTGAAAAGACAATTGTATACATCAGAAATCTCAACTAATACAATTATATTTTATGTATTATATAATGTTGTGGCTGAGAGTCTTGACGCGGCAGTGCTACGCACCTAGCTGTTGTTCGAATCTCAGCCACTGGCTATTTCTCTTGCTGAGCAGGTAACCGTTAGAGAGAGGAATGGCCGCCTGATGGGGGCAGACATAAATGGGAAACCACCATCCACTTCTCAGGATAACAAGTTTTATTTATTAAAGTGTGGTCAAAAAATATTATATGATATCATATAATATTATATTATATCTTATAGATAACTAATTTCCATTAGATCCAGTTAAAATTTCCAAGAACCTATATATATTTTTACAACAATTATGAATACAGTGCTTTCATTTCATTAAATCTATATGATGTTTTAACTTTCAATATAACTTGCCTTAATACCAAACTACAAATTAAAATTATTTTTTGTGATCACAAACATTCTGTATGTTAAAGAAAATGCAGTCAAACACATGTTTCTTAAATTTCGTTTGCGTTTTTTTAAAACTATAATTTACCGTACTATAATTCACATACAATTTTACAATTTTAAGAAGAGTTTTCTAATCACACAAATTAAATATTTAGAAAATATATTTTATGTTGAAATGTTTTAGCTTTAGTTGCTATTATTTCAAATTCTGTAAAACCTAATATCTTAATATTTTAAATATGAATATATTTTAAAACATATCACTACAAATGTTTAACTTTAAAAGCTACAATTGTGGTTATTAAAATATAATTAATATATTTAAGAAGCATCATATATAAAATATTTGACAAAAACTTATAATAAATTTCGATCAAGTAAATTTGACAATTTTTATACAGCTGTAGAGTGTAATTTTTTACAATATGAAGAATTTTATTTTATAGCCATTTTGTTAGTATAAATGGCTAAGGATGCCACCTCGTTGAGAGATATTTGTCAATTGATTGCTAGAAAATGTATTTCAAATAGGTGTGGTACACTTTAAATACTAGATAAATTAATCTCTGGAATTGTGAATTAATACAACTAGCTTAATACAGTCCAATGAGTACTAACTATTCCATTACCATATACGTTTTGATAATAATCAAGCTCGAAAACTATTAACATGTTATAAAAGCCAATTCAGAGGGGTCGAGGCATAGTGGTGACGGAGGATATTGAGGCGAGGGAGGTCATTGGTCGTTATGAATTATTACAACTAAAAGCGATAAAATCACTTTCAAACAAACACTTCAATACAAATCTATTATGGTAGAATTTTAAGTATCGATAAAAGTACATTATGTCATTAAAATAAGTATTTTAATGACATAATGTACTAAAAAATGTATTTTTAGTATGAGGGTGGATACAATAAGTTGACCATCTGTCTATAATAATTTATTGCTGTTGTTACCTATACATTTGGGGTTTATGATATTTTTTTTTGTTTGTCAACGGTTTTCTATAGTACTATGTCTAAAAAAATATTGCATACAAATTCTACTATTTTTAAAAAAGTTATAGAGGACTGTAATGTTAAAAAATATGTAATTTTTTGGGTGTTTTTTTTTTTCAATTTTAAAAAGGGAAGGGCTGAACTTTTTTAACTTTTGGCCCAATAACTACCTTTTACATACGATATCTAATCTATAGAAAAAAAAATTGTATTAGTCACTCTGTGTTAAGTTTTAAGTTGTAAATATCTACATGATCATAGTTATTTTCAATTTTCAATTTTGATAAATATTATCTTAGGTACTTATTGTACTATATAATTGTATTTTTATTTTTTAGACTCTGGAGATGATTATTCTTCCAGTCGAAAACACTGCAAAAGCTGTACTTGTTGTGGATCTACAACATTGTTGCACAATGACAAAAGCCCGTTAAATAAAAGTGATAAAACTACTGAAACTGATATATCAGATGATTTAGTGACAGTTGCAGCTAGCCGAATTTTCAATAGAAGTGGAAAAACACAGGTTGTTAAAAGAATAAGTATGAAAACAATACTCAATGAGGCATTTGATGATGTCGATCCTGAACCATTTACTAGTTTAGAAAAAATACAACAAAAGAAAAGTAAAACCCAAGAAAAAGGTATGTAGTATTTTTTTTTAACATTGATTAATATTCACTGATTATGTTTTATTATTTTCAGCTATATCCACCAATGATTCACAGGATTCTTCTTTAATAAAAAACACTAATTTAAATGTATCTATGGACTCAGTTACTACACCTGTATTGACAACTTCTGTTTCTGATTCAAACCAATCAAAATTAACTATTTCTTCTACAACATCGTCATCTATCGTCACATCAACAACTCAATCTGTTGCTCTATCTGAGAATCTGAAGGAAAACAGCGAAATTGATGGGAAACAAAATGAAAGTCAATCATCAAAAAACATTGTTGAAACGCCAAAAACTGATTTTAATATTATTAAACAACCTGCAAAATCAATTTCCCTAACTCCTAAAGTTAACGAGAGTTCGAAAAAAGAAATTATCAACACTGAAAAAGCTCCATTTCAGTTTTCTGTACAAACTTCAAAGTCTATTGAGCCTATTTCTAGTTCTACAGATGTCAGTGCACCTATAGCTGTCAGTGAACCTATTGAGAACAAAACAAATAAAAATCAGAACCTACCAATAATACAGTTTGGCAGTCAGTCGCCATCAGAAAAATTTAAAGAAAATTCAGTATTGAATTTTGCGAGTTCTCCTAAACAACCAACTTTTACTTTCGGAACAGCAAAAACCGATAATAAACAGTCTACACCGGCATTTCAGTTTGGTGCTGCAATGCAGTTTGGATCATCTAATGTTGAAAAGTCTACAGTTCCAGTTGTACAGTTTGGAATTCCAAAAACTGACGAAAAACAACCAAAATCAGTTGCTCCTAATGCACCAGAAAACACAAGTGCAGTTAAACCTGTATTTTCATTTGATAAAAATGCTACTGAGAATACAACAAAACCTGAACCTAATACATTCCAATTTGGTTGTCCAACTAAACCTGTTGATAGCTTTCCTACTACCTCGGCTGGCAATGAATCTAAAATTGTGTTTGGGTCCAATATTACAACATTGGCTGCAAGTCCATTTAGCTTTGGAAAACCCAATGAACCAAAAACAACAACTACAAGTGTTGCGCCCAAATTTAATCTTGCACAATCTACAACTGAAGGTTCTGCTCCAAAATTACAGTTTGGTGCAATGTCTTCATCGGTATTTGGCAACTCGTCAACGAATCAAACTAAAACTCAATTAAGCAACACTGTAAATAACCCTGGCCTAACTGTTAAGAACCAAGACAATAAATTAGTTTTTGGAAGCCTGAGTACAGAAGTAAAACCAGCAACGTCTACTCCAGAAATGGCTTTTAACATACCCGTGTTTAATAATAGCAGTAATAATGTAACAAGCCCTGTATTTCAATTTAGCAGTACAGGTACTAAACGTGATGAAAAACCACTAGAATCGTCAATTAACACTTTTCAGTTTCCTGCAGCAAAATCTACCCCTTCATTTGGTTTGTTGTCATCCCCACCAAGTTTTGTGGACAAAAAAGCATTCGAATTTAATGCTCAAAAAACAGATGATCAAAAAACTCAGTTTTCAACTCCAGCGTTTGGGTCGCAAAATGCAGCTTCTGCTCCATTTAAATTTGGGGGAAGTGATAAGTCCACAGCGTTCGAAAATACATTTACTTCACCAAATCAATCTCTGCAGTTCCATAACAAAACAGAAACAAAAGCTGAACCGTTTAAATTTGGTGCACCAGCTCCAGCCAACAATGCATTTCAGTTTGGCGGAGCCAATAAAGCTAATAGTGAACCACCAAAATTTGGTCAAAATACAAATGCATTTAATACTTCAGGGTTTGGTGGCTTTGGCCCTTCAGTGTCGTCACAGCCAACACCTGCATTTGGCACAACCATTTCACAACCACAACCGTCTTCGTTTGGTAATGTCGTCGCTCCTGTATCCACATCGTCATTTGGAAATGTAGCTCCACCTTCGTCTGACGCGTTTGGGTCCAGTGGAGGTTTCCAGTTTGGCAGTACAAATAACTCGGTACCTAGTAATCCATCTACAACATTTGGATTTGGTGGGCCACCACAGCCTGCAAAGTCAGAAGGCGCTTTTGGTTTCAATGCAGGCTCGACAGGAGCTTCACCATTTCAGTTTGGACAGGCACCATCAGTGTCTTCCCTTCCTCAATTTACTGGAGGACAACCACAAGGTATTTTTTTTTAATATGTAGCATAATCTAAAAAACATTTTTCTTTTCCAATAATTATTTGTTTTTTAAATAAAAAATGTCCATACTTGGACTTGTGATTAAAAGGAATGAGTTTTATTTAACCTGGCTGTTAAAAGTAAATTATATTTTCTAACTAAATAATGTAAGGGAAAAAATTATACCTCTTTTTATCAATGAAAAATTTTTAAATTATTCATTATCTGTGTTATTAAATTTATGGATTGATTTATTAGTTAATTTCTGATATTTTGTTTCGTATTTTAGCTAGACCCAGACGTCATTATTTAAAATGTATGTTTCTAGTTTGTTGATATTTGAATTTATTTGATTTTTTAGGTGCATTTGGTTTTGGATCCGCTCCCCAACAAGCAGCAGGTAAGCAAATACACGGAACTTGGAATAATATTTTGAATACAGTATAAATTTGAAATTTATTTTGGACAGGTATTCAGGGATCAGGTCAAGCATTATTCAGTATGGGCGCAGCTCCAGCTGGAGACAGGAGGAAAGCTAAAGCTGTTAGGAGGCGAAATAATTAGCTTAAAATATCTAATATTTCATAAAACAAAAAAGTAAAAACATTCACTGTAATTTTAGACTATTGTATATAACCATAGAAATAACACTTAAGACATAAATTTTAAAATCAATTTATCGGACTGTCTATTACAAAAAAAATATGAGTGTGACCTAAAATGTTTAACTATACTATAATTGCAATTATTGTTGATCACATAATTTGTGTTTAATTGAAAAATTGTATTTTAATATATTTTATATGTAAGAATGGTTTGTATTATTTTCTAGCTAATTTAAATAATTATTATCAACGAAATAAGGGTTTTTTATTTTTAACTTCAATTATTCAATTTTTAAATAAATTAGTACACATTTTTTTTCCTAGGTTATTTATAATATTAGTTAATTAATTATTCGTATCAAATCAGTATGACTTATGTAATAACTCAAAGTGAAAGTCTCATAACTTTTGTTTTCGAATCAAAATGGATCGCAATTTTGGTTTATAAACGTTATCACGTATTGTAATATTTAGGCTTCGGTTATTAAAACAGTAGATTTACTCAGGACTAATCATTTTAAATTTAATATGATAATGTTACCAAATTTTTAAGTGTATTTATATTCATATTGAATAAAGAACTACAGTACTCTCGTGTAGTTTTAAAACATTTATTTTTTCTACAATTTTTTTGTAATTATTTTTAGCTTCGATGCGGAATTGAGAAGGTAATAGTTTTATAATATGTTCTTTTTTTGTTTTTTTTTTCTCGACCCACGATATCTTCTAAATGACTGAATAATGTCTTCGTGTAGCAACTCTATAAATCAGAAATCGCTCCTAAAAAGTACTTATTTGGCCAAAAATTAAAAAATTCACCCTTTCTATCGAAATTAAAGAAAAACGCCCCAAAAATTACATATTTTTTCAACTTAAAATTACGGTGCTCTATAAATTTTTTTAAAATAGTTGAATTAGTTCCAAATTTGAATGGAATATTCATTAACGGTACCGATTCTAAAATATATCAGGATTATGGGAAAAATATTTAAAAAATGATTTCAGCACAACTTCCCCTTAATTCTCCTCAAAGTTTAATTCGTGCCTAATATGGCACAACGCGCACCAAATGTATGTTTGTGTCACTTATGGCCATCATGCATTAAAAAACACAATTTTTGTTTGTGCCATATCTGGAACAATATGCACTCAAAACAAAGTTGTCATATCTGGTATTCATTTTTTGGCATTTTTTTTTATTACTGACATTTATTTGTGATATATATTATATAAGATAATTAAAAAACGTGATTTGTGTAATTATCATTTTTTTTTTTTTAATAATGTAAGTAACAAATTATAATAACTTTTTATGCATGTTGTCCCATATTGGGCATACAATAAGTTTTTGTTTATTTCAAAAACTGTTCTTACTTTTAAAATATTTTCCACAAAATTCCCTACAAGGTAGTAATTTTTTTTTTTCAATTCGGTAGTTTCAATTTTTTGTTATGATAGCATGAAAGAAATAGTTTTTACCCGACGCGGTGATAATATTTTCAGTTGCTTATTGTTCATCTATAATTCACAATTTTAACGCTAGATGAAGGTACTTTACATCAAAATGGGTCAGTTTTTTGTGCTGAATTCGGCCATCTATGCAGTTATGTCATAAATTAATTTCCAAAGCAACAAATAACAAAAAACTAATTTGTGCCATATACGGCACAACATGCACGAAGGGGTTAAGACATAGTGCTACTGATAAACGTAGACAAACCAAACAAGATTGTGAGTTCATAAAAACGTTATAAAAATATAAACCCTTTTCCCTAGAAGTGGTGGACATACTTTTTTCTTTATTTTTTTATCTATAGGTTTTAAGGCTTAAAGGTAGATCTAGAATTCTCAAAAATCTGCAGTCAAACTTTTTTTTATTATGGAAAAAAAAGGATAAATTACACTTTGACCGTAATAAATTTCTAGGTTGCTTTGTGGGAGTGAATAAATAGTCAACAGATATTTTAATTATAATATTGTTGATTACAATATATGGGTAACTACTAACTATGGCAATAATAAGACAGACGAACAACCTTAATCGTATATTCGTACCATCCTTATTGCGATAAACGCCTGTATATCTTGGTGGAAGTTAGTATTTAAGTAGAAAATAAACACAACAATAATATGTTTAACACAATACTATTAAACATAAAAACACACACAGTATAGAGAATAATATATATACAACGTACGTTTCAATTATAACAGCAGCCGTAATAGAATGGTAAATCCAACACCTTAATACTATGTCTTATATACGATACAATCTAGGTTACAGACGTAATTGGTCCTTGTATAAACAACTTAAATATTACTCATGATTTCTTCAGTGTACACATATAATACCATATAAGGTTATATAATATTTATTACTTATATTCCATGACCCAGATAAACAATATTAATTATATTCAATAATCCTAATACTAAAAATTCATTTTTAATTACATTATTGTCACAAAGTACAATGCTTTCATCAATATTTGTATATTTATCATTACATATTTGCATAATTGCATCGCAGAGTTTATTTGAAAGTGATTTTATCAATTTTAGGAATGTAGAAAGAATTATTGAATTCTAAGAACTAGGAAGTCAAATATCTAATATGAATAACAAACAACAAATATCTAATATGATCATATAGGAACTAATATGAGCATTAAATTGCATTATTTACATAGCCATTTGGACAATTTGCGTGATAACTTGGGCGATTACAGTTACTAGTGGGTAACAAGGGAAAGGTTACCTATGATAACTATAAAAGAAAAAACATACCCAAGGCCGGTGGGACAACCATATGATGGCAGACTATTGCTGGTCCTTGAAAAAGGAATAGGGATCATCCAGCTTTGTTAATATTTTATCACTATATTTGAAACCAGATAAGCCATTTTAATTGTCCATCGTCTAGACTCTAGACGACCAGGTATTAGTTTATGAAAGATACAGAAATGATTGTTATGGTTTGGGCGCAGTTGAGCACCTCGAAAACAACGGAAATTGTTGTTATATGATAATTGTACAAAAAGAAACATTGTATGTTGTAAATGCCACATTTTAGCATGCATCTCGAAAGACGTATCTAATTTTATTGTATTTTATTATTATTACAAACCAGTGAAGAAGGTGCAAAAAACTAAAAATCGTCCTTCACTTCACAAGATTCGGGGAACTTTAAGCATAGAATAAAACATCCAGCGATCAAGCAGTTTTTAGACGATTTTCTGCGTCTAACTAATGCACTATACTTTTTGACAGTCGAAATCTTACTGATTTGAACATTAATTAATGTGTTGAATATTAATTATTATTAATCTGGTGTTAATAATATAATAAAAAAGATACTACATTTTTGGCGAATTAGCTATTAAAAATAATAAATGTTGGAGTAGGCATTTTCATCAGAAATTACACAGGGTAATTCATTAGGGGTAATACACATTTTTTCTTAAAATAATTGCAATTTTGTAGTTTTTCTTTTTGGAAATACTTTAGTTTATGTTATTGTACAATATAAGATAATTCAAACGTGTATTTATAAATACACGTGTATTCAAAAAAATTTATTTTTGTAATTAATTTTGTTTTACCGTTTAATATCACGTCTATTTAATTATACGAACTCAAACACAGGTATATATGTGTAAATACGTTAACTCAAACTAAAATTTATGACAAAATACATTTTTTTAAATACACGTGTATTTAAACTACACGTTTAAAATCACAGGCACTACTATTAACTTTTAAAACTTAAATGGGGACGTATATATTTAACGTAATTAAATTTTACAAAACTTGATGCAAAATTATCGCAGTTTTTAGAAAAATTCTTAAATTTTGGGCAATTTTTTTTATGGTCGATGACACAATAAAACAAACGATAAAAAAGAAGTGTCAAGAAAAAAACTAATATTACAAGTATTTTAAACTTGTAAAGAAACATTTTTAAGTTGAGTCTGAACATAAAATAATGTTTCTGCATCGAAACTTTTTAAACATTCCAAAAGACATAAGTTGACTTTAAAATGTTTTTTATTATTTTTTTTTTAAGAAGTTCAAAATCAGCTAAGCTATCAGTCTATTATGCTGTCAATAATTTTAATTAACGTTTGTTGAAGTTCTAACAAATAGTGTACATTTTAACTTGAAAAAGTTTTCAATCCCGGGTTATTCGTGATATCTTAAATAAATCTATTGGATTAAAGTATTTTTTTTTTTAAATAAAACAATTTAATAATAATATTACTATTTAAGTATAACTACATTAGCTTTATGAGATTTATAAAACTTAAATAGTTATATTATGTATTTTTAAACCGTAGTGTATTTTTTCAGTTTAAAAATACGAGGTCGCGTAATTAAAGTACATAGGTAGTCTTGAGTGCATTCAAAATCGGCAAAGTGTAACTGTTTTTCGTTGACATGATTAATTCAACTGTAGAAAGGTTTTAATAATGATGCTGATGGTTTTGATATCATATCTAAGGTAAACATATTATAATTTATATGATACTAATAATCTTTAATTTTTTTTTTAAATGAGCAAATTATATAGTGGTTTAATTGTTTAAAATACTACTTTGAAGTAATCCATTGACTGAACACTATTCAATGTGATTGGTTAACTATAGAATCCAGTCAATCTCTAATTTTAATTAGATATATTTTTCAACAATATTACCCTATCCCTTATGTGTTAAAATTTAAAACCCTACAAATTTAAGATTTTTAAACGTCAACTTTTTTAATTAAGATAATTTGCTAAAAGCTTTTACAGATCAAAAACTAATTTTGTTTAATTATTTTAAAATTTGTTATATTTTACTTAAGTAAAAAGTAATATAGATATCGTTTAGATAGAAAGTTTTTACAAACTTTCAAGTAAAACCATATTTATATCAAATCTAAAGGATATAATATTTCTAAAGGCTGCAAGTCACCGGATTTTCGAAATTGTACGTACAGTAAAAAAGTTATACCTATTTATTTATAATAATATGTAAATAGGAGGTTTCTGGTCCATGAAATGTATTAATTTTTTTTCTAATATATAAATATATTAAAAACACTTTCAATTTTAATTAAAGATCCGCCAACGTGAGCCCTTAGAAAAATTGTATCTCTTATGAATTTGATAATGAATGTTTTTGCTATAAGACCATCGTGGGTTCTGTGTAGCTATGTTTAGGTTAGACAAATATTTCAAAACTATTATTATGACCTATGTCATGATAACCAGATAAAACAATTAAATTACCAACAAAAAATCCTTATTGATGTTCTAAAAATTATACACTTTAATTTTATCTTAAACTAAAATTTTGTGAAGAATTACTTACTACTATTGATTTTAAATATTTATAATCAATTTGTACACACAATAAAGATTAGAAGTCATTTTTCGGCGTAGGTATCTATTGGACGGATTTTAATTTTTATTTTGTCAATTAAAAGCTTACTTTTTTCTCTGTCGGGGCTAAAAGACAGATTTTTTATTTAGCTATTAGAAAATTTGTAAGATTTATTAGAGAAAAAAAAGTAAAAAATATAAACGTTTATAATACAATTTTAAAAACAGAAAAAAAAAATCGGTCTATTATTAGCCCCCACACAGAAGATGTTAAACTTTATAACAAAAAAATGTTTTTTTTTTAAATCGGTTCAGTGGACACTTTAGAAAGTGACTTCTTGTTTTAATCTTTATTTGTATAAAATTTGGCGCTTTCCGTTCCCCTTAAGAGTGCATCACACACCCGTCATTTCTTCAAAAACCCCGCCTTGCGCTGCGTAATTTTACAAAGGATGTAATCAAAACTAAGAAACCAAATTTTTACATAATATAGACATCAACATTGTCTGTGCTCTACCATGGCCCTTTTTTTAATATTTCAACCAGTTAATGAATAGTTAATTAATTAAGAAAGGACTTTTTTTAAAAATGACATAACGTCGGTCGTATTAGGTATATCGAAAAAAAAAATACGGAAGCTGGAGCACAGATAATTTTGTCTTGTAAAATATGTATGCATTTCTTTCCTTAACTATATTATATAAAGCCTGAAAAAATGAATCTACGCAAAGCAGTTTTGATGGAAAAAATTGTAATTTATCCTATAGAAATGACTGTGATAGTCCGACAAAAAAAAAATTTCGTTCAACAAGATATCCTCATTAATATATGAATACATTTAGTATGAAACTCTTAATTAAGATTTTTCGAAAAATTGCCTATACTTAACTCCTTGGAAATGACCGGCATGACGTCCTCTTTGAGGTCAAAGTCCAAACATTGTCATCTTGAGATTATGGTTATTGGTTTCTAGACGATTTTTCGCTCGGCAAACGGAGCGCCCGACTGGTAATTTAAAGAACCCGAACTTGTATGGTTTATTATTAGTACACAATTTAAAGTATTATAACTACAAAACTCGGTATTTTGTTTATTTTTATGACAAATTAGGTTTTGAGTATACGGTCAAATTATTTTAGTGGAGGACCCAACCCTCAGTTCTAACTTTTTACAACAAACGATAAATATGATCCCATTTAAAAGTCGAACTGCAACAACCGATAAATTATATAATATATGTTTACATTTAATTTTAGTTATGATGGGATGAGGGATCTATATTGGCGTGAACTTAAGAAGCACCTGGTGAATATTTCTTTTCCAATAGTGTAAGTTAAAAAAAAAAGAGAAATGGGTAGTTTAGAGGCTATGACCCGAAAGATCGACATTTCGACAGGACCACGATACTTAATATATTTGTTTTAAATATGTATTGTAATGCACAATTTTTATTTATTAGTGAAAAAGATTCGTGGAAAGTGGCCCAAGGCGTTAGTGGTGCGATTGTTAACAAAGGATCTGTCCTCAGATTTTTACCATATATTCAATGTGGTTTACGACTTAGTTGTCCTCGGAACTAAATTAATAAAAAATCTTAAGAATATGATGTCAACAGGAGAACTCAGATTCGAAAAACGTACGCATTCTGCACAACTTGAAGGCAAAGTACATAGTTTATTTTCATATGAAAAACGATTGTTTTAATTAAATTAAAATGTTTAGTTTTACATAAATATAACGATATGTGTATATATATTATTATATATTTGTATATTTATTATTTTTACATTTGTTGAGCTGATATTCAGTTTTATAATGTATGTTAAGAAAAAAATTGTAATTTATCTTTAATAAAGTTTTACATAACTTATTTGAATAATTTTATTTAAACATGACTACACTTCATTTCCAGTCAATCCAGCGAGTTTATTGTTAAATTCCTGAATTTGTGTTTGGAGAGTCATTAGCTTGTTACATTCATCTCTAGTGTAATGGTATTTACTTTTCCATTTTTGTATAGCTTTTAACAATCTCTTCATGCCATCGCTAAAAAAAAAAAAGATTACATATACTATAATATACAACTTTTATTTTTTTAAATTTAAGTCGGAAATACTTACTTTTCGTTGTAACTATTAAAATAAGGTTTGTAAACATCAAACTTAATGTCCTGATGAAAAACGATTTCTTTAGTTTTAACGTCAATATTATCTTTTATTGTGTTTAAATTATGCAGCGTCGATTCCTTCACAAATAAACAAAACATATAGCTGTTTAATTTTGCAAAAATAAAATAATTATTATAATACCTTTGCTTGTTTAATATCGTAATGTAATCTATCGAGCAAGTCATTACAGTAAACTATTAGTTCACATTTAACATCAGCTATAGAACAGTCTGTCCTCATTAGACACCAAAGAACATCACACATAATAATATAGTGTTCAATGGATTCTTCTATAATAGATATTTGATTGAACATAGTTTCCAATTGATTTAATTTGTTTTCAGCATCTGCTATTACAATATTGGATAAATACGATGTCGAGTTGTTACTTTCAAGTGTGCAAGAGTTTTCAATAAAGTGGCTTTGAGGTTTATTAACTTTAAGAATAAAGCTATAATAAAAAAAATAAATAAATATTAATTCAATATTTTAAGGGATGAGATCGAAGATACTAGATAATTTTACACACTTTGACATATTTAGCTCGTTAAAATGTAGGTTTTCCTTATCTTCTTTAATATAATTTATCATATTAAAAGTGTTGTTAATGGCTGTGTTCAAGTTCAAACATTCACGTTTTCGTAAATATACAGCAGTCTTCAAAGCTTTAATACTAATCAAATTTTTAACAATTTTATTTAAAGGGTAAAAAGAAAAATTGTTAATATTAAAACTTTTACCTTTTAAGGAACAAACAGAGTTGTTTAATTTTGCTGGTATAACTGACATTTTCATTAGGAGAATTATTTTCCTATAATTGCAGAAAATGATTAAAAATGAAATATTTCTAATATCTATAAAATTAATTTTAGAACTTTTAATACCTAACTATAGGCATAAAGGCTATAGCTATCAAGTGAAAAATAAGTCATACCTCTTCAAACCAAATTTGAATCATTTTTAATATTTGTTGGCGCCATGCGATTGTTAAGTTCACTAATTTGGCTGTTGCCAGTTTGGTAAGGCAACCGTCATCCTGTAAAAAAGTAATTTAAATGGTGCATCAAAAATAATTAAAGCAATCACTGGCTAGTGCTTGAAATTTAAGAAACTTTTGAATGTAAAATGGTTCATAAAATGTTTAATGAACGCTCATACAATCTGTTTTACAAACATGTGTACTAGCAGTTAAAATAAAATTGATATCTGATAAAATGTTTGCTATAATATTATCATGGTTAAGATAGGTTAGGTTTTTTTTACGATATGGGATTCAATATCGGTTTTAAAAAATTAAAATGATACCAACAAGTAACAACACTAAATATTTGTTTATGTTTTGCCATAACCCAAAATTAGTTTATAACTTACAATTAGGTATAAAAATAAATACATACATTTGATATAGTATTAATGGCATTACTATGGAGCTTGGAAACTTTATTACCAAAATTTTCAAGTGATTCGGTGAAGTTATTTGAAATTTTATCTAAGTTAGAGTTCATAGCATAACAAGATTTACTGGTTTCTTCATCTTTCTTTTCTAACTGCGAAATTTCTATGTTCAACGTTTCTTTTTTCTTTCTGGAAAAAAAATTATTATTTTTATATATGATATATCAATTTCGAAATAATATATATTATGTAATATATAGTATATACCTATGTTTAGCATGATATATTTATTTATTCATAAATTCCTAATTTTTTGTATTGATTTAAATCATGTTGGTGGGAACCCTAAATAATTAGTTGGCAATCCCCAACAGGTTGAGAAAAATATATAAAGTATTAGTCGGAAATGTAGTAGCCAGGCCGGAAATTAAACCTGACAAAATAAACAAGTATTAGCACAACTTTTTTATTTTGGTTCGTCGCTGAATTCAATAGTATTTAGGTTAGTGTTGGTTAAACTATGGTAATGTGTGAGAGGTAACATGAGTTATTTTAATACATATTTATTTTTCATACTTTCATAACCTATTTAACCTATGATGCAGTGTATTTGAGTTGAACTTATTCATATAAGTCTAGTTGACAAGATTATTTCTTATATGGCAAAAAATAAATAAATATTTACTATTATTTATTATTCTACATCAAGATGTTTACCATTATAAGAATGAAAACTAAAAAAAATTGTAAAATAAAAAAAACAAAATTGGATCTGGAATGAAGTCTATTCTAAGTAATAAAACCTATCTGGCCACTCACCTTGATTATTAGATCATATATATATATATATATATATATATTAGGGTATCCTTGTATTGATTTTTTGAGAAATTCCTTGTTGGATGCCTATCAATTGACTCAAATATTGAAAAGATATTTTCCTAATTTTTTTAGATTTCTATACCATCCCCCTCCTTGCACATCAAGTTTTTATTCATAATATATAAATTGACATACGTTTTTAATTGAGTGTACTACTAGGATAATTCTTAGCAAGACAATTAACATTTTTGAAATGTAGCAATATTAAATATTCTACAAGTATATAATATTGGTTTTACATCAAATTATATTAGTTAAGCTATATTTGCAACTTGTGTAAAATTGTATACTTTACTATATAATTACTGTCTTCAGTCTTGATGTGCAAACTCAAGGAATGAAATAAAAATCTAAAAAAAAAGTGAATTATTTGTTCAATATTTGTAGTCAAATAATAGGTATTCAACGTCAAATTTTACAAAAAAAATTCAAGGATATGTACAATATAACAATAAAGGCGAGTGGCTAAATTGGTATCAATACTCGGTCACGGGAACTCCGTTTGTCAAGTGATAAATTGTCAATAAGATAATAAGGAGCCTTCATCCTCCTCTTCTAAGACAGACTAAAAAACCCGGCCCAGTTAGAAAATCCTAGGAGTCCTACATGAGCTACTTAAGCTGTTTCTGATCCAATAACAATAAAATACACACAAATAAATTTTTTTACTTGCATGTGTGTGTATATTACAAACCAACCTAAAATAATTTAATCTTCTAATTTATTACATACAAAATACTTTTATGATAGTTCAATGTGGCATACTTACTCATACAAATTTTGAGCTTTTAAATCATTTAATTCTTGTTCCGATTTTAAAATTTGTTCTTTTAAAATATCTAAATCTAAAGAATTTATTGCTGAATCTTTAGTTGATTTATCATAATATTTATTTATTGCAGTTGATATTTTGTCTAATGATGAGACATCATATTTTGAAGCAATAGACGTGTACCTGATAAATAATAAAAAAAGATAAGATCATTGATTATAATATAGATTTTTTTAACGACTCTATTAAAAATGAACAACAATTTTAACGATAATGTAAATATTCTGTGTTAGTTAATTTAGTATTTAGTTTTTAATTCTACACGTGGCAAAGGGTTCTTTCATAATTTCCTGAATTCATGGCTTAAATGAGTCAATTTTAAAAATATAATAATTATAAAGCAAATTCCACGCATTTCTGGTTATCAAAATTAAAAATTTAACATTATATTTTTCTCTTTTTTATTTAATTTTTAGTTTACTGCTTAAAGTTATAATAATAAGTAGCAATAATAATTATTAATGTGAGTCCTAAGGAATCCCCCACTTATTTAGCTCCCTTGTTTTTATATCTACACTCATTCTGATTTTTCAAGTGTTTCCTCTTCACCTTATTACATAAAATGGGGTGGCTAACTAAATATGCAAATTTTTATCCTTCACTGTTTCATTATTTACGCCACATGCCTCTATTTGCTTAGTTATGATATCCACTAACTTCTTATGTATACCTTTAAACCACACTACCAGGATCTCTTTACTTGTATTACTAATTCACTAACATCCCACTCTCAACTTAACCTAACCTTGTCAAACCTTTTTTTCTTAGTCTTCTTGCTTTATTTCGTTCAAAATGTCATCACACTAATAAAGAAAAATGTTGATCATGAATACCATATGCTTGAGAGTTTCTCAAAAGTTATCATTTTAAAATATAAAGTAAATATCAACATTATCTTTAATAAAATACAAAAGTAGGTAAATATCAACATATGTAATTTAGGAACAGGTGGAAAATTCCACAACTTGTGGAACTCTCAAGAACTTTGGTGTTTACTATAGTTCATGATTTATTTAGTGTACACATCAGATACTACATTAGATATTAAGGATTCATTAAAGCTACAACCAACACTCATGCAAGTCGGTAGGAGAAAAAATTGTTACTTACAGAGCCAATTCCTTTGTAGTTACACAATTGGATTTTGGGGACACATTGTTCAGGAACCAAGTAAATAGAGGACTCAATTCAGGCAGTTGCACTTCGTTTGCCAACACATCCTTGGGCAAATGACCTACGTGATAGTCAATAGACTTTAATATTCCAAGAAAATGTTTCGAAATCTCCATGATTTGGTGTAAACAAATAATAACGCTTCTTCTCAATTATACGCCTATACGGTATTGGTATTTCGTATTTTCAATTTGCATAACGAGTTAAGTTATCAACAACGGAAGATTTATTTCGACTTTTGAAAACAAACGTACGCCGTTATCACCGGGCGGCAATTCTTTTGTATAATGTGTATGAAACAAAGATAACGGCTTTTTAAAATCAGGTTCTTTCGTACAAGTGCGCATTAGCTCATATTGTTGTGTTCTCGTTCAATGCTCCCGAGACAAACGAGTATAAAATATCTTACAGTGCGATTACAATACAGATTAACTAATGCCTTATGGTCGGTTGCAGCTGTTCCTATTAAAAGGATTTAAAGGATGAAAAATTATTAAATTGTTTGCACACACAAGGTTTGCGATAGAAAATACAAAAATTTTCTATTTAGAATTTTTTAAAAAAAATTTTAATTCAAACTATGCAAAATTGTAATTTATAACTTCGAGAATAGAGTGAGATAGATACGAGAAACTAGAAAGGATTTCACGAAATACCTGTATAATGTACCTGTATTATATTATATTTGTCAAATCAACGATATAGGTACCGTTATATATCCATTTGCATTTTACCTTTTCAAAATTATATCACTGCTAGAAAAACATAAAACAAGGCTCTTATTGTAAAATAAAAATTTTTTTTAAAAGATTTTATGCTAGATACTATATTTCAACAATAATATGTATGGTGGCTCGATTATGTGGAAGGCAAGAATGTGGTCAACACAGCTTGATTTAATATAATGCATTAGTTTTAATATTGTCCTTTACCAAAACCAATTGCGTACCGACTGGCGCTTACCAGTTATTTCCGATACTCAGTCGATGGAATAGAGATATAAAAAAGAGAATAACATTAAACATATGCGGATCAGAGAGGAGCCCAGCTATGGACCACAGTAGACATTTATCAGCTGCCCCGGCTTAAGCCTTAGTCCTTAGCTGCTTAAATTAGAACTATATTCGATAGTCAATGATTTTATAATTAGGTAATATTAAAAATTATTATAATATTGTACGTAGCGCGTGAGTAAGCCTATTCTATTGCTCCACTTTGAGCATATGCAACGATATTTTTAGGTCACGGATTGAAATGCACTAACAAACATTTAATAATACGTATAAGTTTGAGGCTTCTTTCCTTTTTTTTTTTAGTTGCTTCTTATATTTTTATAAGTATTGATAAAAAGCAAAACATACGGTAATCAACATAGAACGTAAACATCACAAAAGACTATAGGAAATTAATTGTAATAGATATGGGATTATTAGGATCATGATTGGTGTGTTTACGGTCTGTATAAAATATGATGTCTTGACATCACGAACCTCAACTCTCGCGAGTCGCTATTGAGGAGTGTGCTATGTGGATACTGGATTCAATAGTGGTCTGTGGAATGTCTCGACCGCGGTGTCGCCGACGAACAAGAGGCGACGACCCGTTGGGGTGGTCCATGGCGACCAATAGGCGATCGCCTTGATAGCAGACGACCGACGATCTGATAACGGACTATTGTTTACAAGTGTTGCCTACGGGCTCATGAGTGCAGGTTGTCGACGAATGATTTACTGTCGTTCGTTGCGGTCCGTGTTTGTCCAGCGCGCCGGCCGACACACGACTGTGTTGATGATACAAAAAATTATTGCTTCTAAACAAAATAATGGCGGGATGCACAACGGTACAACATGTGGTTGTTGACTAACTAAACGATAGCTGGCCGACGACGTCGACAATGCTTGCATTATTCAGCCTCCCGACTCTGTTGGTCGTGTACTGCACCATTATCCGCTGGGCGCACGGATTCAATTTGGAAGTGAGATTACCAATTGTCAAGCATGGTCATTTCGGATCGTACTTTGGATATTCGGTGGCGGGCCATCAATCGTTCGACGATCTCAAAGGACAAGTCGAAAATAGTTGGTGAGTGCCTGTTATTTTTACAATATCCTAATAATTTACTTGTTCTTTTGACAAATCGAATGCGTTTGGTGTACCAGATTTTTTTATTTAGTGTACTAATTAATTTTTTAAATCTATTGGTAATTTATGACATTTCAAATTTTTTCCTGGGTATGCGAGAAGTATAAGAGATCAGTTTCCAATTATATAAGATTATTAAAAAGAAATGTACAGTCCTTAATATTATTATTATGTTAAAGCTTATTCAGTATAACCAACACAAAGCTTCAAATAGTGTATAGGTTGATTTGAGATTGGTCACATAGGGCATCAGCCCCCTCCTCAATATAAGCTTGTGTTTGTTGAAGTCTCCATTGGGCCAATAACATTCGAATAAATTACAGGAACTAAGACCCCCTAAAAATCAAGTCTTAAGTCCACTTACGAAAGAGTAGACATTGACTTTATTTTTTTTTCAAGCAACAAATCAAAATTATGAAACAAATTTCATAGTAGATTCAAATGATATAACATATAACATAAATCAATTTACATATAGTTAAAAACAAGACAAATTTCTATAGCACTAATCTGAATTTATACCAAATTATTTTACAAACATTCAATTTAATAAGACTTTAAATAATTATGCAATAGTTTTTGTGAAATAATAACCCTTATTAAGCCACTATTTTATAGATTAGCTCTTTAAAAAAAATTTCTAGATAGAACTAGCAATTTTGAATTTTATACAGTATTCTACAGCAAATCGGCATACAACATTTAATTAACGTTAAAAAATAAACAGAAGCTGTAATACATTGATCCTAACCCTTATGCATGTATATTCTTTTATCTATAAAATCACATTGAAGTGTTCAAATGAATGTTATTTATCCCTCAGTAATAATAATTCCTGGAAACCTGTGACTTGTCCGATCTCAAGTTGCTGGCTTTTTTAAAATTTAAAAACTTAAAAACTATAGAAAAATAAAATAGGAATTAAAAAGGAAATTACATTTTTTTAAAATGGATTTTATTTATTGAAAATTTAAGTCATTTTTAGCCCATATGTCATATACTTGCATATTTCCATTTTTTTTTTTTTTTGGACGACTAGGACTAACAATTTTTAATATTTACAAATTATTCAATACAATTATAAATTTACAAAAACATTGAATACAAATTTAATATAAACATGAAATATTTTTGATTTCCGGATTACTTGCAAGGTCAGGCCATTTTAAGGCCATACAAAAGTAGAGAGTGTTACCACACATCCTGACACCCTGATTTGTAATAAAGTTGTTACTATAACTCGCTTTATTATATTTTAGCTAGCACATGGCGTTGTTCATTACAAAATTAACCAATATATTTTTAACTTATCTTTGCTTATTTATTTTTCTTTGCAATTCTTTAATAACTTAAATAATTTTTAAGTTAAGATTATATTTTTAATGTTTTATAGATTGCAAATGGCTTATATAGGATCAATATATTACAGCTTCTGTTTATTTTTTAACGTTAATTAAATGTTGTATGCTGATTTACTGTAGAATACTGTATAAAATTCAAAATTGCTAGTTCTATCTAGAAATTTTTTTTAAAGAGCTAATCCATAAATAGTGGCTTAATAAAAAAATTGTTGTTTATGACAATTTAGTAGGATAGTATTTTTTTACGATACTAAACCTCATTTTTCTATGCGTTCTAGCAACTTATATATCATGTAATATTTTGCACACTATATAATTTCAAAATATAGTTCATCTTATTTTTAATCAGATTTAATCTAATTTCTGTTAAAAATTGATTTACATATTTATAGTTCAGCCGTGTACCTGACATGTTATGATTTTATTTTTAAAAACTCATCAGTTAATCAAAATTTTAAATTGATTTAAAGTTTTTTAATTGTAGTTTGAGCGTTTTAATATCTATATTGTGTGTTATAACTTAAACTTTTTACTAGCGAGACTAAAGCGAGAAAGGCTTTTTAATTAAAATGCTAATAATTTCTTGTATTTCATTAGGATTTTAGTCGGTGCGCCTCTGGATCAAAATTTACAACCAAAAACTAACCAGTCTGGAGCATTGTGGAAATGCCCGCTGACAACATTACATGAAGACTGTGAACAAGTAGTAACTGATGGAAAACGAAGTAAGTATTTCCATACATTATTTCCAAGAAGAGACATTTTTTTTATTTAGAGCTATTTTTAGTACACTTGAATATAGGTAAAATAGAAAAAGAGTGAATTAATTTGCAGATTATAAAATGTTTTGTTACGATGGTATTTGTTTTAAATATAATGTTTTAACATAATTGTTTTCAAAGTTTTTGGTAGTTTATAACATAAAGAAATTAAATACATTTTAACCTTTATATAATGTGAAGCTGTTGATAATCATTTTTATTTTATTTTTTAAAACAGACCTCAATGGACACCATGACCCCTGTAAGTGAAATCATGGTAAATGTATTTTGTGTTTGTTGATGGTTTGTTTTGCGATTTGCATTTTAAAATGTTATGTGTTGCATCATAGCATAGTATATAAAGCCTGTTTTTATTTAGATCATTTCTATAATATTATAAATGTTATATTTATTTATTACATTTTGTAACAAGCATCGCTATTATGTACATACTGCTTTGTTTAATTGGATTTTACATTCAATGACTTACATTTGGAAACACAAAAAGCATTTTGATAGCATATTTGATTTAAGCATGATTGATTTTAATATGTGAATACACGACTCATTTGTATAATATTACGCTTGTGTCATATTATTTACTTTAAATTACCTATTTTATTCTATATTTGTTGAGACGAGTATTAGATATTTAAATATTTTTATTTTTTGTATTATAACATAGTCACACTGTTTTATTATTTAGCATGATATTTAGTATAGCAGCAGGTACACAACTTTATTAGCCAAACCAATAGCTCTTTGTTGTGTATCTAATATAATATGCTTTTTAGCTAATGAAAATGATTCATATTTTTTTTTTAGTTCTGTGTCTAGATCTGTGATAGTTCTGTGTCATATATAGGCATTTTAAACTAATATCCAATAATGCCTCTGCACTTTATAGTTTATAATGTACAATTTTTGTCTTCTACAAAATTTCAATGAATGATTCTTGTATGGTTCTAATTTTAATATTTAGGTCGTAGTAATAAATAAATTACTTAATAAAAAAGTATTATTGTAAGTCTTTTTCTAAAAATCATAGAATAAATGTCACAGCTGTTATTTGGTCCTATCTCATTTTCGAATTAAAAAAAGTACATCCTTTTGTACGTCTGTTGAAGAATCTTTTTATACTATTATGGTAATTTTATTTATGGGTGATAACTCCTTTTCTATAGGCAATATGTAAATTCCAGACTTATGTACGGTTTTCCATTTAGAGTCATTATCATTTCTGGCCTGACCCCCAGTCATTAACAGATTTTGTCGCGTTTCTTTTGAAGTTTTATGAAAATTATGTTATTCGTGTGGGACATAATATTGTCGTGAGTTACATTACATTATAATATTTTGTGTGTGTGTGTGTTTAGTATTATAATCATTACACGTTTACTGGCCGCGTTTCCCTCTCCATTGCTCAAGATATACAATCTAGTTTAGTATACTAACGATTATGAAAAAAAAAGGATATATATGTATATTATGTATAAAAAACGCACTTGAAAGAAATACTTGTGTCTCACAATGATATGGTACAAGAGGCCGCGGCGACGAGTACAAGCAATGATTAACCCTTAGGTCAATACGTTAACGCGACGCCCACATATAACATTATGACGTTGTTAACTGATATTATCTAAAAGACGGATGTGTATACTGTGGTCTGTGTATAATACATTGTTTATTTCAAAAAGATACTCAAAACTTATAGGATTTTTATAACTATTCGTACAGTGCAAACAGACATCTTTGAGGCACGTGTGACGTGTACAATGAAATCCTAACTTGTAAAAATATCTTATACAAATGTATAATGAACCGTGCCGTTATATTTAATATTTTCCGTAATCCGCGTTTTATTATAGATTATAACAATAATATATTTATATTTATATATGTGTATATTATATATATATACATTTAATAATTTTCAAACGTTAACAATTTTTACGACGACCGGTTTACCACTTAATTTGTAGAAAAAAGGGTAATTTACTTATATATATTACCCCGCACACCGCCCGCCGGCTAGTTTACCATAATGTTATGTGTATGTGTGTGTGTATGTTTATTACTCGTACTAAAATAAGTTATGTTTATCCACAGTACATGCGTTCTTTGGTGGGTCAGCAACATCTGCTTCAATATTAGTGTATACCATTGTATTTGGTCTAAGATCGATGACTCCCCTCGGTTATATCATATTTCTGTATGTAAAACGATGGGGGTTACCAACTATGTTTCGATAAAAATTGTCGACTGCCGGAAATCGACCAAAATGATAACATTATTTTGCATGTTGTTTGAGGTGCATAAAATATAAACAGCTTGACGCTTAGTAAAATAACAGTAAGTAAAAAGAAATAAACGATAGGTATTAGTTTAAACGGCGACTTATGATATAGTGCAAAACGATTTCCTCCACAAGACCCAATCTCACAACTCGCGAACCAAACGTGTATTTAAAAAAAAACGATAGCCTTAAAAGGTGACTATTCCCATTTGCCCTACCCTAAATACGCGTACACTCATTGTATATTTTCATCTTAGGCTTTAGCTTGTGCGGTTTTTTAAGGTTCATTGTATGTTACTAAAAAAAAAAAATCAATAGTTTTGTTTACATAATAACATGATACGAATATGCACGATTGATTGACAAAAAAAAAAAAAAAAATATGATGTTTACTATATTAGACTTAACCAAAGTCCGTGTGCACGTTGTACTGTTAGTTTTGCGATTATAAATTTTTGTTTGTCCGCGCATTGACCTTGAATGTTAAAAACGCATTTATCAAAATTAAACGCTGACGCATTCCATTGCATTGCTGGAAAAAGAAATGTGCGTCCGAGCAGTTGTATGGACACGACCGTGCATGCTTTGGTTTCTTACAGTGTACACCGAAAGTGGCGAGAAAGTGCATTCATTTGTATTATTTCATGTGTACATACTCCAATACAACAAAACGACAATTGTTCTAAGTCGGTGTTCATAGTTTGCCTTGTGGTGTAAGCACTTGGTTTCAATGGTCTGAAACCTCAATTGCATGCCGAAAACATTTATTGTATTTTAAACTGATGTGATTGGTCATAACATTTACAATTATGTATCACGTATGACGTCCAACTCTTGAATTAAATTATCATTATCATAAATGAGGCGCTGAGCTCAATACTAATCAACAATTTACAATATTAATTTTTTTGTTAAAAAATTAGCTGGTCGAGTCAGTTTTATTTATCAGATGTGTCATCGTAAAAAAGGTTTCATTTTAAATTAGGCCAGTACATATTGCGCTTCAAATACAATTAATTGTACGCCATAAAAAATTGAAATAACCAATGACATTAGTTTTTTTAGCTACGGGAATATATTTTGTTGGCAGCGTTAAATTATAATTGTTTTATTTGTTTCCTTGTATATAACTTATTAGTCAACAATTTTATATACTTACTGGGTAGGTATGTACTTGATTTTTCCCTGACATTTATAACGTCATATTTATTTGAGAAAGAGTGAGCATTTAATTTTTTTTGCTGTTGCCGTATAATTTTTTGCGTATCCACACATTTTTCGTTGTTCTAGCATTATCTCAAGTGTATACTTACATTGCATCTGAACTCCATTTAATTCCCAATTTTTTTCGTAATCGTTTGTGGGACGATTCATATTTAATCAGCAACTGGGCATAACTTTACTAACGTTTAACATTATGTTGGATTATTCGATAACCGTTTGTCACTTTTAAGGTTGTTGCGGTTAGTTTAACGTTGCAAGCAAATGTTTGCTTAGCAAAATGGGGTTGAATAGAATTTAGTAAGGCCGCAGATTTAGTTATTATTCCAATCGTCGAACTGGCACGTAACGTATTATTGGGAGAAGTAAAGAAACGCGTGCGAGCAGCTAAGTGCATATATGTATTCATTGCTGCTATGTAAGGTCAATGGCATACAAACATAAATCGTCAAGACTGTTTTGTTAATTTATTTCTATTAATTTTTAAGTGCTATAAAGCTGTTACTGGCTGCAATTTTTTAATTAAGAAATATTATTTTTTTAAATCGACCGCAAACAGGTAAATAAGTTTTCATTATAATGCGCTGTGGATTATCATGGCCTTAATGAATGTATGCGGTACCGTGTAAAAATAAACCGTGTGTTTAGATTACTAGGATTGCCTTTGCTTCGACAGCAATATTTATCGACGATGTCTGCTTAACTTCCATTTTAAAAACTATGCAGATGGTCTGTTGGTTCTGGGTGTACTATACTGTTACAGGACGGCGGTTGTTATTGTATTTCCTTGTCAGAAACTAATTTTTAATGATTTATTACCATTAAATTTTAAACATTGCGTTTTTATTTTTAATCATGTTTGACAATAAATAACTGTCGACGATACGATGTGTCATTTTTATCATAATTTCTAGTTTCGGTATTATTAAAAAGTACAAATTTTATTATATTCGTTGTGTATCCTCGTCCTACAACATTTTAATATATTCATTTTTATCATATGCCGTTAGATTATAATAATAGATAATGTAATGAGTAGGTAGTATCAGTAGTTTTTTTACAATTTAATTTAAAACTTGAACTGTGTTGAATTTTTATAAATTCGGCTCTTTGAAATTATTTACAATCCAAACGTTAAAAAAACTAAAAACGTATACTAACACGTATAAAGGGTGTCCCACAAAGATACATAAGACAAATGAAATAACTTTTGTTATAGTAAATATTTTTAAGATTTTTTTTTTCAAATTAATTTATACTCATTTGCGCTATAAGCGCCTTGTTTTTTATTGCACTTAACTATTCTACTTTTTTAAATTATTATTTTATAATTAACCATCTGATACATCATTTTTTTTTATGTATTTTTGATTTTGAACTTTGTTAACTTTAAAATACGGCTGTTATTTTATGTTAGCCAAATTCTTTGCTTACTTCATTCAAGCCGTGTCTAGAGGTGTAAGCGCCTAATAATTTTTTTATTTAAACTCATCTTTATTATAGGTAGTAAATTTAACAGTCATAACTATAGTTAATTAATAAATCGTATTGTTAGAGAAATCTAAAATTGGAGAGGCACAAAAGTTGTCTAAACCGTTGAAGTCGTTATTATTTATCAAAACTCTATAGGTAACAGAATTATATTAGGGTTTAGCAGTAAAATACTATCAGTACTATCATTGATTATAAATATTATAGATAGCCCACCGAGACAAATTTCAGTTCTGGACGTCGACACGGGATTGGCGCTAGTAGTACCAATTTCATTGAAAACGATACTACTAGCGCCCGTCCCGTGTCGACGTCCAGAACTGAAATTTGTCTCGGTGGGCTATCTATAATATTTTTAATCAAAGGTACTATCAATTACTATTAGTAGACCCTGCGATACACCGAGAGTTAATCTAAGACATAGTATCACCGAATCCATATCGGTTATATTAAGCGCAATTTTGGTTGTTTCTTATATATGTTAGACAACAAATATAAGCATAGTATATTTTTCGGGACTGATTTACATGTTGCTTTTTTCCGCCCAATTGAATTTAATTTGATTTAAATTTAGGGAAGTTTATTAATATCTAATTTAATGATAGTTCACCAAGACGTTTGATCAGCACCTTTTAATAATTAATGTTAACTCGAACATAATTTGTTGTTTTCACGCTCTTGTGAAATATAATATTTTTGTATATAATACATTTTAATACTATAATGTACCAATGAATTTAAGAGTAAGCTGTCATAACTCGTACCGTATTATAGATCATATAAAAAATAGGTTTGATTTTCAATTCCCAGGCGTGTCGAATTCACCATTTGAACTAGAACTACCAGCAATCGACAAATACACGTATTTTATTAAAAATTATGTAGTTCAGTTGTATTATTGAAGTTCAATAATTTATAAATTCACGTTTGTACGGTGTATTCGATTAGAAAATAAAAATATTTCGTCTTACCGGAGTGATTCGCCAAACAGTTTTCTTCAATTATAGTTAAGAAAATACATATGTATTATATCATATGTATTATACATATGTATTATCATCTATATAGATGATAAATAAAATTTTGCTGCTTTAAAACGATTGAACGATACACATAATATTTCGTATTGTAACTTTATTTCAAATGGTAATCGTTTTTTTGACACGCATGTGTCGACCATTCGGTCTAGAGATATTTTATGGGTCTGGACTCTCGCAAATATTGTTAACGACTGCCGTGGTCCAGTTTTAAACTCGAGTTTTTTTTTTCAAATATTTCTGTTGTTTATTAAATATTATACACGACAATTTTCATCTCGATATATTCATTAAACCTGAAATCTGACCAACACATTATACATCATTATAAATTTAAAAAAAAAACCAAAAATAATGATTTCTTAAATTATGCAAATATATGCATGGTCTTGTGAAGCGGTAAAATACTTGAATTGTTATTTGTAATGACTATTGCACGCAAATGGGTGTGGCTGTTGATTAATTTTATCTTGCATTTGTGCATAATGTTTCATCCAAGGACTAGGTATATGGCTCTTACGGCTTTCGCGACGATGATGCCACCGTCCAACGAGAAGCTCTCCAAGGATATTTGAATGTTAATGCCTAAACTGTATTATGTGCATCCGAAAAGTTTTAACAGAGACCATTAGGTACGGTGTCGCGCCTTTCCCTTTCGTCATTATTAAACTGGCGTACACATAATAAATAATTATCGCGGTAAAATATACATATATGTCTGTTATATTACGCCTAACACTCGAGTACTTATTGTTTGAGATTTAATCGTCCTAGCAAAATAAATAATATTATTACAGTTCCGTCGGTACTTGTTACAAGAACAGTTTCATTTTTACTACACTTTAAACTCTAGTGAAGTGACATAAATCCAATTATCCAAAAAATATCTTAATTTCTGATTTCAAAATTTTAATTCGGATTTACAGGAAAACTTCTATTTTAGATTCCAAAAAATCATACACAAACTTTGACAAATCCACATTTTCCTTATGTTAACATAAACTGAAATAGAGGGGGATGCCAATGTACTTACATTTACACACGTTTTGTGTTCTCGGCAGATTAAATTGATGATCTGTATTAATTATACATTTATACAAAAGTTGTACAAAATACAACTGCCTACAAATCGCCATTACTCAAATATTTTATCAATCGAATCTAACGAATTTACACATTTGTTGTATTTGCAAATTTATTTGATCTTTAAGCTTATCTTATGTATTATGTACTGCAAATACTTTGAACTTAAAATATAGAATACCGTGTATAACAAACATCACTTTAAAAATTATAGAAATGCATGATTTATAATATACATATATAATATATATGCATTTTTTGTTGGTATTGTATATACATTGTATTTTTGTTCATTCATTCATTAATTTAATCATATAAAGTATATTAATTATATTATCTCGTTGATGTATACATAAATTAATATATTATGCATGTACGGCGCGATAAGAGCTGAATTGAATAGATAGCCATTACAATGTAATGCAATTTGCGGTGTAAATTATAAGATTATTGCTTAGACAATGTTGCAAATAAAATGACTCTTAATTAAATGTTTGCGGTGTATCAAATTGATTTTTATTGGGATTTAGACTACACTAATTTAATACTTTTATCTACGCGTACTATTTATTAGTTTGTGGGTATTTGTGTATAGGTAGCCTGCAAAAATATAGTTAAAAAGAACAAATGGGCAACATTAACCTTATTGCATGATATATTATTGTGTTCTCGATTGATTTTTTGGCGCGGTTTTAAGGCCAAATGGGTTATTACTACTATTATTATTAAAGGCAAAAGCTGTTTTGGTATGGCTAAGGAGAAAAATATTATATCCTTGGATGACATTAAAAAACTCTTTCCTAGTTTGCTCGAAATTCCGGAATCTTCTTATCTATACATTTTCGGTCTAACTGTATGTGTTTGTATAATTTATGTAATTTATTTTATAGTAGCAAATAGACATTTAAACGCTTTATTTTATATCACGCAGGTATCATTATTCTGTGTGTTTTGTTTGTAAATCATGTATACTTTGACGTTAATTTTCTCTTCAGCTATCGATTCCAAAAATTTGGCGCCACCTTTGGCCGAAGAAATTAAAGACGGACAATGGTTAGGAGTGACGGTGCGAAGTCAAGGCAGCGGCGGAAAAGTCATGGTATTTATAATGTATAAATTAATAGTTCGTTACACAAAGTAATGTAAAAAGAAACTCTATTCAGATTAATAATAGTTAGTGGTTATGTTATAAAAGTTTTCAAGCAAATTTATGAACATGTACAAATATCGGAAAAATGGATGGTAAAAAAAAAAAACTAAATGTAATTGTTTCTATTTAAATAAATTACTTTAAATTGCGGCTTAATAACTCGTTTATAAATTAGTTTTACATTACAATGGGCAATTTAAAAATAATCTATTTGGTGTAAAAATGTAAGATTCAAATTCCCGTTTTACAGAAACTAAATAATTAAAATAAAATAAGTGCAAAATTATTTTATAATTCTTAAAACTATTTCATTATATTAAAAATATGTTCAAATGACTAAGCAAATAAATTCCTTAAAAATAATATTATTAATATTTTTACTATATGTATTATCTTTAGCAAATTATTTATTTCTGATTTCAATAATTAAAAATTTAAATCTATAATGTGATAAAAATAACAGACGATAATCAAATTTCAGGTTTGTGCTCATCGATACATCACACGTGGTCCTGGTTATCAATGGGGACAAGGGCTTTGTTACACACTAACACAAAATTTAGATTTTGATAATTGTTGGGAGCCGTGCAAGGGTCGATCAACAAGCATGTATGTTGTTAAAAATATTTATATTACCGTCGTCTTGGTATGTTTTGAATGAAATAAAATTATTTCAGTGGTCACGAGCAATTCGGGGTTTGCCAAGCTGGTACTAGTGGCATACTATTGGAAGATGACACCATAGTTATTGGTTCGCCTGGAGCGACCTTATGGAGGGGTACAATGTTTATGGTCAGTATATCAGACGACTTTCTGCACAGGGACAAAACATATTATTACAGTCCTCTTTCTGAACCCGTTGATAAAGACAGTTACTTAGGTAAATTAATTTCTTATGAAATCTATTTAATTTGTGACAAGATTTTTTTGGTGTAAGGTAATGATGTCCCGTTAAAAATTAAATTAACATGTTCTTATTTTTATTTTCAGGTATGTCTGTGACTGCTGGGTTTTTCTTGGGTCAACAAAAAATGGTGTATGCCGCTGGAGCACCTCGTGCTAACGGAACAGGCCAGGTTGTTTTGTTTACCCGATCAAGACCATCTGTAGGTCTAATGGATGTAAAATTAGTAATTAGCGGTGAACAATTTGCTTCTAGTTTTGGTTATGAATTGGCAACTGCTGATCTTAATGGGGACAAGTATGTGAATTTAAATTTACACATACTGGTTATTTGGAATTAATTGATGCTTAATTATTTTAGAGAGCCAGATTTAATTGTTGGTGCACCATTTTACTTTAATAAAGATTGCGGTGGTGCCATTTATATCTACATGAATAATGAAAACCATTGTTTGAACTGCAAACCACCCATAAAGCTTGTTGGAAAACCAGAATCGAGGTATTCAAATACATTTTATTTTCGGTTCTTATGAGCTTATGATTTTTTATAGTGTTTTTACTTTTATTGTTTGCGATTTTATAGATTTGGGTTCGCTGTAGCTAATTTGGGTGACTTGAATAAAGATGGTTATGATGATATTGCTGTTGGTGCGCCCTACGAAGGAAATGGTGTAGTTTATATTTACTTGGGATCTGCTCTAGGTATAGTCGAAGAACCTTCGCAGGTGATTAGAGCAGAAAACTTGGAGGTGAACGATCTCAAAACATTTGGTTATTCGTTGGGCACAAACAGTATAGATTTAGATCAAAATGGCTATCCTGATTTAATAGCCGGTGCTTATGAAAGTGATATGGCAGTATTAATTAGAGCTCGGCCAATAGTAGACATAACAACGAGTATTGGACCATCAGAAAATCTTAAGAATATAGATCCAACAAAATCTGGATGTTTTGCAAACAATACATCATCATTTACTTGGTGAGTTTATTATTCTTTTAAATTTAGTATAGCTGATATTATTGTTAATGTTTTTTTTTTTTCTCACCTTAGTTTTACATTTGAAGCGTGTTGTTCATTGGAATCCGTTGTTAAGACAGGCTCTGGCGGTGAATGGGGTGCTCAATTGCATTATAAATTAGAAGCAGAAACTTTTCAGGAAGGTCGAAAGTTTTCGAGAGTTTGGTTTGGACCAGAGGAAACGTTAAGACCGCATAAGATAGAAAATAACGTCAACTTAGACCACAACAAAAAGAAATCTTGTCAACAACACACTGTATATCTAAAGGTACGATATTGGTATTGATTAAGTTTGTATTCCAAAAAGTCTTAATTATGTGCATTTTTTTTAAAGGAAAAGACTATAGATATTCAGTCTCCCATTGCATTACGCATTACTTATTTATTAGTGCAAAACAACCCTCCAATGCAAAACCCTGGTGATCCAGTACCTTCGTTAGCCGATTTACCTGTTTTAAATCAAAATCAAGCAGAGAAAATATTTTTTGCAACATTCCATAAAGACTGTGGAAAGAACGACAGATGTGAAAGTCAACTACACGTAGATGCTCAATTAGTGCTGCCGCTAACTCCCACAAGTAATTAGCTACATTTTTATTTTTATATAAATTTACAGGTTCTTTGTTTGTTTTTTTTACAATTTTAATTTTTTTTATAGTTAACGAGTATGACTTGGTAATGGGACAGCACCAAGAAGTGCTTCTGAATACAACGGTTTACAACATTGGCGAATCTGCTTATGAATGTAGATTGTTTGTTTCTCATCCATATTCATTCAATTACATTGGTCCAGTTAAGATGGATGATGTAAGTTTATCAGGGTCAATAAATTAATTATCAAATATTTTAAAAGTATATACTTTAGAGAGTTTTTACTTTTATTTAATTGTTTAATTTTTAGACAAAACAAGTCGATTGCAATCCTTTTAATAAAACTTTGGTGGTCTGTGCTTTGGGCAATCCATTTAAGAAATCTTCTACGTCTAACATTCAATTACGTTTTGATTCTAAAGAATTGGATGATGCTGTAAATCGTTTAGAGTTTGTAGTATTTTCCAATTCTACGTCTCATGAAGAAGATCCGCAGAGCCCTTTAATTCTTTATGCTAATGTTATTAAAAGAGCTGAACTTTCCTTGAAAGGGTTTGTAAATTATTACACTACATTGTTTTATCAATTAAAGAAGAATATTTTTTTGGAATTTCGTGTTTAGGTTAGCGCGACCTGAACAAGTGTTCTATGGCGGCCAAATCAAAGACGATCTCACTGTAAAGTATCTCGATGAAGTAGGATCCAGAGTACTTCATACTTACCAAGTGTTTAACTCTGGTCCATGGAAGGTATCTAACCTAGAAGTTCATGTCGATTGGCCATACCAGGTAGCCGGTCATTTTACTCCAAAAAAATGGTTGTTGTATCTTGACGAAAAACCTTACGTTGAAAGTGAGCTAAAACATATTAAGTTGGTCAAAATTGCCTGTTCCCAATATGGATTAATTTTTTTTTTAGCCTTGGGCGGTGGAGAGTGTTTCTTAGCTCAAGATCAGGTTAATCCACTCAACCTGATTGTACGTCCAGGAGTACAAGAGATGCCTTTTGAAAACATGCATAAAGAAAATCCTGGCCTATATGATTTTTTGAATTCAAAAACGACGAATTATGAAATGAAAAATAGCACAGGATTTTATCAAAATAGAATACGCAGAGATCTAAATTATTTTGTAGGCGCCGAGACTTACACCAAAGAAAATGGAAAACATCAAGAAATTGTTAAAATGGTAATTTTTTTTTTTAAATTAAGCAACCATTATAAAATTAAAATATAAGTTTACTGTTAAAAGAGAACTACTAAAACTGGTTATTAAATGGTTTTATTTATTAACATGTATCCTGTGCTACATTCAATTCAACTAAGTTATTTAAAAACATTTTCATACGTTTAGTGGGTTTTTATGACTTGTGAAATGTAGTATATTTTTATTGTTTTTAGAATTGTTTAATTGGAAATGCCAAGTGCTTCAAATTCCGATGTGTATTGTATAATTTACAAAAAAATCAAGAAGCCACTATTTTTATCAAAGCGAGGTTAGTGTTGATCAATTAAATTTTATACTATTGATAATAATTAATTGTTAAATAAAATCTTCAAATGATTTCAGATTATGGAATGCGACGTTATTGCGAGATTTCTCTAAGGTCCATTCAGTTCAAATTGTGTCTCGAGCCAAAATTCATGTACCCACTGAATTTCTGTTACAGAATAATCATTTAGATGATGAAGCTGAGGTATGAGTACATTCATTACATTTTTAGCTTTGATGCAGAGCTGTTTTGTCATTGTTAATTAGATTTAGGTTTGAAACTTGTCAAATGCACTGATTGAAGTAGTGTGATTTAACACAACTTACAATCATGTTGTTTATAATTATTGACAATTATTTCTATTGATTTTGATCAAAGATATGTTTTAAATTTTCAAAAAATGAGCGCTTGTTTAAAGAAATTAGGCACAGGACATTTTGCAAAATGACAGTGTATTTATGAGTCCGAGTATAGTATTTAGAATATTTTTGAACTGTCAGTTAACTTTTGGTCGCATTGTTCATTTTTAACAAAATAAAAATAGTTTAAATTATTATAATATACATTTTTTTTTTTATAGGTGGAGACTACTGCCAAAGTGGATTTGTTGGAACAACAAAGCGAACCTATACCGTTATGGATTATTATCCTAGCAATACTGGCAGGACTATTGTTGTTTATTTTATTAACATTACTCCTATGGAAATTAGGTTTCTTCAAAAGACGACGACCTGACCCCACGCTAAGTGGTAACATTGAAAAACACAGGGTAGATGATAGTTACTATGATTATTAAATCTTAAATTACGAGTTACTTATAAAAAAAAGAAACATTTTTGTTATACTATGTAATTTATTATTTATTATTACAAGCAAACTTAAATATAAATATTTTTATAAATTATTGCATTTTTTTTACAATGTATTTCTAAAAGACTTATAAAAAAATTGTAGACTTAAGGCTAATATTATGACGGTACTTATAGATTAATTTTTTGTAAAAGTGTATTTATAGTATTTAACATTTTTCTTTTCTTTTTTCTTTGTACATTATTGCCATATTATAAATTTAAAAGACTTTATTTAATTTTATTGTATTTCATGTATTTATAGTAGATTTAATATTTACGTCTTCCTATACAAGCTTTTCGATGCGAATAACCAACTTAAGCTTGTCGATATTTTTTTTTACTTATTTTATAAATTAAATGTTTTCTTAATTAATTAAAATTTATTTACAAATTTGTTTGTACATTTTTACAAATATATTGACTACTTTAAGGTAACACTGTTGCAGTTGAAGTTTTTTTTATATCGTTTAGTTCTACTGAGTTGAACGACACTGTGACTGTATGTTCTCCGTTTTTCTCAGGCTTAAACAACTCTGCATAAGTAACATTTTTTTCGTTAGGATTCACGTCCCTGCAACAAATTCCATACAGTTAACATACAACGGAGAAAATGCCCGCAAATTAATATATATATATATATTTTTGTTTTGTTTTTTTAAAGAAGGTAATTTTTGTTTGAGGTACCTGAACTTGATTATTTTGTGAATACTAGGTCCTTCAATACTGAAAGTACAGTTGGTCAATGGTATTGGCAATGGGTTGTTAAATGAAAATCTGGCGGTGCAAGGAATATTTACTTTCGGTTGGTCGCTTAACTGTAAATATTATTAATTTTCATAAAAATAATAATTTGAGTGTTATATAGTAACATGTTAAACTAGTTAATCTATTCATACTGTCACGGTTAGTTCTGGCTTGTGTACGGTAAAGTCATCATCCTGGCTCCACAACTGTTCGGTACCGTCCACATTTGCTAAGGCCGTAATTCTTATTAAACTATGCGCCGATAGCCTGTCCAAATACTCTTCAGGCTTTACAAAAGTGTGTAGGTTCTCTCCTATTCAAAAAAAAAAAACATTGGTTAAAATGTTTTACAGCGGTAGTGTTTATTTCAGGGGCAGTAAAACAAATACATATTCTATCAGTGTTGAAGTTGAAACTTGTACGTGTAAAAAGTAAAAACAACATACTAATTCATCTAATAAACAAATTTCACCTTAAAATTATGGGCGCGCTATACATTTTTCCAAAAAAGTCGAAATAATTAAAAATGTTCAGGAAATATTCTACTATTAAAACTACTATACAAAACTAAAAAATATCAAACACTCTTTCCTCAAAAAAGGGGATGACACTTTATTTATTTCACTTTTGATATGATGATAGGTAATGACATAAACGAACTCTATTGGACAGACGACCAACCTAAAACGTAACACCCTAATACTTAAAAGACAATCGTAAGCACATAATTTCCTTTATAATGATTTCTATCGATAATTAATATTTTCACTATCTACAGATTCACATGGACGCATTTAATTTAAATTATATAGGTAATAATTCCTACAGTCCTGAGACTACATGAGCTTTAAAAGTATACTAAGATCAAGAAACACATACTTTGATTAGGTTTTAGTGTGATTTTCACTTGTTTCCTCATCAGTCTATCCACTGTCGTGCCCGTATATAGTATAGACGACGCAGTGAGTACTATGGAAATGCTTCTGGTTTCCATTGATGTGTTCTATGGTAAAATAGTAATAGGTATCGGTTTTCCGATAAATTAAGTTTCATACAGATGAAAAAAAAACAAAATATTTTATTCGCTGCTAAACTCACGTGTACGCTGATGGCGATTTTAAAACTCTCCCCGATGGTTATCTGTTCGATGTCGAACAACTTAAACTCCACGTCTTCGATCTTGGGGTCTTCCATTTCATAAATACGTTGGGCGATGGGTACCATTTTTATAGCTTTTTTAACAGCCATTTTATCCTCAGGTGAATCTAAAACCACCATATAAAACGTGCTGGTGATCATTTTAAATATTTACAATAACACTAAGCTCCAAGATGAACTTTTCTTATTTGTTTGAATTCGGTACCTTCTCAATTGCGAACAACAATTACATTTTAAAACAAATTTAAATGCTTAGCCCTATTCGTTTTATGATATATGTGATAATTTTGAAATATGTCATGCAAAATATTTTACTGAAAATAATGTTATGAAATTTTAAAACCACAGTTTTAATACGCACCTATTGGGTTCTTATAGATTTCCGTGATATCTTCCATGTCTTCTAGTCCGTCTAGTATTTCTTGACCGATTTTCTTTGTTACTATAAGCTTTCCCACGCTATTATAAATAAAAAGACAGATTGAATTTAATTACTTTATATATTTCAATTGTATAAATTAAAGGTTCGGAATTGATTCCGACCAAATTTAAATATTCAATTTATACTAGATATGTTATGTGTATCGGTTAAATCTTATAATATATTTAAGATTTTATTAAAAATTATAAAACATTTTATCTTTGGAACTAATAGAACGTCGAATTGTCTTATATACATCCTGTGTTAGTTCCAGACGCTATATATTTTTTCATTAAGTTTATAACAGCATTTGGGAAATATATTACTAGATTGATGCACATAATATATTTTTAATTTAAGATTAACGGTATGAATTCCAAAATCCTGGCGTAGAAAAAATAGTTTGTAAATTAAAAAGTTGTTAATCCTACAGCGTGGATTATCGACTCTGATTACAAATTATTATTATTATTTTAAACCTTCTTGACTTACTAATTTGGAATAGTTTTTACCCTGGCCCAATAACCTTCACTGGACTCTTTGAAAACGCACATATCCGCTCTGACCTCAGTGTAAACGAACGGTGTGTCATATCCTATATTTACTTCGCCTTTCCTAACAGCTTCTAAAGGGGCAGGGCCACATCTATACATACCTAAAAAAAGTCAAAAAAATATTTAAGCAAAAACCGACGGATTTACACAAACACAAAATAATATAATAAAAATTTAGCTATTGTCTATAAAAATTTTATAGACAATCGTTCGGTTGCTCATTATTTTTGTTATGATTTTGGGAGCATACCCTTATTGTAATTAATGGATTTTTTTTTAAATCTATTCACTTATTTACTTGACAGTCGACCAGTAAAGTGTAAAATATAATAAGACTAGGTGTTACGATGTCGGCAAGAATCTCAACGAAATGAGATAATGTGTGCAGTGCCTTCGAGTACCACCCAGGATTGTAGTCCGTAGGGAACTGCTGGGTTGTATAATCTGACGAAGAAGATAAGAACTTCTGGTGTGAAAACGAAATTTTAATGCTTGTCGACCACAAGATAGAAGATGAATAAAATACATAATGCCTACGAATATAACATCAGTGTAAAGTGAGTGTTGGGTATTGTAGAAAAGCGACACCAGGAATAAGTATCAAAAATGAAAAGGCTATGTGAAACTACGAATGTAACCGGATTGATTGTGCTTTACAAAACACTATGTTTATCTGTAAGTATTACTAGTATAGTAGTTTGAATGATTGGGCAATTCACATAATTTATTTGAACTACACGTAGTTATTATATTTTACAAATTACAATTACTCTCGATTCGTGTAACTAAGTTGCATTTAAGTTACGAACTATATCCATGGTTTTTAAATTTTTAAACACATTTTTTTGGCTGTATTTTTAGTTTTTTTTTGTATTTTCAGTTTTTTTGAGCAACAACATTGCGTTTATAATATTATGTCTGAAAAATTAATATTTTATTGTACTTTCAATTAGTTTAAAAAGTTGTTAAATCGTTCAGACCCCGATAGGAAAAAAGACGGTCTTTACTTTTTGCGCCGTTCAAATGAAATGAAATGAAAACAAAACGTAAACACATTATAAACATATTGCGTTTGTTTTTAAAGACTTTGAAAATTGAAGGTTGTAAAATATACTTAACTGCAATTCGCAGTTGAAAAATAGTTTTTTTTTCTGATATTACAATTATTAATGGCGAATTAGTTAGGCCTAGTTAGTTTGTTTGACTTACTATCGCTTGTCTCCTGTGGAGTGCCATCGATGGCTTGCCAACCGCCGTAACCTTTAGGCAAGTCCGGGCGATCCATCCACACGTCATTCCACACATGGAAGTTCCAACAAGAGTCGTTGGTGTAACTTCCCGGATGATTGCCTAACTTTTCACCTTTAGCGTCGATGTAAGTGTCGATGGTCAAACTGGAGTTGGTGTCGTGGGCTGACATGTAATTGGTCACGGATCTACACGGTATGCCTAAAGCCCTACAGACTGTTTTAACGAAAAAACATATTGTTCAATAATGACATTATACCTAAAATTTTGTTTATGGTCATCCAAAATACTCACTGGTGACGATGACACCAGAAAACACCCAGCATTGGCCATACTTAACCGGTTGTTGTGTGTTGTAAAACTCTTCGAAAATAGGCGTGCTACCTATCCAAGCGAAAGGACTGGTGCCGTCGTCAAACGAACCATCCCATCTGCCTTCAATCAGACCGTTATCGTCCACATTGTTTGTCTACACACGAAAATCATGGTTAATTAGATATACGTACACTTATTTGTCTTTTAGTATTGAATATGTCTCATAATAAGATAGGAAATATCCTTTTTTTTTTTTTAGGTTTAGCGTTATTATTTCGGTAAACAATAAATATACTACTCCTCAAAGTGAGAGTAAAAGTATTGAACTTACGATTGCTGAAATGCATCTTGACATTTTCACCGGACTTCCCCTTTCAGAGTGAGGTACGGCCGCCCTGTCTAACAACATCATGACCGAAGGCAAAACGGCCGCTTGGAATTGCCCATAAAACCATTGGTACCCTCTGGGCTCCTTGAATGTGCCCTGCCATACCTTTCCGTTGTCGTTCAAAACATATTCCTCTAATTCATCCTCATCGTTCATATGTACACTGTCGTCTAGGCAAAATCATAAAAAGTCCAAACCGCACGTTTGAAAATATTGTCTCAAAAGATATGTTTTGTGTTGACTATTTAATCAATAATTTAGATTTTTTTAAAGTAAGACTGGTAGTCAATAAAAATGATTCTCCTTATTTCTTCTTGGTTGATTAGAAACGTATCATAGCAAATACATATTCTACGTTGAAGGAGTTTGTTAAGAACTAACCGACCGTTACAAAACCATAAAAATATTCTATATAGTCAAACTCACTTTTACACCACGGATTAAAAAGTATGTACACTTGCGATTGAACTTCATGTTGATTGACCCCAGCAGCACCTCTGCGAGCTGTGTGTAAGACTATTTTCCAAACAGCCACCGGAGCATATGAAGGTATCTGTACCTGTAGGCAACATTGTAACATTGTATAATGGTACCCCATTACTATGAATAAGAAAAACATAAATACTAGAGGTGGATGTAGTAGTCTTTTTTAATTTTTTGCGTCTACCATATTATATAATACTACCAGATGAGTAATATTATTTAGTCATTTATTTGTTGTTGAGTACAATACATTCGTAATTATTACCGTCGGGCGTTTAAAAGGTCGTAAAGTGTTCTTTAAAGTGTAAAGTCATCTTCGATTTTACTAACCTGTACGGTGACTGTATTTCCTGTGATAGTGATGAATCGAGCATCCCATTTATCGTCGGCCAAATTAGCTTTACTGCTTATGATTAAAGCTGCGCTTGTGCCTTTAGTCGGCGAAGGGGCGGGACCTTAAAACAATTTCTCATTTAGTTTTCTTTTTGTTGGAGGTAGAAAAACATTCGATAGGAGTAATTCGGTGAATTTTAATTGTTAAGAACAGCGACATGGTAAAAACTTAAAAAGGAGCAGACGTTTGGATAAAATTGTTTACACTGAAAAATTCAAGAGTAGTATATGAGTATTTGTATGATATAAAGTAAAATTGATTGTATACTCTATCTCACAAAAAAACGGTAGTGCTGTATGGCGAATTCCGGTCCGTCTCGCGCATCCCCACGCTGCTTTTCGCCTAGTTCTCAGTCGGAATGCGTGAAACGCTGCCTTTGTTTCGTGAGACAGAGTATAGTCTTTAATAATACAGTATGGTGGGCGGTGGCTTCAACTGTTAAAGAGAAATCACGCCAAAAAGAAACAATTCGGAGGAAAGCTACTCTTTTTCAAGCTTGATTTTTCCAAAACTATGATTTTATCAGTTTGCTTCTAATTGGCTTACCTGTGACAAATACAGCGCGAACAACGTCTTTATTAACGTCGATGGGTCTCTGGAATCTAATGCCGAAGTAAAACGGTTGGCCTCGTCGGAATATAGCAGTGGAACTGGCTTGGAGCATTTCAAATCGATCGGTATGATGTTCTATGGCATTTTCCATAGAATACATATGAGTTGAATTTACCGATAACGCCATGATAGCTTGTTGTCTGTAAAAATTGAAAGGAGAAATTAAAATACATGATTGATCGTTTAATTTGTCAACAGGTGGATCAGAGGCATCTAAAATTCCACTCGAGCTAATAATTTGTATGATGTTTTTGTGGTTCATTTCAGAGATCTGTTAATTGAAAATATTTAGCCAGATACGTACATTTAAATAAGTATGATTTAAAAGAATCAGATTACCTTTGCAATTTTATGGTTGGTATTCTGATGCAGCCGTTTAAAAATACTAAACTACTAACTACACGTATATTATTGAATCTGAGCAAAATATAAACGTGCCATTTGGGAATCACAGTATATTTATTTGCATACAAATATTATACCATGTAAATCCGCGAATATATATATTTTTAAGATCGAGGTAAACGTGTGTATGACCTACAGTAAAAACTAAAAAGTCTGTTGGATCTTTAAACGTTTTTTTGATACTTTGCCAGATTTAGAGTTTAGTACAGCAATAGGTAATTCCCAATATGCGAGAGATTATTCTCTTAACGGATGTATTTTGTTTATAAGAATGTCTAAACGTACCTAATTGTTTTCAGTAAATAGATAGACGGAGTACAGTAGTAAAATATCTACAGACTATTAACAAAGAGAAAATTAAAGTTCATTAAAAAAATAAAACCCCTGTGAAATAAAGTTATTAGTTTTGTAACATACTAGGAATTATAAAATCATATTTATACGTTTTTAGTTAAGTGGAATGTGAAATAACAACATGTCAAGATTGTGAAAATGCATCAGTTTTCGAAAATTAATAACGTAGATAATGAACAAAAAGTATTACACTACCGTCAAACTCATAAGAAATTGAACGATCAAAAATAGATTTTCCTAATTCATAATATATTATAACAAAGATCTATGACATCCTGTATACTGTATACGAATGTCTCGTTATTTATTGGTTTTGTTTTTGATTAGAAAACTATTATTAATATAACTTCATATTAATTTATTGTTTTTTTTTTATTAATAGGCCCCAGAAGTATATGCTTTAAAAACAACGGAAAAATGCTTGCATATATGAAAAACACAAACATGCATGTTTTTAAAAATTATTATTTTTTAGTTTTTTTTTTATTACGTTTTTAATGTATAAGGTTTTTATTACGTTAAAACCAATTGCAACCATGAAAGCTAAATAAAAAAAATAATAGGTATACTATATTTATTTTTTAAAACTTATTTACAACAAAACAAAATAAACGTAGAACTTTTTTCATGTAATAGTATTCATTTATAATTAATAATTTAATTTTTTTTATTAGTACTTCAAGAGAAAAAAAAATTAAAATATGCTGTACATATTGAAAATATTGAAATACGAATTATGTTACAATTGCAAAACAATTTATTAGTATTTACATTTTTTTAATTCTTATTCAAATTTGTAACTTATCTAGCTTTTTTTTTGTTGATTTTTCAGTCTTAATGCATATATCTTCATGTCCTATTCATAACTTACAATAAAATAACAATAACGATATTTTAAACTTTTAACCAATGATTTTCTAGTTCAGCGTAGGGATGAATGCGATGTGTGTGTGAATGTCCTCCGGCCACATAATTTCATCATTGATAGGTATAATGTTGTCTTGTTTAAGTTTCAATGGGTTAAGGTAATGTTCGAATTCAACCGGTTTATAATTTAAATACGATAGTGAACACATCTGCCGTAGGTATGCCAGCTGAAGTACAGTTTTTCCTCATAAAAACAATAGTAGGTTATTGTTTTATTTTCATATCGCTAAGTAATAGGTACATTTAGAAATTCTTTTAATTACCGCCATTTATGGAATTTTAAAGGAAAAGTCTTTGTCACTAGAAATACACGTGTATTGAATTTGTATAGGAAAAAAATATATTAAACGTATTACATCTATGGTATAATATTATGTGTTAGTAATATGTTTAGTTTTAAAACGAATAATCGATTCTGTTCTGGGTAAACTGTTATCGTTTTAAGTTGCATCCGACTGCTAGTAGTTCAAGGATCATTAATACTTTTCATTCTACATTATTTAATGATGATTACATTTTTTATTATTATTGCAAAAAGAAAATATGTCAAATGACCATTACTGTTTTGTATGAATTGCTACCTATTGCCTACGGCTTTTACCTATTGTCCAGCGTTAACCTGTTTTTTTTAAGCTACTCGCTATGGTCGGATTCGTTTATGTAAAATTCGTTGTTAGGTATTATTATTTGCTAGACAATAAAATTTAAAACAATATAACACAAGTTTTCTGATCCACTTAAAGTTTATATGTGCTATTGTCAGCTTGTTTATTTAAGAAATTTGTTTAGTTCTTAACTGAAGGTATTAAACAACTAAATTTAAGAATTAAAACTAAATTGTCGACAATTGTTATAAAGCACGTTTGGTTTGAAAATTAACGATATTTGAAAATTTAATTTGTTGTAAAGTTATTAGTTTATATGAAAGCGTTTTATTTATTTTGCTTAACACACACACATAGTTATAGTTATTATTATATTAACAATGTACCTATCGTTTAATTTAAAATTGACATAGTAGGTCTTAGGCTATCAAACTTTGTTAAATCTTAATTAGATGCTATACTGTTAATGCGATTTTTTGTGACGATTATAATTTTAAGATTGCTGTTATTATTATACCAAAATGTACAATATATTTTTGTTCGTCTACGTGAGTACGTCTGTGCGTGAGTATGATTTGTTGACCTCAAGTATTTGCCAATGATATGAATTATGATTTAATAGACAATATCCGATTATATGACGTAACGTTACCTGGCACTAATTCACATTAAAACCGATTTGGGTACTAAGAATAGATTTTATCGCATCATAGGCTGATGCCCGAATTATACTGAGAAAAAATATTAACATAATACAAAACACATCCTTAGTAGTTGGGTGTTTAAAAGTTTTTGCTTGCCGTCCGTCCTCGAACCTTACAGAATTGTCTGATAAATTTTTTTTTTATGGAAAACGCAGTAAATCTTTTAAACTCACTTGGTATACTATGTTCGCATAGTGGTGTAAATAGTGGGTTCATTGGCAAGTACTTACACCAGGGCACCATTTTTCAGGGGGCACAATTTTTTTAGTGATTTCATATATATTGTACCTTTATTAAGAGAACCCGACACCGCATTTCTGTCTCAAACTAAATAACTGACAACAGCAAAATTGCGTTACTTAGAATTTATATTGTGGCGTTTAGGTTTGAAATCAGAGTTTAAACACAAATGACAAATTTTAAAGAAGAGAATATTTTCGAGGACATATTACTTTGTTTTTTTTATAACGTTTTTATTAAAAATATTGTCAAAAAAAAAAATAAAAATGTACACCTTTTTAAGAAAACCTAACATGAATGTAATTTTTTATCTCAAAATATTAGTGTAAATTTAGTAATTTTGTGGAATCTGATATTCACTTGTACTATCTAAAAATAACTAAAATTCATAGCATTATATGAAAAACAATCACTCATATAACTAGTATTTAAGTAAATAATTTGTTTGGTGAAGTAATGTGAAAGCGATTTCTATATAGTCTATGGTTATATTTTGTCAAACACGGCGATATAAATTCCAAGGGACAAGTGTTGAGGGCATTATTCTTAGTTTTACACTAGGGCACTAGGGCATCTAGTTGCGCCACTGTGCTCGCTGTTAATCGGTCTACGTTTAATATTATTAAAAAAGTTCTTACCCTGAAATGTAGAATACAGGTTGCAATAATCCACTTGAACGGTTGCTGACGGAACGGCGACGCGGACCAGAGTGTTTATCGGGATAACCTAGTTTTTAGTATATATACAAACATGCAGTACACCTACTCAGGCTAATAAACTCCCCCTCCCCCCCCCCCATTTTGGCAATGCGATGGTCAACGTTCAAATCGAGTCTTCCTGTAAGGAAAAAACCTGCCCGTACGGATTGGTCATCGTCGTCGTCGGTAGTTCTAAAATCCGCTGGCCTTCAAACAGTATTATTTTAAATATTAAAGCGAATATGGTACCTATAAGTTTATCACACGGTATTTCCCGTTACGTGTATTGAGTACCCGGTCAAAACGAACGGATCGCCCACGAGAGCATATCGCATGGGTTCACGAACGGCGGCTGCATTGAATTTTCTAAGGTCACGGTCCGGTGTAACAGGTGACGTTTGAATGTATAATAATAATAATAATAATAACATTAATTAAGAGCAATGAGATCGTTTGAAGGGAAAAGTTATCCGAAAGACGTTTCCGTTGCTGATTACTTGCGATGATAATATTACATGTACCTATATTGCACTGTAAATGTCTGTTTATAAGTATTAAATATATACATTTATAATAGATAATAACAACAATATTAATCAACCGTCAATAATGAAAGTCTGTATGATTCGGCAAAACCGGAAACATTATCAAGGTTACCAACGAGCAAAACGTTTTTGACCCCTTCAAATACTTGTGCGGTTTGTGCACGGTAGGTTGCTACAAACACAAACAGTCCATACCATTAAGTGATGCACTTTTGGTAAACCCATATTCATAACGTGATAATTTAGAGTTGTTTTACTTAAGAGTTTTCTGCTTAGCCGGAAAGTTAGAAGAAATTCAAGATACAATTATTATTACTGATTGGATACATTGTAATTGTTGTTGTATTCATTTTAGCGTTAACCACCGTGTGTTTGTAAGTAAATATCCTATACTTGGATCCAAGTATAGGATCCAACGGAAAAACGTTTACAGTTTTTTTTAAAATAAATAACACAATACGGTATTAACTCTACAAAGTACAAGTAGTGTATATACGATTTTCGTTTATAAAACTAGTGAGCTTAATGATAATAATAAGTTATTCGATAACGTAACGTTAACAAAACGAATAGCCAAATTTTAAATGTAATTTAGAATGTGCCAAGAATGTAATAAATGGAAGACTAAGTATATGGGGAGTGAATAAAAATATAATAGCCTATTCAATCTCTATTTGTGTTTATTAAGTAATGAACACTTATGTTATTTTTTCATTAATTTTTTTAACCTTAGGAAATGTTCATTTTACATAGAAAGATTACCCCTGATCTAACCGTAAAAAGTCTATGCTTTCCATAGAAAATAATGTGGTTTATTCATTATGAAACGCTACTATATCTTATATGGTTGAGGCGTCATAAGAAAACATCCATTTCTTAAAAATACTTGTTTAGGTATCAGATTCGTTCTAATACCGGTACATGAAAGCTTTATACTTTGGAAGTTGTTAAACAAGTTATAAATACTATATAATTTTAATCTACACAATTACAATTATTATTTTTTACGGTTATCATATAGTCCAGGTTTACTGTGTTGCACATTGTCCACCATGCAGGGAAATTAGTGTGAAATATTATAGTAGACAATAAGTGACCCCTGGGGCTAACAATAAGTGTAACCTGTTTGGCGTTTTCGCATGCCCAGTGGCACTTGTATCTATAATAATTATTGCCATCGTTGGTGACTAACAAGTAATAATTTAGTACCACATAGGCACATGGCAAAAAGTGATTCACGCGTTCCGCTTGTTATGTAATTTATTAAATATAATATTAGGATAACGGTTTTCGCGATTTTTGTGTTCATTTTTAATTTATAAATTGTTTTGGTTTTGTTAGATTCATTGCGTTTAATGTGCATGTAAAAACTATTTGTAAGAAAACTAATGATATGGCGAGGAATTCCTAATTTTTGTTGTACTTAATCGAATCAAATTATTCCAACTTCTAAAATGTTGTGACCTTGTGTTACACTCAAAACAATTTGAAGTCAACAATTGCCAAGTCACTGGCCGACATGAATGTAAAGCATGTATGTGTATAATGATTACTATATTAATAACAGTTTATTGACTTTGAGATTTGTACAAAAGTAAAAAGATTGTGTCCATTTGTATAGACACAATAAAGCGCTTATAACTATGTATTTATAATATGTGTAGTTGTTTTGTTGGTATTTGTGTTTCCTTGCCCTTTTTCCAGTATTAAAGCCCGGGTTTTCAATAACATTTAACTGGCGGATAACTATATTTGTATACTGGTTAAGTGTATCTGATAGATTTCCCACTTTTCAGTCAATGAAAATTGCCTATTTGTTAGATAAAGTAGGAAAGTATTTTCCAAGTACAATTGTGCACCTTCATAATCTTTAAGTAATATGGATCACATCGGAGTTGAGTTTTTGTATGGCGATGACGACGAGGAGATTGTGGAATACTGGAATATTTAAAGAGTAGATCATTTTATTATAGATGTATACTACTTACTATATTAACCACAAGTGTTGCAAGTATTAGTAGTATGATAATGTAATAGAATGGATTAAGTTTTTTAGTTATTATGGAGTTACTTAAAAAATATGAAGTATAAATTACTGTGCAATTTTAAAATGTAGAAAACTTAAGCTTAGTTCTGATAAGGGTAAGGCTGGTGATGTTTTTGGCGATCATCCGTTTCCATCGTGTTGTTTAATAATGATATGCAACACACATCCAGTCAATTACCTACTCTGTTTGCTTTCGTTTGTACGACATGACTTTACAATGTACATACTACACACATTGCATATAGTTCGTCATTTGTTCTATGCCCTTGTTCGATGATTTGTGTCACAAGGTTAAGTCGAGTTTTGAAATTAGGTTAGCTTGCGGTTTCACTGTATTACTCAGGAACAAATCAATAATTAGTCTGAGGGTCATCAATAAAACATTTGATATTATTTTGTATAAAATACTGAATCGTCAAAGCGAACACTAGTCGAGGAATTAACTTATAAAAAATAATAAAAATGTATTTTATCCATAACATTTAGACTAATCATCGAGACTATTGTGTCTTAATAAAATTAGATGTCATTTTTATCCCAGCATGTACCTACATAATACATTATATTCGAGTTGATTACACTGTGAAACCAAATTTTACCCTTTTTTTAGAAACAAGAACCAAAATATTTATCTATTAAAAAAAGAAATTCATAATTAGTAAGTTAACTATACATTTTTTCTTTTAACTAGCAACTTTACGCGTGACCTTGCTAATTACTCACAAGAAAACATTGTGTCGTTAAGTTACTAAGTTACTTTATTGAAATAATTTACCTGTCTAGTAATACAATATTCGTTTTATAACCGGGAGACTTAAATAATATTTTTGTAATGTAATATGTACTATATCTACAAACACTATTGTTATTCTTTCTGTGACGAGAGAAGTTTAATATTGCATATATATATATATATTTTTTTTTAACGCATTGCAAAATGCTTCACACGTCTTAGGGACGTGTTTTGGTGACGACGAATTTACCTAACGATCATGAGGGATTTGTTCATTAAGAACGTACACTATAATAAATTATATGCTATACTTTAAGACTTTTCACGATTTATTTAATCTGTTGGTCGTAAATAATAGGCAACACGTACTATTAATAACAGGATTTACACAAGTCATATATATTATGTTTAACAGCATATACAGTTTTTTTTTCAATTCTAGTTTAATAGCAACGGAGGATATATCTGAAAATATGTCACAATTTATAGTATAAAATGTACAAAAAATAGGCATGTTTGGGTACTTTTTTTAGCTAATTTTCAAACAATAGAGAACATAAAGAGATGGAATTATTTTACGTTTTAATGCCCAAAGAATATGGTGTGGACGGCAGATGTCGTTATGTGATGAGAACAGTACTGTCAAAAATATTGGTTTTACTAGGATTGTGATTTAAACTTATTACAACTCTGTTAACTTTATTTTGAACATTGTATTATTGACCTAGGTCCTAGTTGAGTCTATTAATTTTTGTACTATGTTATCGAAAATTATGATCAAATATTAGGTTTCTGGGCCAAGCGACATCCTTCAGGTACATTAAATACAATGTTATCGGGAAAAGGTACAAAAAAAATGCCTATATTTTTTAAATTTTCATTTTCTGGCAGGTATAAATTTTTGAGTATGGTGTACGTGCTCAACAGAATCCAAGCTATAAAACTATCAAAACTTCAGCTCAAACTAAGGAGTAGGAAAAAAGTTATGCATTGATTTGTGCACAAATGTCGAAATCCTATGTTAAATCCCATTTAAACATCAACCCTTGTGGGGCATGTGTTAAAATTAATATTTCTCAAATGTTTTTTTTTTATCTTATTTTTATTGTATTTAGAAACTTTTTAGGGGATGTCGAGGTTAAAATTCGAAAATTGACTTTTTAAGGACCACCCTAATAAACATAATTCATAATTTCGATAGAAATTTAATTGAACAGTATATAATGAGAAACAAACAACGTCCATTTCTGAGAACTTTTAAACGTGAGCTTCAATAAGCGAGTGAGTCATTTCACCGAAAGTGGTTTATTTATGTCCATGAAAAATTATGAGTCATTAATTAACATTATTTTTGGTATTTTTCACAAATTGTCCATGTACTCGTAAGATATAACTTTAAGGTCAACAGAATATGTCAATCAGAATTATTATTACGCTTTAATAACACAAGTAAAAAAACAAATTAATAGCAATGTTCTCACGGCTGTAGGTGATTTGCGGCCCGAGTAGTCGTTTACGATGTCGGAGACCGGTGAATTGCGACCCGGCAGTTTTCGATGGACGTGTGAGTTGCGGCCCGGGCAACCTTTTTTTATGAAACTCGCCAATTTAGTTACACGGAATGATTTTTTAAAGAGATCCACTCATTGTCTTATAGTATTTAATTGGTTTTTAAATTTTTATTTTTCGCGCTGTTTTTATATTATGTGATTTTGTTACTTTTGAAGTTATTAGAGTGTCAAAGTTAGGA